ACCTCCGAGAACATTTCACATTCTTAAAAAAAAAATTGTTGAGATCCCTGAGGTTTTACCTTCTTAAAAAAATATTTCGGGTCCCTAAGAAGGTTTCACATTCTTTTAAAACACAGTTGCGACCCTCGAGAAGGTTTCACATTCTTAAAAAAATACAATTGGAGCCCCTGAGACGGGTTCACGTTCTTTAAGAAAAGTCAATTGGCACCTCCGAGAAGATTTCACATTCATAAAAAAAACAGTTGGGGTCCCCGAGGTTTTACCTTCTTAAAAAAACATTTCGGGTCCCCGAGAAGGTTTTATGTTCTTAAAGACATTTAGGGCCCATAAGAAGATTTTACCTCAGAAAAAAGACAGTTGGTACCCTTAACAATGTTTCAGCTTTAAAAAATCACTTGGGATCCCCGAGAAGATTTCACATTCTTAAAAAAAAACAATTGAAGTCCCCGAGGTTTTACCTTCTTAAAAAAAACATTTCGTGTCCCAAAGAAGGTTTTATTTTCTTAAAAAAGACAGTTAGGGCCCTCAAAAAAAAGACAGTTGGGGCTCCTGAGCAAGTTTCACCTGCTTAAAAAAAACAGTTGGGGTCCCCAAGAAGGTTTTATGTTTTAAAAAAGACAATGGGCCCCCGAGAAGATTTCACCTTCTGTAAAAAAACAGTTAGAGCACCTGAGGAAGTTTTACCTGCTTAAAAAACAGTTAGGGTCCCCAAGAAGGTTGTATGTCTTAAAAAAGTCAGTTGAGGCCCTCGAGAAGATTTCATCATAAAAAAAGACAGTTAGTGCCCCCTAGAAGGTTTAATATTCCTAAAACAAACAGTTGGGACTCCTGAGAAAGTTTCACATTCTATAAAATAAAGACAGTTGGGGCCCCCGAGAAGGTTTCAGATTCTTAAAAAAATACAATTGGAGTCCCTGAGAACGTTTCACATTCTTTAAAATAAAGACGGTTGGGGACCCCGAGAAGGTTTCACATTTTTAAAAAATACAATGGGAGCCCCTGAGACGGTTTCACGTTCTTTAAGAAAAGTCAGTTGGGACCTCCGAGAAGATTTCACATTCATAAAAAAAACAGTTGGGGTCCCCGAGGTTTTACCTTCTTAAAAAGACATTTCGGGTCCCCGAGAAGGTTTTATGTTCTTAAAGACATTTGGGGCCCATAAGAAGATTTTACCTCAGAAAAAAGACAGTTGGTACCCTTAACAATGTTTCAGCTTTAAAAAATCACTTGGGACCCCCGACAAGGTTTCACATTCCTTAAAAAAGGCTGTCGGGGCCCCCGACAAGGTTTCACATTCTTTAAAATAAGTCAATTGGGGTCCCAAAGTAGGTTTTATATTCTTAAAAAAGACACTTGGGGTCCCCAAGAATGTTTCACGTTCTTAAAAAAAGACAATTGGGACCCCGGAGGTTTCACCTTTAAAAAAAGACAGTTAGTGCCCCCGAGATGGTTTCATATTCTTATAAAAGACAGTTGGGGCCCTCGAGAAGATTTCACCTTCTGTAAAAAAAGACAGATACAACCCCCGAGAAAATTTCACCTTAAAAGAAGACATTTAGTGCCCCCGAGAAGGTTTCACATTCTTAAAAAAAATCTTCCGAAAACTATTTCGACAGGAATTTCTTCGCCCTTGAAGTGTAATTCGATAAATTTCACTTCTTTAAAATATTATAAAATTTGATTTTGCGATAACGTTTATAAAATAAAGATGAGTGTCGTAATTAACACCCCACGATCCGCACACATCGCATTCTCAATTTCTCAGAGCATGCTTAACTTCGACTGTTTATGTTTATACTTGGAAAAAAATCCACTATTAGCACGGTCAGATTACAAGCATCAGCGGTTAAAAGGAAATAATATTTGACTTTGTCTCCTCAACGCGGAGAAAAGACTAATTAATTAATTAACCACACTTTGTTTTTTCCCAAAACATAAATTTAAAGCACATTATAAGATCACCGACAAATTTTGAGTAACGATTTACCATGATATAACTTTAAGATATTTACAAGATTTAACAGCATTTAGTTTTTACAATTTCAAATTTAAATTGTAAAATATTGTTATAAAAGTCGTACAATCGAGTCGACTACAATACTTCCTTAACTTACGCTTAAGAGGTAAAAATGATTGTATTATTTGTCAATATTTAGTTAACAAAGTGCCTTTCCACTATTATAATTTGAAATCATGCAAAACTCGAAACTAAAACCTGATTTTTCAATCACATATGAAAATGAAATTTTAACATTTGTTAATTACAACTTCTATATTTTGAAAATAGGTCAGCATGCATAACTCTCCGCATTCGCTTCAATATTTCAAACATTTTTTTCCTTTCACGTATGTTTTTTTTTCAAAATCGGTAATGGAATAATGGGAAACAGTGAATTCGCGTTATTGATTCATAACAACATCGTCAATTTTCACATTTAAATTCAACACTGCTTTCATTTAAAAAACGAAAAAACATCTCCGTAACAAAAAACTCGTTGGACAGTTTTATTTTCAGTTTTACAAAAATCCGATTTAATTTACATATAACTGAGAGATTCTCTTCACATGTGAAGCTGTTAGTTTAACACTAATGTTAATTTATAACGTATGTTATAAAAACAAAGTCTATGCAAAACCGTCAATCTTTTTAAACGTAATATTTCTTTCAAAACACACTGTATGAACTTTGCTCCCAACCTGTATTTCCCCGACGCAATTTACTTAATTTTAATTCAACTTCAATATCCTGTCTGCAGTTGAACGTTACAAGCGTTTTAACCATTTTCTGTGCGCCCATAAAATACAATTACAAATCGAGCGAACACAGCAACTGTAGTAGCAACTTCTACGCCATTTAATAAAACCGACGCGACGCGACGTGAAGCAACGATAGCTTTTTTTATTTAATAATTGGTAGATATTCCGCGGGAACTATCTTGTAACTGATGTCCTCGTCGTTTTTTTCCGAGGAAAAATGCGGAGCTTTGCAGCTCAATAACTCTAAAAGCACGGGAGGGAATTAAAGCGGCGCTATTTTAATAATTCCAAGAAAATACCGAGTATTTCACCACTGGGTGCCAAAAATGCGAGACACGGATGGAGTTTTACGAGTATTGCTAGTTGCATAATGGTGTAAGCGTGCAATGTGTGTATTTGAGTGCAAATTTACTGAGGCAACCTCAAAACATGAAACTTCGTGAAATCTCCATCGGAGTATAATAACTCCCCTACGGGCGAGTTAAAGTTTAAAACATTTACTAAATGCAACACGCCAGCTTCCATTATTTAATAACTTACAGCTCCATATAATCTGAATATGTATAAATAAGCGTCAAATCCGACAGGGCATAAAACAACCGTAAAACACGGCTCGCTTTATTATTATTTTGTTATTTTCTATAAAATGATTTACATCAACACCTGCAACGTGCCATAATACCGTGGCTTTAGCACCCCACCTTATTTACCAGCCTGATTGTAATCACTCCGCCATTTCATTAAGACGCCCCCTATCTCAACTTTCCTAATTTAATGTTTACCGATTCTTTGTTGGCAATAAACGGGAGAATATAAAAGTTTCATAGTTCGGATCCATCCTATCTTATACACAACCCCTGTTATCCGAGGTTCTACATAATGATATTTATTTTATTTGCTTGGGATTGTGTCCGCAGACCTTTATTTGATGAAGATACGATGAGTCTGCTATATTTCCAGATCTGATTGGATATCGGTTTTGCGGTGACAAATACGTGTTGACATTTTCTAATAACGTGGGGGTGCTATGGTTGTGTTTGTCGGGTGATACATGTGAGGGAAAATTGTATTGATAAGGACCGGCGACGCCGGTTTGTCTATAACAACGGTGATAAAGAAGGGTGGATTCTTGACGTGGAGATGTATGAGGATACGAGAGGGTAAATATTTCAGAATCAACTTGTAATAGAAATATGCGTAGTCGTGAGATGACTTATTCAACGTGGACTGCCGTCATCCTTGCTACGACACGATAAATTTTCAGCCAGGGATGTACTTGAAATTTTAATTATGTTAGTCAAAGAAAATGCTTCTTCCGATTTGATTATTTCCTATATCATGCCGAATAACTTCACCTTCTTGTTAAAATAATTATACTTGAAAAGTGAAATCGACGTCGTTTTCTTGAACAACGGTCTGGATACACAAAAATACTCTTGTTTTTATGCGAATGAAACAGCATCTATTCGTTAATTGATTTGGAAAAAATGGAAAACATACCTTACGTTGTGAACAGAAAACCCGAATGTGCTCGCAGATTCCGCTCCATTGCAAAAACTATAAATTTTCGGTTTCTCCACTTTCTTCACTGTCAACTGATTTTGTGCTTTTCGGATACTCTTAGTCTGGCTTATCACTTGAGATCTGTCTAGCTTAGGTGACCTTTTCACCATCGCCAGGATAGCTCTCAAGCTCAAGCACGCAAGCCCCTCCCCCACGACAAGGGGATATCCACGGAGGGGTTTTTTATTATTTTTATTTAAGCACCATAATTTTGTTTTCCCCACCAACTGTTTACCTCAAAGTCTTCATCTATCTTTTCCAATTCTCAAGCTTCATGTTTTTGCTATAACGTCTCTGACCAAAGCAAGCCTGCGAAGCGAACACCTCTCACACGCACCCTTCGACCATAAATCACAAAAAAACACATATCATGCTTACACAAAATAAGATATTCGCCGTGCTGAATTGAAAATTAAAATTCTCTTCTCCTGAAAAGCAATTACAGGCAAACATAACTCTAGCGTTCGTTACGAAAAACAAATTCTATAACCTCATTTACATTTACCTAGCATTCAGGACTCCGTAACTGAATATCAGATGCTTTTCTCCTGAAATGAAAAGCAAACATCCTTTCAAAGCAAAAATAAAATTTACTATTCAGACTACCATTTTTCTTTATCTTCATTAGCTTCTTGTATATGCAGTAGTAAATTGAGTGTACACATCTCTGTTGTTTCCAGAACCCGACACGGAGATCGTGGGCGGTCCTGAGCTGTTCATTGATCGGGGCAGCACCATCAACCTTACCTGCGTGGTCCGGCACAGCCCGGAGCCTCCGGCGTACATCTTCTGGAACCACAACGATGCTGTGAGTACACCCATATATCGCAAAAATGCCACAGGCGCGCTTAATGAGGCAGGGAAGCGGGCGATAAATTTCGACCGATCGACTGTGTCATTGGGGGCTTTCCAACCGATCATGGGTACAAAAATACGTACAATGTAACACTAACGAAACGCTGATTTTGAGATAAGATTACCGGAAGGGGATGAACGTCGATCTTTGTAACTAATAAACGACTATCAGTGTCTTACCAAAATTTCACTTATTATTCACTACTTATGATTTAATGTTAAGTGCCGCTTACACTGCTGCGGATTTGTCAAGCAAGCTTTGGAAGTAATATTTTAATTTTAATTATTTTAAAGCTTAATTAATTTTAGTGATTGTTGTGTTTTATAACGTTGATGAACTAAAAACCAACAGTCTAGCCGCTTTTTTGTACCTTAACGCAGCAACCTTTAATTAAATAATACCGTGCAACAGTCTTGACAATTTCATCACGGTCTTTACGCCATTTTTAAGCCCGATCTCTACCAACAAAAAATAGCCACACAAAGTCCGTAATTTCATATGAACACAAAATCCAATGCGGCATTGTCTGGAAAACAGCTTTATCGCTCGGAAAATGGACTTCGACGCGCTAATTACGAGACGGATTTCCACTTCATAGCCGCGCTGTCGACACAGAGAATTGCCTTCATATGCATCTGTGACAAGTTCATCTCGTGGGCTATATACTCTGGAAAGTTTTAAATTGTGAAATGAAAAATTTTCATAACGCTAGCGCAGGATGACAGTATGCAGTGTGGCGAGGAAAAGTAGGAGCTTAATTAGCTTATTACGTTTCAAACTTTGGATGCACTTTATCCTTTCCGTTCAAAAAAATTATATACTTTAAGCTTTTAATCGTTGGTAATTCTGCACTGTTAGGAGCTTAACTTTTACGAACCAAATCCTATTATCGCTTGGAAAACAAGTAGTCTTGCAACTGTCGCAGCGAATACACCCCGCTGTGTGATTATTTTCTAGTTGGTCGGTTATCGTAACTAAGTTCCATATGTGGCTGCCGTTTCCGTCTGACTGTCTGTTGCGGTTTTATTAGCAGATAACCCCCAATTTTGGTAAGACACTAATTTCGATCTAACGATAACGCAACATCGACTAAGATTTCCCTGTTTATCCCTTCTAGAAATAAATAACCTCAAATTTTTGCAGCAACGTTTTGCTTGGTGTTATATTATAGCTTCTCGGAGCACCGGTAATATTTAAAATTTAAAACAACAACTGGGAAAGATCGCAGGGGAGGTAATGAATGAATATGAACAGGAAATCGAAGGACATCAATGGGAAATCGGGGGATATCAATGTAAATTAGGGAAATCAAGAGGGAAATCACATAAAAAGGGAAATCTGGTGTACACCTTAGCCGTGGCGGTTCCCCCTCGAGAAAAAGCCCGCTCGCAAAAATCGAATAAACCAAGCCCGCCAGAACCCAAGAATATGATTTATGTAGCCCATATAGCGTGCACATATCATGCCTGACCCGTCGACGTTTCCGTTCCAGATAATAAGCTATTCGTCGACCCGGGGTGGCGTCAGCGTGGCCACCGAAAGGGGCGAGACGAGTCGCAGCGTGCTGCTGATCCAGAAAGCGAGACCCTCCGATTCCGGCAATTACCAGTGCAACCCCTCCAACGCCCGAACCGCCAATGTGACGGTGCACGTCCTCAACGGTACGTTTTCCGAAATGGGGTCGTTCCCGGAGTTTGCCGGATTTCGCCCCGCCATTACTTCCCGGAATTGTTGTCGAGGTGTATCGTTACGGCCTGGCGACCGCCGATTCCCGGAATGTAATGGCACGAAGATGATCATCAGCCGAATGCGATCGAGTTCTTATTCTGATTAAAATGTGTTGCAGGAGAGCACCCCGAAGCCATGCAGCACGGCGGCAATCAGAGGATGGGGCCCTCCTTGGGCGCGCTGGCTTTCATCTCCTACGTTCTGTTGGTCTATTGTTAAGTTTCAAGAGATTTTGACTCCGTTTAGTCGTTGCTGGTGTATGTCGACGTATCTGTTATATGCTCTCTATCACCGTGTATATTCCATCGACGGCCACGGCGCTCCTACGTCACGACGTCTTCATCCATGTAGACTATTATTGTATATACAGTTATGGCAACTCGTAGTACTAAGTCAAAGTTGTTGGTTTATTTTCCTAAGTTAACTACACGTTTATGTATTATATACTTTTGACCGACACTACTAATTTTAATAAACAATTCAATTTTATCACACGTTTATTCACCCTCCTCGGCTATAACCTTCTAACATTACGTTATGGACCAAATCCTGTTTATTAGCAGCAAAATGAACGTTCTGGCTAATACTCCCCTAGAGCTTAGTGAAAATAATAACACGTGTGTCTAAACCTTCTCAGCTTTCATAAAACAGGAAACTCGTGTCAATTTACAAGTCCTTCCGAGTGTAAATAGTCACACTCTTATTAATTTCCTGACAGTTTTTTGTCAAATTTTGATTCCAAACAGACAAATCGTGTCAATTTCCATGTTCTAACAACCGCTTTAAAATGTTACTTCTAGCAACATTTCAAACGCCCTACGGTCACGCAACCGCCGAGGAACATTCAAATTAGGGCTAGAGATGAATGTTCTCGTCAAACTTGGGCGGTAAAACTTTGTAGCCGCGAGATCTCTCCTGAACAAAGGCAGGTGTGCCTAAATCGTTTCAAAGTCCGGTGGGCACACACGCTTTGATGAAGGGTCCAAATTTGGGTCAACAGTTAATTTTTTGTACAATTTTGATTAATCATCAGAAGACCAATCGTGTCAATTTTGATGTTCTACCGGTCACAACTTGGCGAGTCATGGTAAATATTCACTTTAGTATTTCCAGCACGTTTTCTAACGTTTTGGATACCATATGGTCACGCAAACGCCGCGGAAACGTTCAAATTCGAATTAGAAAACAGTTTTCTCGTCAAATTACGGTCGTAAAATTGCAGTGTCGTAAACACAATCAGGTGTACCTAAATCGTCTCACATTATAAAAAATGACAAATTGTTACCACCTGAAAACATCCCAGGATTCGTTTAATGACATTTTGACGTCATTTAACTGTGAGGTTCATTGTTCACACTTAAAAACTAAATAAAAATTAAGAAAAATATATTGAAATGAAGCCGACTTTCAGTCTTTTTGAAATCAATCCAAAACGAAGTACAATGTGTTAATGTATGGTTAAAATATTTATCCTAAAGTAGACTCTATATACCACGAACCTGTCCAACTTCCAGGTCGACACTTACTCGCTAAATATTTATTTTTCCCAACGTATCGTTACTTATAAAACATCTCAGAATATGTCGCTAAAGTACATTAAAATTATATATATATGTACAACGTAAAACAGTAACTCAATACATTTCCTCTCCATCAGCACCCTTAGGCTTCAGAAAACGTAGGCGTGTACAAAACAGGAGTTTGGTTCTCCTCTTTATCTCTGGACAACTGTTCGTAAGTCCTTTGACGATCCTGATCCCTTTCCAACAACTCCTGAGTCTTCAAGCGTCTAACCGCTTTAGCTAGCATCCAAGCGAAAATAATCCCCAGTAACTAAAACTAACAGTTGTACAAAAGTACGCAATCTACCAACAACGTACTTGAATAAATGCAACAGCCAGAGCACCGCAGCCCAGAAGAAGAGCGCTTTCGGACACAACGTAAGTCAAGGCATCCAAACAACCATCCTTGTAGACGTATTTCTTAGTACAGAAACCATTGTTGACGTCACGGGGGTGGCAGCACGAGTTTGGACCAAGGAAAGGCTCAAGTGGATTGTCAGTTGTAGTATGAGAAAGTGTTGTATCAGCGGCAATGGAAGGAGTAGTAGGAATGGTAGTTGCAATGTTTGACATCCAGTCTTGCGATCCGTGAATTCCGCAGCAACGCAACTACTTTGAGTTAACAATGGATTGAAACGGATTTATAAACTTACGCTGCTTTGAGTGACATCCCACATGTCCTGGTAGTAATGATTGTGGCTGTAATCAGGCAACGACTCTTCCATTTTCGTTTGAATGGTTTCTTCGATGTTGTTACGCATGGCGTAGGCGGCAATAGCTGCTGCTATTTCCATCACCAAGAGGGCGGTGAGAAAGAAACCGAACTAGAAGGAAGGGGTTTAAGAAGATTTCTAAGTGTTTGTTTGTTTTTACCAAGTTGATGAGACATGTGCTCTCTTTGATGGCTCCTACACATCCGAAAAGAGCAACGAAGAAGATTACCACTCCTATGGTGATAGCAAGTATCGACGGGCTGAAGTAGTGAGAGGCCACAAATAATTCAAAGTCCCCATATATCGCTTTGATTGTCGATCCGATCGATATCAATAGGAACCCGATCATCTAAATACAACAATGGAAACAACATAAAGATAAGAGATTTAATAATGACAGGATGATAAAGTAAATTTATGAAATATTGCGAATATGACTATAAATCTGCGACTAATTTATGAGAAAAGTGCATTTTTCTAGCACCAGATGTTTCATACTGTGGAAATTTCCAACATGCGAGAGTACTTGGAAGTACTTACCACAAACATGAAGTTTGCGACGAAAAGCATGTACTTGATGCACTTCATCCCCACGTCTATTTCTTCGGTCATTTTGGCGCTTTTAGACTACTTTGGAACGAAATTGTGAAAAAAAACGTCCAAAAGTATTGAGTACTGCTCAGCTTTGCTGACACCAATCAACTGATAAAAGATAAGGGATCAGTGATATCTATATAGACTCTGAAAGGTACTTTGATCAAAATTAATGGCGGCTTAAAATGATGAAGTGCATGATAAACGGGGCCTCTGTAGTGGCATACAATCGACGATCCAGCAAGTTTAGCACCACGTATACTTAAGTTAAGTAAGGGCAGGAGTGAATTAAGTCGTTACGGAACGTGATGCAACGCTGCCGTTTCTAGAACCCGTCCGAAATCGAGCACTCGACGTGGCTATCTTCCCTCATAAAGATATGATAAACATGTTTTCAAAAATATTGTTATCTGAGTGCTAATAGTGTTTCGGCTTTAGAAAAATGGTGGTATTTATATCGCCACTTGTTGCGTAACGTAAATTTTCGCAGGTGAGCACAGTATCAAGGAAGAGCGTTATCTGTTAGCACACGGATCGGTGTAGGGTGATGATGATGTTTGTTTCGGGTCTTGCTAAGTTTATAAATCCAAGCGTGACTTACACCAAGTGAGAAGCCTTCCACGCCGTTGGCAGCTCCCGACATTGTTCAGTATTTCAGTAAACATTGACGAAATTGTCGCTGTTACAAATCGATGCTGTGATTAGATAAAGACTATCGGTACATCGCAAACTGTCCACAATGGCCAAACCCAGCCAACGCAGAAGGGTGAGATCGAAGCACTGGTCGACCCCCTCACAAAACCTTTTCTTTTGCAGAGCTCCATCAAGAAGGAGTTCAACGAGAAGGAACTGCAAGGTACGTTTTGACAGTGTTAATTACAGAGTAAGACCGATTTGCTGTCCATCACTGTGTTTGGACGCACGCCAACCTTGCAACTAATGCTCGCTATTCTTAGAAGCAAATTTTATTAATTTTAATCAACAACCTATTTCGAGACGAATCGACGACGATTCGAACGCACTTTTCCTTAAATGCCACCGCAAATATTTACCAGCAATTAAAGCGTCGCCTAAATCACACAAACAAGATAATTTCCATTATTACACCTCGTTTGTTTTCATAAAACGACGTTTCGGTATTTAAAACATAATAACTGGCTTTGTACAAACTTTACAGCTCTGATATACGGGACTAATTTAAGGTTTTAATATACCGAACTGAGATATGGTGTTGATCTTCGACAAACGTCAGTTTACTAGAGCAAATTGTCTGTAAAACTGAGATACAAACAAGTGGCTATCGATACTTGAACCCTCAATTAAGGAAGCTAAATACTTACATTGGAAGTGTCAGAACTGTGAAGCTGAAAAAATAAAAAAAAAAATAAAATTTTGTGCCAAAATCTGGTAAAGGAGTTTGTAGTTTATAATCTTCGTTCATTTTTTTGGGTACAAAGTCGCTCAAACGTATGGAACCAGTTAAATAATGACCGCAAAAATTGTTTATCACAGCTCCTCAAAATTTTGTGTAAACACTGCAGAATTTGAGATATATAAACCTTTCAAATATTAATCACTGTAATTTACAAATCAAATCTGACACCATTATCTTCATTTAACATGTTTACGTCAGTGTCACTTAAATATTTTATTTTTTAACTGTAAAATAAAGCTTTCAAAATTCTAATTCTTATTTTGTGCAACCGCTACCACATTTTTAACTTTTTTGAAAGCTGAAATCATTAACTAATCAAAATAAACAACAAATAAAACCTCTTCGTTAGTTTAAAAAAATATTACTTATGCAGTTTTAGCACACTGGAAACGAAATAAAATTTTACTTATTCCGTCCGTTAAACCAAACTATGGCATTTTTTGCATTGTTCAAAAAAAAGTGCTTTCAAAATTCTAAGCAAGCTTAAAATTAAACGGGATACTGTAATATCACTAAAGTTCCAAAATACATAGGTTTTAAAAAATATATAAAAAATATATAAAACAGAAAACCAATACTTACAAATGATTCAGTCGAAAAGGAAACACAATAATCCTTCGTAAGTCAACATTAATAAGTGCAGATAAAAAAAAAGCTCTAACACGTGATAGAATTAATTTGGAACTTGCACTTTAGATACTAATTTCACTAATAAATGTTTTTCCACATTAATGAATTCTGGTGATGTATTTGCAATTATTTGTGCAGTCTCATCAAAGAAATCTGTAAAAATCAAACGATTTTGTTCTTTTTATTTTACATGAAAGCAAGCAAAAATTCAAAAAAATTAAACTAATTAACTAATGAATTATGAGTAATGAATTAGTTTTGTTCAACTAAAGAGTGAAAAACGCTTGAGCTCACGATATAAAAAATCTTTTAAAAGGTAATCCTTATTGTATCTTTTCACGACGGTCGTTCGTTCATGTTTTTTTTTTTGAAGTACATTTTACAACTTCTTAATAAATTGCTTTACTCTGGGGCTTTGTACCGCTGCGAAAAAAGCACGTAAATAGTGGATGCCCATAACAGCGCTAAAATAGATATTTTACAACAAGAGATAAAAGTTTGTTTTTCTGTGAGCCGAGTGTTTGTTCAAAGTGAGTTTAAATAATCTCCAAGAAACGGATAAAACAGGCTTTCATCTCAAGTCTTACTATTATATTTTTTCTGGTTTTCTCATGAATGTCTGGTTATACGAATTTTATACTCAACTAAACTGACTTTAATGGTTGGAATATTTATAAAAATAAACGTAAATTTTGTTTTTTCAACTAGCAAGGAATTTATTTCAAAGTTAGCACCTTACAGCTTTCTAAAACCAATTGGTTTCCGTTTTAAAAATCATTGATGTGTACCGGGTGGCCCAGTAAAGTTAATTAAAACAAAAAAGTTTGTAAAATGAAATACATATAGGCTGTCCCAATTAAAATTCCGCGGGCTTGTATCTTGAAAAAGAATAGAGATATTGAAACTTTGCAAACACCATTGTTTTTAGTCTGAAAGGAAAAACTTAATTCAGTACATTAAACGTTTATTTTTTTATGGATTTTGATAAACCGTCAAATTGCGATTACGACATGCAACATTTACACAATTATTTCTTTTCAGTTGATAGAAAAAATAAAATTTATAAACATACAAAAATAAAAGTTGAATGAAATAAAGCACTCAACACGATACAAATCAATAGGTTTTTGTTGTTTCTTTTTATTTTATTTTCAAATTTCGAAAATGTAATGCACATTATAGACTTTTTAAATGCAGTTTGAATGAAAATAAATTGAATACTGACTTTAAACAAAATATTTCCAACAGAATAAAACAATAATTTTCTTTTGAGTTTTTACTTCTTGAGCATAAGTTTTTGTTTTGTTGATTTTCATAACTCCCAGAGTGTGAAAAAATAGGTCCCCGTTTCTGTCTGTCTGTCGTCTCTGGTCTGTGTCGATTTTATTAGACAGATAATCTCCGAAACTAATGTACTGATTATTATCAAGTTTTATTTGTATTCTATGCATATCATATAGATGGTAAATTGATAACCAAAATTTGTCTAATCATCTCCACCAACAATTTGATACATCACCTAAATGTTATGTATAGTAAACGCTATTTAAATTTTAGAAAATAACATCATCCTAAACTTGTGGTTTACGAAAACACCTACTAGATTTTTAAACCTTAGTACTGCCTAAAATGCGACTGGTTTTGGACAAATGAAATACCCTCTAAGCAAATAAAGGGCGAAGGGTGGGGCTAGTACTTGCTAAGATAAGACTGATTTTGGCAAATGATATACTCTTTAAGAAAATAGAAGACGGGTGGATGGGAGTATTTGCTAAGATAATACTGATTTTGGCAAATGATATACTCTTTATGAAAATAAGAGGGTAGGCAGAGCTAGTACTTCCCAAGATGCGACTCATTTTGGCAAATGATCCTTTAAGAAAATAAAGGGAGGGGGTGGGGCTAGTATAGATTCGGCCACAAAATCTTGGGCAGTTCTGTCATTCGAGTGACATAAGCTGTAAACAGGCTTTACGTACTTATAACCTCAAATTTGCCATGTTTGTCATTTTAACGTAGACTGGCAAGGTTAGTTAATAGAGAACTATCTATTAAATGACTTTGGTAGACTGGAATGTGGATGATGTCAAAATTCCTATGACGTATGTCAAAATTTATTTTTTAAAAGTATCAATCATTATGACAATAAAGCAGACTACATCGTGTTTTTTTTTTTTAATGACAGAAAAATACTGCCCGAGATTTTCTGGCCTAAACTGTACTAGCTAAGATAAGACTGATTTTGGCAAATGATATACTCTTTGAGAAAATAGAGGGTGGGTGGACGGGGCTAGGCCCTGCTAAAATAATACTAATTTTAATTTTTTTTTATTAAATTAAGTTACCCTACAGGCCGAAGGCCCAATTACAGGGGAACGGGGGACATACACAACACCCACAGCAGGGCGGGAATCGAACCCACGACCCAAGGTGTAGCAGGCAAGCACGATGCTACCTAACCCACCTGGGTCCTTTTTGGCATTTGATATACTCTTTAAGAAAACAGAGGGCGGGTGGGCGGGGCTAATAGTTCCTAAGATGTGACTAATTTTGGCACATGGCATACCCTCTAAGAAAATAAAGGGTAGGGGGGGTGGGGCTAGTAGTTGCTAAGATAAGACTGATTTTGGCGGCAAATGATATACTCTAAGAAAACAGACGGCGGGTGGGCGGGGTGAGTACTTCCTAAGATGTGACTGATTTTGGCAAATGATATACTCTTTGAGAAAATAGAGGGCGGGTGGGCGGGGCTAGTACTTGCTAAGATAATACTGATTTTGGCAAATAATATACTGTAGGAACAACCGTTCCCACAAAATCAGGTGTTCTACCTGAGGGCATTCATAGTAATTGTATAAATGTAAATACTTCCTGTCTTTCGTCTACCTGCCCTACGCTCCTACATACTTTCTCTTTTCGCTTCTAGAATTTTCTAAACCTTTCTTTACCTACTTCCACCTCTTCGAAACCGAGCCTACGTGTGTACCATTTTAAACACCCTTCCTTCTTCTCCCTGACACCCTCGAACAGTAAAGAACAAAATAAAAACTGAAAACCGTACCGTCGCTTTTAAATCACCAATAATACCCACAATACCCTCTAAGAAAATAGAGGGCGGGTGGGAGGGGCTAGCACTTCGTAAGGTATGACCGATTTGGATTTTGACATCTTCTCTCTAAGAAAATAAAGGGCCGGTGTACGGGGCTAGTACTTGCCAAGTTAGGACTGATTTTGGCAAATGATATCTTAGCAAATACAAAAAACCCACCCACCCACCCCGTCTTTTCTTTAAGGGTATGTATCATTAGCCAAAATCAGTCTTATCTAAGCAAGTGCAAGCCCCGCCCACCCGCCCTCTAGTTTCTTAAAAGGTATATCTTTTTTCCAACATCAGTCATGTCTTGGCAAATACAAGCCCCGCCCACCCGCCCTATATTTTTTTAAAGGGTATATCGTTTTCCAAAATCAGTCATATCTTAGCAAATACAAAATACATATTTTACCACTCGCTAAAAAATCCTGAGAAGTTAGTCTTATAACTCAGAAGTTTCCAGATTTGCATTTTAACCATCATTTACAAAAAAAATCGCTTTTATCGTAGTTTTTTCAAAGAAAAATTGTCGTTTTTGGAACTTGAAACTTGCAAAAAAATCAAATTTAAATTCGTTTCGAAATTCAGATTTTTTTCCTTCAAAACTCTGACTTATAAATGACCAAATTGCAAGAGTTTCAATCTCTTGAACTTATCATCAGGTCTATAGTCCGTTTACTGAACAGATGGAGTGACCATGTGCGTTTTACAAAGTGAACGTCCAAATCTTCAAAGCTGTAAATTAATAAATCTCGGATAGAAAGTAACATTAATTTTTGCTTTATTACTTTTAAGGGTATTTGTTTTCTGTGGTTTTTGGTCTTGAATTAGTTTATTGAATTTGGCTAATTGTTTCGAGTATTTTTTTACGAATTATTAATCCGATATTGTTATGAATGGAGTCATATTGTGTCTCTGATAAATTGAAATTCCAGGTTTCAATTGCATTATTAACTCGAATATCTTGTCAAGAATGGATTGTTTTTAGAAATCTGGGAATAATATTTGGTCCAAATTCGCATTTTCCCTATTTTCCTATTAAATGAAAATAAAATTCTCTAAATCAAATTTTATCATTTTTATAAGTATTTTATAAACTTTGTAGTCCTAAATACTATTACTGTTTAGCAACATAAATGAAAATTAATTTTCTTTGCTGATCGAAACTCGTATAAAGACGATTCAAACATAATACTGAGTCGTATACTTGTATATCCGTGAAAAATGACAATGAAAGTATCTAAATAAACTCTAAAGTAAAAATGTAGTTGACACTGTAATCGCAATTTAAGACTACCAAAATTCCTTCAAAAAATTTCCTTATAATTTAAAAATATATACAGGTTACTATCATAAGGTTTCCCCTTCAAGGTAAAAATAATGGCGTTTACAGAATTTCAATATCCGTATCCGTTCTCAAGGTACAAGACCGCGAATTTTTAACTGGGACGCCTCTGCTTTTTCAGGAAATGATTTCAACTTCTATTTTCAAATAGCACGCAGTTTGCATTAAGTGTTTTAAATAGTACATTGTTCACTATTCAGTGACAATGTTTCACTCAAGTGTTAAAAAAATTAAAAATATAAGATAGTGGCGAACAATGAATGTATTTTTTTTAAGTGTTAAACCAAATTAGTTAGTATCACATGCTATACTACTGAAATTTGTTAAAAAATGTTTCATTTAAGTCCCTCAAAAAACATACCTACCTTATTCTATTTGCAAAGAAAAATTTGATGCCGTCTCCGAAAAAATTAAATGTGCGATAACACTGTATAGAAATCTTCATGTTATTTAACCATTCTAAATTCCAAGCTTCTGTCTTTTAAAATAACCGAGGTACTAAAGTGGAGTTGGTAAAGTAGGACACCCGGTATATATATTTTCAACTACACTTAAATTCAGTTCACACAAAATTAATTCGTAATTTTCTTAATATTTTCATTTACAACTTTTTATAAACTCCAAGCAATATAAACTTTTCAAAAAACAACGAAAATAATATCACATAGGAGTACAAAAAAATTGTAAACAAAATACGTCTTAAAAAACTGGATTAATGACTTTAATTTTCAAAAAAAAAATCGAAAATTAATAACACACAAAAATGATTTTAAGTAATATATGCACTTAAGTTACTATATGTACTTAAGTAATTAAACGATTCTCAAAATCTTTTGTGATTGTTTCAGTGCTATTTACAACTTTGTTACTCATCGATTTGAAAATTTTCAATTGTTTTCTAAAAATATCAGAACAAGTTTTGTTCAAGTAACAAGAAATTAAAAAACTGAAAAATGCCAATACGATAAAAAACTAACGAACTTTTAAATACATTCCAAAATATAATAACATAGTCACAAATACCGATAAAAATAATTTTAAAAATTTGAAAATTCAAGCAATATTAAACATGATTCAAATTTTATTTTTTACATCCACCAAATTCTTCCGGAATCTCCGTGCATTCAACAAAATGATGATTGTAGAAAACATGTCTCATATACACAGTGAAGTAAAAAGAACTTATTTTTATACGTCGCTCCCTTCACGCGTAATCGTAATTAATAATTATTTTACAGCACCCTCTATAAATCTCTCGACAAAATTTTGTTTTCAAATATTAATTAAAATTGCAAGCTTACTTGCCCTGAAAACAAAAAACGAACTGAAGTAGCTCAGCCTGGAGCTGTTGTTCAAACAAAATATTATAAAATTTGTTCTTTGTCGTTTTTACAACAGTGTCCATAAAAAAGTACTTAATGTAACTTTTTAAGTTCAACAGTTTTGTTCAGGGATGTTTTTACGTATTTTCAATTTTTATCGACACTTTACAAAAAACTAAAATTCGCCTCGAACCTTTGACGCTTTCCCTATATTAAATCAAAGTGCTTGAACAATATCAAGGATCAACTCTAGTCGCATTTTTCTATTTTTTGCAAAATTTACGCTCGAATTTCGCATTTTTCTCTCTAAAAAAAACTTAAATCCCTCAAATCTCACAACAGACTTACGGACGGCCTTCGAACTCATCGACTCGAACCAAGACGGCCGCATCAACCCCGACGAATTCAAAATCATGCTGAAAAATCTCGGCATCGAGCTCGAGGACGAAAAGATCGAAGACCTCATCCGGAGTGCGAGTCACGCAGGTAGGCCAACCCTTGACGAATTCCCGTGCTATAAAATTAAAACCGACAGGCATCGAGGTGATCGACGAAAATGAGTTTCTCACGTGGATCAAACACATCCAGGATTTAAGACCCGAGTCGAAAAGCGAGGACGACGACTCCAAGGAGCTTATGGAGGCGTTCAGGGTCTTCGATCTCGACAACAACGGCTACATCACCCGGGACGAGCTCAGGACCGCCATGGAGAAAATCGGCGAACCCGTCACCGAGGTGCAGCTGACCGAGTTTATCACTTTAGCAGATACAGATAAAGATGGTAGAATTAATTACGAAGGTAAACAAACGAGATTGATGGATCCGGATTTCAAGTTGTTTTTTTGCAGAATTTGCGCGGTTGTTATCGTGAGGTGACGGACTAGATAGACTTTGCGGCGTTGGAAGTGGGGGTTTGGAAAATTTTATTAAATGAGGAATTTCAAGTTAGAGGACAGCAAATATTACGGCTATTAATTATACGAAAATATACTTGGAGACTATTTATATTTGCCGCACTCTAAATTTGGACGCAAGGCTAGAAAGCGGCTGCAGTATAGCTTGTCATATTAAGAAAACAATATTTGGCAGCGGTTACATTGTGGGGTCATAAATTCCCGTTTTGTTCGAGGAATTCGCATTCTTTCAAAATGTCAGCACCCACGTTCGCTTCCACGACTTCTTCATCGTCCTCTGGGAACAACGGCCAACGAAAATAGTCGGAATTTCTTGAAATCCAATATTAGCGAGCGCTGACGTCAGCGATTATCTCTACAAGTGAATTCCTCTAACTTATTGCCTGATTAGCGATAAGCTGTTTAAACTGAATTCGTCTATTATGCAAATGTGTGACACAAATAAAGTTTTCCAAATCTCACTAATAAAGTTATCAGAGAGTGTGTAACTTTCCGGTAGGTGGCAGTAATCAACTTAGTCGTAAATTATTTCATCTTTTACTAGCAAATAAATATCGCTAAGGTTACACGTACGTAACTACTCGTATTATGTACAAAATAGGTTTATGTAAATATAAGGAACTAATAAATTACATTTTGAACATCGAATTATGGCGAATAAAACATTCACAGCACTAATGAGGTAGAAAATTTACGATTCCCTACGCATACAAAACCCCGGACTGGTAGTCGCTTTTACAACCATTCCTCAACAGAGATTGCCTCTGATACCTACATTTTAAATCGTCAACATCCAAATATTTGTTGTCTCGAAAATTTTGCAACAAAAATATGGCAACAATCACGACTAGGAAACCGCACGTACTTCCCAGAATATCCTCAAAACTCATATTCCCCCACTCGTTAAATAAAATCGCCGATGCGATGATCACCAAACTAGTGAACATCACATAATAAACCGGCGTCACAACACTAGTGTTGAATAAATCTAAAGCTTTGTTCAAATAATTCATCTGAATAAAAATACATATTACCACGGTCATCAAAAACATACAAGCTGCCCAATAACTCGTGTTATTATTAGACTCGGACAACGTCTCGCTTATCGCCAACCCCAATCCTTTACACGCCATAACCAACAAACTTCCGACTGCCGAACACAACGTGATGTACACCATCACGTGCCTATTCCCATACCGAGGTCCCATGTAGAAACCTATAAACACAGTCACCAAAGCCACAAAAACGACATAATCGAGAAAATACGTCCGGTGTACTTTGTCCAGTAGCTCCTCCACAGACTTAACCTCCTGTTCTTTGGGGGAATGTATAATCAACACAATCGAACCCAAAATGCACAGCAAACACCCCAACTTAAAACCAAAAGTTAGTTAATGAAATTACCACAACTCGAATTACCTTTCCCAGCGAGTTCAACGTTTCGTTGAGAAACTTTGAGGATAATACTGCTGACACTAACACGCTTAGGGCTCCTAAAGGTGTTACTAGCGAAGCAGGTGCAAATGTGTAAGCCGCAAAATTTGCTAACTCGCCAATACCCACTAAAACCACTCAGTTAACACAAGAAAGACTTACGGGAATCTACGTACTTGTTATGAGTCCTAGCCACCACATCCAGTCTTTGAGATAACCGTAGCCGCCAGCTCCAGCTCGAATGGCCCCTTTGCGGTTAAGTCGCAAAAGAGCCAATTTCTTTATTATAAAACTCGACCCTATGAAAAGGGTGGACAGTAAAGCTAGCCCTAAACCGACAAAAAAGGATAATTTGTTCTGTTCTTGTTCGTTCCATTCTCGTCGGGTTGAAGATTCCATTACGTTATTTTGAGGTTATGAACAGGTGATGATGATTACATTCTCTGGAAGTAATTTAGGTGATAAATATTATCTGGAATTGGTGATTCATACCTAAAGCAGCTCAGAATCAACAATCCCTACCTTGTTCGTCAGTGACAATCATTTGTTTATACACACTGATACCATATGGATGCGTTTGTGTGCTTTTACATTAAAACACAAACTATAAATTAGTCAAAAATAGTTTATAACATTATTTAGAACATTTGGTACTTAAAATGTAAACAATAAAAAACGAGAACATGAAATTTAATGTTTTCTAATGGTGAACCAAGGTGGCAGCACTTTCTTTTTTGATTTGACGTTTCTATTGACGATTGTGGTCTGAGTTGGTTCTTCGGACGTAGGTTTGGTATTCCCCTCGTCACACTTATTTGGGGCTGGACTTTTAGGTGGAGAACCAAGAATGTCATCATAGTCAGAAACATCAAACTCAGTCTTAATCTTCTTGGCTGGCGATTCAGTAACTTCTGGTTGTGTTTGTGGGAAGTCTTTGATTTCACTCTTGACAACCCAATCCTTGTCACTACAACCCTCTGAATCTACTTCATTGTACTGAAAATCTTCAAATTCTTGATACGGAATGTTAAGTTTCTCAAGATGGCAGCGCACTTGCAAATACGCTAGCACGGTCCTTATGTCATCAAACGTTATTTCGGGAGGGCACTGTTCTTTTAAGGGGGTTAGTTTCACTGGTGTAAAACCTGCAGAGCAAAAATATGTATCGTTTCACGATATGGAACTAAGGACACAAATCTGTGTCATTTTTATAAAATTAGAAGCGACATTTCGTACATAAATTTTCCTGGAATAAATTCAACAATTTAAAAATTAATATTCACAAAGTATATAAATAGATATTAAAACTGTTTTCTCAAATGTTTACAGTTGTTTGATGCGACATCATTAACTTTGAGCCGAATATAGCTCCAAGTGCATTTTCTTCAAGCAGAACAATAAATTTTGTCAACACTTCTATTCCACCTTGGAAGAATTTTCCAGGAAAACATGCAATTGGCTTATCTTTAATTGTTCTAGATGTTGCGACTGTGACGTAGTTTTAATACTTGATAAAAATATTTATTCTTGTTAAAATTCTTAAATTGCGCTGTTTGTTGAAATTTTAAACGAGATTTTTTTTTATTCTTTATATTCCGATTTTGTTAGCGTTTCTCATAAAATCATAATCGCGTTGGTACATTTATCTTTAATTGTTTATTATATTATTAGACAATTGTATTTTGTATTTATTTTCTACAGTGTCGGATTGTGCTACCGGGACACCGGGAAATTTCCCAGTGGGCCCCAAAAGTCTACTTCTTTTTTTTTTGATAAAATTATTTGCATTTTTCACATATACAGAATGTTACATTAATTTTATTGCATTTGTAACATATTAAGAACAAAAGGCAAAATGTAATCATCACAACTGAGATAGGGCGGGTGGACGGGGTTTATATGTTGCCTTTTTTTCTTAATATACATAGAATTCGACGATACTCAAAAATCATCACATTTGAGGCAGGGCGGGTGGGCGGGCTTACATTTTACCTTTTTGTTTTAATATGTGTAGGTTTCTTTTTAGAACATGAAACTTAAAACATGTTTAAAATGGAAAATTTGTATAAGAAAGTATCGATTTTGTAAATAGGCTCCGCCCCATAATTGCAAAATCCATATTTTCTTGCAAAAATGTACCATTTTAACTGTTCTAAATTTCTTGTTGTGAAAAGATGGCTATGCACATTAAGAAAAAAACGCAAAATGTATATATTTATATTCCTAAAAATATAACAAGCGCATAAAAAATTTATAGGATTTTAAAAAATAAGACTGTCATAGCGAATATTTTTTAAATTTTAAACCAAAACCACCAAAACTGCATGTTTTTGGAGTCAACTTATCGAGCTCTACATCCCAGAATTTTTTGTGGAATTTAGGTACTTTTCCAAAATCGCTATTCTTTCAATATGCCTTTTTTTTAGCAGTATTCGATCACTTCTGAAAATTAACTAAAGATTTTTTTTAATACATTTTAATTTCCAGAAGTTATTTTCATCTTCATTTCCTGGGAAATTGCCACCATTTTTCGAAAATTTACAATATAAACTATAACAATTTTTTATAATTTCAATATTCACAACGAATACAGTTGAGATGGCGGTGAGTAGGCGGAGCTTAAATTTTGCCTTTTTTCTGGATATACGTAACAATCTTTTCACGACAATATTTAAAACGTTTAAAATGATAATTTTTTGTCGGGAAACATCGATCTTACAATTAAGCTCCGCCCCTCTGTCTGACGACGAATGAAAAATTCATCACAATTGAGATTGTGGCGGGTGGGTGGGGCTTATTTTTTTATATAATATATAGTTTCCCTTCAGCAACATGTTACATAAAGACATGTTTCGGGTGGCAGTTTCTTGTAGAGAAATAAGCATTTTGCAATAAACTCCGCCCTTCGGTTGACAACGAATAAAAACGTTATCACAACTGAGATGAGCGCGGGTGGGCGGGGTTTGTATTTTGCCTTTTTTTTCTTAATATATGTACGTAGTTTTCTTTTCACGACAAGAAACTGAAAACATGTTTAAAAGGGTGAATTTGTAGAAAAGTGTGTGAGATAAAATTTACCATTTTAAACATGTTTTCAGTTTCTTGTTGTGAAGGAAAGACTATGTACATTAAGACAAAAAAATTCAAAACATAAGCCCCACCCACCCACCCTATCTCAATTGTGACGATTTTTCTGCATTCGTCGTTAGTCATGGGGGGCGGAGCTTAATTGCAAAATCCATATTTTTCTACAAGAATTACCATGTGAAACATCTTCTTCAGTGATAGTGTTGCTCAAAGAAAACTATATGTATTTAGTAAAAAAAAAAGATAAGCCCCACCCATCTGCCTGGATGTCAATCATGATGACTTTTCAATTCGTTATCGGACTGAGGGGCGGAGCGTAATTGCAAAATCTATACTTCCTGTTTTAAACATGTTTTAAGTTTCTTGTTGCGAAAAGAAGACTACGAATATTAAGGAAAAAAAAAAAGGCAAAATATAAGCTGCCTCTTTTTACCTGTTTTTTCCTTTATCTAGTTTAAGGTACTTTGTCATTTTTTAAGTAAACAGGCCAATTTTGACGTTGGAATTTTTTTTATTGCTTTTTTATAAGACAGTTTTTGTGGTGAAATTTTTTTAATGAATTTTTTTCACATTTCACCCCATTTTTAAGGTTATTTTTTAAAAAGTTGTGGATTTCTAAGGAGTTTGACCATGATTCCAGCGGATCCATATAGAAACCGCTGACTGATTAAAAAAATAAATAAAAAAATTGACCTATTTAAAAAAATGATAAAGCACCTTATATTAAATTAAAAAACAAAATTTGGAGTGAAACGTACCATTTTACTTACTAAATGTGTAAATGGGCCCCTTTTTTGGTACTATATCTTTAATTTTATAGGATTGCATACTGCCACATGTGTGATTCATGAATCCGTATCGAGTTTTCACCCTAAACATCCATACTTTTGGAGAAAAAATCAAAATTGGGTAACATTTTACAATTTAACTTTGAAATTGTAAAATCGAATGCTTTAAAAATTCACAAGTTTTTTAAGATTATCGGAAGCATGGCAAATCGTTAATGAAAATTTTTTCGTTTATGGCCTCCTAAAAATTGTGACGTCATTTTATAATGTTGTAGAAGAAATGATTATTAAATTTTGTAGAACTACATACTCCATGTACATGTAATTTAGAATCCGTGTTGAGTTTTTAGCCTTGACATCGAGATTTTTGGGAAAAAATTCAAAATTATATTTTAGAACTTAACTTTAAAATTGCAAAAGTAAATGTACTGAAATATTGCAAACGTTTTAAGGTTATAGGAAAGATACAGATGATAAATCGTTAATCAAAATTTGTTCATTTAAGACTTTCCTAAAAAATTATGACGTCATCTTAGAATTCTGCCGAACAAATGTTCTTTAAATTCTATCAAATAACATTCCGGCATATGTGATTATGAATCCGTGTTGAATTTTTATCCTTAGCATCCAGATTTTTATAAAAAAAAAAATCAACATTGTATAACAATATTTTACAATTTAACTTTTTACAAACGTGCAAATATTTTAAGATTATTTGAAACATGGTAAATCGTTAATCAAAATTTGGCCGTCAACTTACATTTGTGCAGAATTTCTTCAAATTTATTAGTGTTTTTGGGAAAAAACTGAGTATGAATTAATCAATGTCATTTCCTCTGCGTTGAGGACACAAAATCAGCTAAATTTCGTTTTCTTTTCCTAATGTTTATGCTAGTACTCGGTCGAAGTATAAACATAAACAGTCGAAGTTAAGCATATACTGAGAAATCGAGAATGTCTAAATTTTTTTCCCGTTAGTTATCTGCTTTTAATATATATTTTATATTGAAAGACGCAGGGGTTGCGGAGATGTTAATCACGCCACTTTATAAAAGTTAACAGTTATCACAAATCGAAAATCGCAGAATCTAATTTTATAATTTTTTAAACAAGCGGAATTTATCGAACCATATTTCAAGGGCGAGGGAAGTTCTTCCACAATTTTTTTACTAGCTGTGTTTTTCTTGGTAGCCTCATCAAAATTCCAAAAACATTTTTTTTTCAAAAAGCCAAATTGAAAATAATAATAATAATAATAGCCAAACACCATCTGTATACAATACCACAGGGCCCCACTTTGTAAATTTTCCGGTGGACCCCCATGTTCGACACAGATTCTCTATGTATTAAAATAAAAAATACTGACATTTAAAAAAAAATAAAAATACTAATAATTTAATTCGAATTTTCAAAATAGGTGTCAAGCTCATAATCAGTATTAATAAGATGCATTTTTTACTAGACATCAACGCATTCCTTGACGTCTTTGTTTCGTGGAAATTCAATATTTACGGATTTGCGTACACGTTATATTATTAAAGATTCATCAACACTGCGCTTTATCCCGCAATGTAGGTTACACCACAGCAAAAAACCAAACAAACAGTCTATTTTTATTGCAAAACCTACCGGTCATGCAGAATTTCCTATAAACCTTAACAATCACATCCCGGTTTTCCTCCGTGACGCCCAACTCCGCCATTTTAATGGGATACCCAAATTTGATTCCCAGCAACAAATGTGACACTATAGTCCCCTTCGTCACGCTCCTCTTCTCCGCAATTTCCCCCACAGTGAGACCCGACTCTATCATGGTACAAGAAACTTGGGCCGTCAGACCCATTGAAACTTCTGGCAACGGATTCCGCCCGAGAATCTCTTTGATTGAGAGCTTCCTGCCGCTTGACACCTGTCTTGAAGTGCCAGTGATGACTTCCAAAAATATGTCGCCAAATTTATTTATTTTGGCTTCCGTAAACCCGTCAACTGAAACGGCAACAATGTAGCGAAATCAAAAACAAGTGGATTTATTACGGTTTAAGCTGCGCAATTCTGGAAGAGTGGCGGGTCTGAGCTTTGACATGGTCATTAAGGCCGCGTTTGAGGCGACCATGTACGGCATACAGTCGAGCTGGGAGGCGATTTCGCCTCTCTGTTCGAGGAGTTTGCGATATAAAGCCATGCGTTTGTCGATTTCGGCTTGGGTTTCGGTGGTTTCGGGAACTGGTTTCTTGCTGGTTGAAGGGGCAATGGTGGGTTTTTGTGTGGAGGATATCCACACGCTGCTAACATTATTATTAAACTAATAATCATACAAATAGTTTAAATTTTAGTACCTAGACGTCTTTTGAGGGTTCGATTTTGGCTTCAATAACTTAACAATGGTAGATGTCGGAGGTATTACAAGTTTTTCGTCGCTAGAAATCATCCCCCTTCCTTTATCTGACAACGAAATTGCAACATATGTAAACCCCATTGACGTTTTTTCGGTTTTTTCGAGCAAATATTTTTCTTGTACGAGAAGCTTGGCTAAAACACGAAAATTTTGAAATAATGACTCACATATTTTTATTTAGAAACAGGAAACATAAATAAATGCAATTATACGCATAAATAACGCGTCAACTTTAAAGAAACCGCTTCTTTAAAAATAATTTACAAAAAACGAACGCGACAAGCTATAAAAATTGGTGTCAAAACGTTTAAAATTATAACGTATGTACTTCGCGTCAAAAACGCGACTATAAATAGCTCCAGACTGAAAAATCTACGAATTTTGGTAGTGGAAAATGTTGTAAACTTACAAAACACTATTGTCACATTGGAAAAGTTGCCATGTATTTTAAATGAATTATGTGGCAACAACTGGCTAAAAATATAATTAGTGATGCATGGCTTACCAATGGCCTGCCACCAAGCTTCTGACCGGTTTTTTCCGCTCCCAAAAAATTCATGTTTTCTTTCACGTTCGTGAAGTTTTGACGAATTCGAGCCCCTGAGAAATAAAATATAAATTCCTAAACCAAATTTCGCGCTATTGAAGACGGATACAGCTTTCAGGAATGTTTTAGCGTCTTTAGTAAAATCGTAGCAGCCATTTTCGTCTATCCCTTCGTATTTTTCGCAATCAGTCCTAGCGTCACACAATCTACAACCGTTTGAAGATTTAAAAATCCACTATATACAATTATAAAAATTTATAGCGCATACATTTTTGTGCAAATATCACAGCAAGTCTTCCTAGGTTTGTCCAAGTGATCAACCTTATCCTCAAAATGTTCCAAAATAAACCGCCGCCGGCACTTTCGCGTCATAAAGTACTCTTCTATTTTTTTCAAACTAGCCTCCTTTTGCTCTAAACTACCGCTAGATGTCGAATTCAGACACCTATTGCACACGTTATTATTACTAAGTGGGTGACACTTAAGTCACTTAATACCTAAGAATACGAAAATCACCATTAGCATAAAACGTTGCACAGTGTGCTGGAAGACCGTCGCGACCAGCTCTCCCAACTTCCTGGTAATAACTTTCTATGCTTTTAGAGCAACCATAATGAATGACGTTTCGGATGTCTGGTTTATCAATTCCCATTCCAAAAGCAATTGTGGCTACAATTACATCAACTTTGTCTTTTACAAATAGCCTGTGAGTTTCCTCTCTTGTGTCTATTGATAAACCGGCGTGATAAGGGAGACATTTAATACCACTACCTTTGAAAAAAACTCCTCTGTGATTCAATATTTGATTCACAATACTTACCCTTTAATATAGTAGCTAACTCTTCAGTTTCTTTTCGTGTAATACAATAGATAATGGTTGATCCTGAAAACTTCCAAGTAGCGCCTTCATAACTCATAAACTTGTTTAAATCCTTGAATACGCCACCTGAACTTTTCATATTAACTTCAAAATAAATGTTAGGCCTATCAAATCCAGTGCAAATATGCAAAGGATTTCTATAACCGCGCGATTAGTGTGTTAAATTGTAAATATGGCGAAATACCGTAGTTTTAAGTTTGTGATAATATCCTGGCGCACTCTTGAAGTGGCAGTAGCGGTGACCGCTATAATTGGTACCTCTGCAAAAATCGTCCTCAAAGTCCCCAACTGTCGATACTGGTGGCGAAAATCGTGCCCCCATGAACTAATACAGTGCGCTTCATCAATAGCAATGAGCACAACTGAAAGCTCAGTGCTCATTTTTTTTAATAAGTCAGCGCCATAATCGCCTGTGCAAAATTCCGGCGTCAAGTATACCAAACTGTATTTATTTTTAAAAATGTCTTCAACTACCGCCTTTTGCTTTTTTTGAGCTGTCCCTAAGAGGCAGGCTGGGATATTTGATACCTATGATGGTCAGAATAAACAATAAAATTTTAAACCACACAGTCACTTACTTCTAATGACAACACTTGATCTTCCATTAAGGCGATCAAAGGCGAAATTACTAACGTTATTCCACTTAGGAAAGTTGATGGGAACTGAAAACACAAGGATTTACCATAGCCAGTGCTCATTACAGCACAGACGTCTCTCCGATTATAAATTATAGCGGAAATGATTTCCCATTGCATTGGTCGGAAGTTCTGGTGGCCAAAATAGTTCAACAATACTTGTATGTGTTCAGGACCTGGATCTTTCTTAATTTCTAGTTTTGATAATTCTGGCTTAACCTAAATATCTATGTAAAATCTTGATAACATGACACTTAATTATTTACCTCTTTTTGACATTCTTCAGTAAAACTATCCATAAATTGATCAAGAATGTCATCATCGATGTCACTCAAATCCATTTTAACACAAAAATTAACAAAAACAGAAAAAAAAACAAATCAACGTATTTTGATTTTGTTTTGGTGTCAATATGGTTAGTCATTGATATAAACATATACAACCCAATGTCACTAGAATCTCGTAAGAAGCAATGGGAGCATGCATACCAACCACGACTTTTGAATACCCCGAATTAAATACACATGTGATGGTGATACACATTCTGTGTTTTGACCGTTAATAATAATGTTATTGTTTACGTACGTGTTTACGGTGTTTTGATAATGTTCGTTAAAATCATTTTTTAAATGTGACGATGCCGAAGACTCCAGCGCAAGTCGACAGTGTCAAATCAAACCCTTTCATTACTAAAAGCATAAGCAAGAGTCTTTTAACACCCTGTCGACAAGTTGGGTTATCAAGAAAGAGGAAAACCCCTAACAGCGCTAATAGTAGTTTCTCAGAGAGTTTTGTTAATCCGTCAGTGTCTTCCTCTTTAGAAACAACGCCAGTAAGCGCAAATTCTTTGGCGCCAATAGCTGAAGATGGAAAGGTTATTTCTGAACAAATTCTAAACTCAAAAGTGAAAAAGAAAGCGCGGGTTTCTAAACGTCTTATAACAGATGATGAATCATCAGAAAATTCAACTTCAGATAATGCTAACAAGAAACAGTGTCTTGTGGATTCCAGAAATGAGGAAACAGTTATACTGGAAACAAAAGATGGTGATTTTGATGTGGATCAAGAGAAGTCTTCAAAGAACCAAACCACTACTAAAGTAGAATCAAAGACAACAAAGAATGAAATTAAGTTGAGAAAATCACCAAGGAAAAACAAAAAAGCAGTTATTTCTAGTGATGAAGAAGATACAAACTTTGGAAATACTAAAAGTTGTAATAAAAGTAGTCTAAATGTTCAACAAGGTAGCCGTGATATGAATGATTTTAAAAATTCAGAAGATGATTCCAATATTAAGAAACAGAGTGAAAAATCATGTGTGGAAACAAAAGATGGTGACCAGGAAATGTCTTCAACGAAGCTAGTTGGTTGTAAAGTGAAATCAAAGACAACAAAGAATGAAATTAAGTTGAGAAAGTCACCAAGGAAAAGCAAAAAAGCAATAATTTCCAGTGATGAAGAGGATACATATTATGAGAATAATAAAAGTTGTAAAAGTAGTCTAAATGTTCAAAAAGGTAGCCATGATATGAATGATTTTAAAAATACAGAAGATGGTGACCAGGAAACGTCTTCAATGAAGCAAGTTGGTTGTAAAGTAGAATCAAAGACAACAAAGAGTGAAATTAAGTTGAGAAAGTCACCAAGAAAAAGCAAAAAGGCAATAATTTCCAGTGATGAAGAGGATACATATTATGAAAATAATAAAAGTTGTAAAAGTAGTCCAAATGTTCAAAAAGGTAGCCATGATATGAATGAATTTAAAAATTCAGGAAATGATCCCAGTGTAAAGGAGAAGGAAAAGTCATGTGTTGTGAAAGCAAGCTCGAAGTCAAAAAAACGAGAAAGTAAAGACAAACCAAAATTATCCCAGAGAAACAAACAGAAAATTATAACAATTTTAAGTGATGATGATGATGATGACTTTAATAACAAAAATAATAAAAACAGTCACAAAAACGTGGAAGATGTTCATCAAAAAAGCACATCAGAAACAAGTAGCCAGGAAATAAATAACTTGAAAGTAAATGGAGACTCCATCAAAGACAATATTAAACCTCAAGAAAAAGAAACTAAGGAAGATACAGCAACGCTTCATCCAAACCATGAAAAGAAAGATGAAAATGACTCACAGAGTGTTTTTAAAGATGTTACTAATGAAACAGATCTCCGGTCGCCCCCAACAGCCATCAGTGACCACGATTATTTTGTTAAATCAAAACAAAAAACTAAAAAAATTAAACGTTCATTGTCAATGAAGAAGTCCACCAGTGAAGATAAAAATCCAAATGAGGATTTAGCGATAAAGGATTGTGTAATAACTTTGACGCCCATTGACATGAATAGCGACTCAAAAGACAAATTTCCTTCAACTGAAGACATACAAAATCTTGAAAAACAAGTAAACGAAAAGCGGAAGCTTCTGGATGATTTAAGACAAGCGGAAATCTACAAAAAGAAGCATAATTTAAAAGAACTGCAAGAATTGACAGCCCGCTGGAAAACAGGGTGTATTTTAGCACTGAATGATCTGTTGCCTCAACTGCAGCAGCACGCCGCTATTGATATGGCAACACTGCTAAAAAACTTACACATACCACCTGAAATGGTCACACTTTCACAAGATGGAAACTTAATTTAGTATATTTTTCATTAATTAAATAAGGTGTAACTATGTTTATATTTTGGTTGATCAGATTCAAAGAAACTATATTTATTTTTAAATATATTTGTACCTAATTCGATCCCCTATTTTAATTAACTTAGAACCTGTGAGGTCTTATTGGATTATCAGTATCAAATAATTTAGGGTCCTTCAAATAACAGGGCTCTTTTAAATATGTCGCCATTAAACCAGCGGCTTGCGCTTTCATAATTTCGGCTTCCACTAGTTTCTGCTGCGTTTCACACAAGCCAGTAATGTGTTTGCCATAAATTCGTCCAGTGTAAGGTGACTGAAATTGTGATAGCAACTTGACATTTTTGTAATCTGGAGTTATCTTAAGTCGACATAAAAGGCACTGCTGTTTTTCTTTTTCAAATGGATTTTCCATATCAAAAAGGGGCTCATCGTTGGCGGCGGCTGAACTGGACTGTCTGATTACTGAGGAACGAACGAAACTTCGTGGAATAACTACAAAAAAATTAACTGTTTCTTATGTTTACGTATTTGCTATTACTCGAACCTGCACTTGCTGTTAATAACTGGCGAAACATTACGATTTGGCTATTTATGGCGTTTTTGAATTTTAAGGTTAGGAAGGTTAGTTCTAGTGACTTTCGTTGGTCTCTATTGGTATTGGTCACTTGCTACCACACAATTTTAAGCTTGATTAACCCAATGTTGCCAAACAACCGATTTTTCGTAACTTGGAATAAACCGAGTGTCTCACATTTTATTAATTAGGAAATAATTTGCACTGAAAAGCGAATTCAATTTTTCCGAGCTTTCGCGACGTGGACCGACACGTTCCGACCTGTTTAGGAAATTCCGTTCCCATGGTAGAAGAAGACATGGTATAGGCATACGCATCTGGTGTGACGTCAAGTGGGGTGAAATTAGCGCGAAATTTAAAATACAATTCGTTATCCAACAACTAATTGACGTATTGGACAGAGCAATGACAACTCAAGCTGAAATTCCCTAGACTTCCCTAGCGAAGCTCACAAGAGTCACAAGGTCGTTGATGCCACCTAACGTCACAAATGGATGCGCAGACCATTTTTAAATTGGTACATCGGATGCCTATACCATGTCTCCTTCTACCATGTTCCGTTCCGTTCGTCTGTCACCGATCCGGCAACCCTGCTTCCTCTCATAAAAGCTGTCAGTTGATTTCCCATCCGAGCAACTTCATTAATGTCAAAAATGAAGATGGCTGATGGTTCTACAGTGGTGCGGAGAAATCGGCCAGGCACAAAAGCCAAGGTAAAATACACCCAACGGCCCTAACCCACCCGTAACTGAACCCTCCACCAAAACGCCCATATAACCTTCAAATCACTAATCAATAAAATCTGTTCTCCCAGTTACCCAGTTTCGTGAGCCCTATTGATTCATTCAATCGTTGCAGGACTTTTGCCGATGGCCCGACGAACCGTTCGAGGAAATGGACAGCACTTTGGCTGTCCAGCAATACATACAGCAGCTAATCAGACACAACCCTGCCAACATCGACTTGATTTTAAAAATGCCTGAGTCTCAAGATGAAGGGGTATGGAAATACGAGCACTTGCGGCAGTTCTGCATGGAATTGAACGGACTCGCGGTCCGGCTTCAAGGCGAGTGTCACCCGGAAACGTGCACTCAAATGACTGCCACCGAACAATGGATTTTCCTTTGTGCCGCTCACAAAACACCAAAAGAATGCCCTGCTATAGACTACACGCGCCACACGCTCGACGGCGCCGCTTGTCTTTTGAATAGTAATAAATACTTCCCCAGCAGAGTCAGTATTAAAGAGTCTTCGGTAGCCAAGCTGGGGTCAGTCTGTCGACGAGTCTACCGGATTTTCTCGCACGCGTATTTCCACCACCGGTCGATTTTCGACGAGTTCGAAAACGAGACTTGCTTATGCAAGAGGTTTACGCAGTTCGTGACGAAGTATAACTTGATGTCAAAGGATAATCTCATTGTTCCAATTCTCGAAGATGAAAATACACCAGGGGAATCTGAAGCGTAGGTTAAGTTAGGTGTATGTCTCTAGGACGTTGTCAAATTTCTTGAATTAGGTTGGCGTGGAGTTGTGTACACTCGATTTCTACATACCTCTGGTATTGCGACTTGTTCATACTGAACAGATTTTTTTCTTAGGTTTAAGCTCATGTTCCAACTATCAAGTTTCATTCATAGTTTATTTTTCATATTGTCTAATAAGTGTGAAGTTCTGTGGCGGCTCTGAGCCCTATATGCTTGTTCAAGCAACTCACCATACATGTACATGTGGATTCTTGTAGAGATGAAAGTGTATATATTTATTTTGATTTAGAGTTGGTTAGAAATGTAATAAACATGACAAATAAATTATTGTAGATGAAAAAATTTAACCAATCGTAAAACGGTATTGCGCATCCTCGACAAAAATTTGATGGACGTCATCACCATTTCGCTTGAAACATACATTGAATACAAATTTTACAACTGCAGTCAGTAGTCAAAAAAAGGCAGGAGTATATCATACGGGCTAGGACACAAATATGGACGTGACATGGGATACGGTTGGCGCTTCAGAGAGCAGGTAAGTTCCGTCTCACTCTTCAGACCAACTTTTAGCTACAATGTATTTCCAAGCTTTTAACATTACATTTCACAAATATACATAGTTATAGTTTTTCTACAAATTAACAGTGAAAATTCACATAAAAACATTTGAGAGCATACCTTGAATTACTTGATACACGTTTCTATCCCAACATCAAGCTGTCTTAACGTGATTCATTTAACTTACGAGTATTCTTCACGGAAAAAGAATAAAAACATCCGCTATTCGAAAAAAAAAGAATAAGACGAAATCATGATAAAACAAGACTACACACTAAACTGGCTAACTGGAGATAATTGAAGTAAAGAAAAATAAAATGAAGATTTGTAACACTTTCAATAAATTTAGCATCTGGTTTCATACAATCCGCTACGCCCAATATACCTTACCCATTTTATAACATCGTGATCAGAGTAATTCAGTTTAGGTTCAAACACTTTTAAATATCTTACTTTGAACCCAGATGGTGCAAAAGGTACCTCAAAATTCATAGAAATAGGTGGACGTGTCCATTTTTTCTTCGTATCGGTTTCCAAAAGCTCGATTTCGGCAGACAATTGAGTTTCCTTCATCCCGGCCATGCGCTTAATCCTGAAACAACACAGTTAAATCTACCACCGCTCAAATCTGAATACTCACTTCCAAACTATGGCGTTTTCAGATGCTTTATACTTAGCTTTGCCCTTCAAACAAATCAATTGTACACCGGAAGTGTTCAAGGGAGTCGGAATCTTCACTTCAATCTTCTGACCCAGCAGCGACGGCTTGAAATTGCTCTTCAGTACGACTTTCACTTCCATCTTGGTACGTCCGACTTCGCGTACCAGCGGGATGACACGGAAGGGCAAAGATATGTCTTTCGTCGTACGGTATCTCATCAACTCAAATTCCCCATCCGGTGGAATAAAACTAATGGAATGTTCAGTTTCGAATTTACTAAGCTTGACGCACTGATGGAACTGGCAATCGTCGATGACCACCACGGGTTTCCCGGAACGGGTCTGATCTGAATCGGAAGTTGACCCTAAGCCCCCCTTACCTTTAGCTTCCATGACGATTTTATCGTTAATGCCGAATTTGCACTCTGGCATTCCGGATAGGTAGGATTTCATCACCACCTTGCCGGCAACGTGAGCGGATAGGACTTGACCTAGTTAAACGTAAAATGAAGAGAAGTTTTTGCCTGGACTATCTAACTACCTTGTGGAGACATGAGAAGGTTGACGTACTCCAAGACGTCTAAAAATAGTTCGTTGCGGCGGTATTTGATACCTTCACGCCTCCAACCGATCTGTCCTGTGACCTGAGAGGTAATCTGAGCTTGTTCTTCTTTAGTGGCTGATTTGATCCCTTGTTGAGTGATGAAGGTTTTCAAAACACCGGTGTCGGTGTTTTGGGGGTAGCCAAAGTCCAAAATTTCTGCACAAACACATTGTGATGCAGCAAATCTAACAAATTCAGTCAATAAACTGGTATTTATGCGTTTTTAGAAGTTTTAGACGCCTCAAGCAACACACAAACATATTAAGGGTAGCAAATGTCAATAAAAACGCCTCTAGTAGGCCATGAAATTTATTTGTAAAATAATTATGTTGGTATTGCAGTATTGCATGGCCTGCTAGATGACTTTTCTCGAGCATGTGGACATCTAGCTTTAAAAAAAAACATGGCGAAAATAACCAAGCTCATGAATAAAATATAGGAGTATAAAATTTGCCGCAAAAAACAAATCTCGTATCGTGCACATGCGCACTGAAATAAACACAGGGGCAGAAAACTTGCGTATTCGTTACAATTTACTGTGGCGTGAAACAAACCAGCCAAAATAAATTAAAACAATATTGTTTGTGGAAACTTTACAAAAAAACCTCATCCATACCATCTAAAAGCTCATAAATAAGGACAAAGTTGTTCTTGATGTTTTCTTCAGAGATTTTCCCGAAGTACGACTGCATGACTTCAATAATCTTCAACAGGAACTCAAACACCATCGCCGCGTTCACATTTTGCTTGGTGACGGCCGCTATCCAAATATTGGCTCTCTGTAAAAAAAAAACAATGCACCTATTCTACCCCACTGGGTGAAATTACCTTAATGTGAAAGAACGACGTGCGAGCTATGTTGGTTACAGGCGACCGAACTTGCTGTCTGGCGTGTATAACATTGACACGAAACGCATCGACTGCATTTCTGCCAATATCATCCCTGTAAACTCGGGAGATCAGCACCTCACCTTTGTGGTTGTATACGAACAACCCTCCAATCATTGTGCCGATCTCTGCTGCACCCTACCACCCTGAAACAAAGCAAAATAAACAAGGAAGCCGGAAAAGTCGTACGATAGTATTTATCAGGGATCATCTTCAAGTCTTGATTATTAAGAGACTTGAAAGTCGGGAGACAATTGGTAGTGAGTAAATAGAGACCGACTTACGCAGAAATAGAATCATTGGGGCTTTGCCAACTGCACAGTTTCGTGGCTACAGGACTTTTCGATGATACCGGATCACTTTACGCAGCCATCATACACCCACTTTTTTGACACATTGACATTGACAACCTGTCACTGCGCTAGTCAAATAACTATTCATTCTACAACGATACCGACACTTTGATTATCAAAGTCATCACAAATGCCTCTAAAATAATATGGTTACACGTAAAAAAGCACTCAACCACTCAGCGCAACGACTTTTATAAGTTAAATCGATTTTAATTTAGTAACTATACTACGATTTTTGGGGATTTTTGCTTCTACGTGTGGCGACCCGCGTTATCAACTTTTGACAGTTTTCTGACATCCCAATGACATTTGTTTTTGTTAACCTTGGAATTTGATATCAATATTATACTTGCAAATAAAACAGTGATTACAAATATTTATAATTACAAGTCCTAGTGGAAATTACACGTGTTTTTTTTAAATTCCAGTGGTAGGTAAACATTCAGTACTTGAATTTAAAAAGATGTCAGATCAGGTGACCACCACAGAAGAAAGCCCCAAAGAACCCTCAATCAGAGAGGATTTAGTAATATAATTGCCTGTAAAACTTCGTCATTTTAAAGGTTACTTTTAGGTCAATACAGCGATAAAGTTCTTAGAAAACCCAAATGTAATTAAGACGTCTCTGGCGGAGCAACAAAGGTTTCTTAAGCGCAAAGGTTTAACAGATGAGGAAATTCGTTCGGCTTGTGAAAAATCGGGAGCTTATGCGTATCATGAACAGAAAAGTAGGACACCTCCTCCTTTACCGGGATCAACAAACCCTCTTGTCCCGTATGGGACAGGGACCGTTCAACTTAGTTTATTTGATAGAATAAGGGAACTTGTACATAATGTGGCCATTTTTAGTTTTGCAGCATATGTAGTGTACAAATTTTATGAGGTAAGTTTTTAATCGTGAAGAATATGTATACATCTTGTGGTTGTAGAAATTCATAGCGCCGTTTTTGTTTGGTAAAAAGAAAAAAAGTATAGAAGACTCAATAGATGAACTAGATAAAAACATGAAGCAGTCTGTCAGTGATCTTCAAAGCAGTCTATCCAGTGTGAAAGTAGAAGTAGACAAAATTAGTTCAGGAGCTGATAGCAATACTCAGAGACAATTATCAGACTTAAAATCTGAGATAGCCACAGTTAAAGGTCTTCTTCTCAGCCGGTAATTAAAAAAAAGGAGTTGTAACCATATAGTGGTTGTTTTTTCATAGGAATCAATTTCCACCTGTATCCAAAAGTTCAGTAGTGCGTCCCTCAATCCCTGCATGGCAGAAAACCAGCATCAGTCAAGATTCAGATGGTGATTCAGACCCAGAGAGAAAAGCTGAGGATTTACTAGAAGTTGGATCAGGTTCTGGATCTTCTGAACATGAACACAACGCTAAAAATAGTGATTCTAGTCTAGATATAATGTAACTTTGTGCATATACTGCGCGTAAATATTAAACGCAATTTTTCAGATCCTTTTCTTCGAAAGACAGCGATTTCAGACGGCATAAAACAAAGGAGGATGACGATGACGACGACGACGACAAAGATTAAACATCTTCCATCTATTGCCATAAGCTAGTGAATAATGTAAATGGTTTTTAGGTTCCAAATAGGTAATTGTAACGAGGGTTAAGTTGTGTAAAAAATTTTAGTTTATTAGATAAATTGATTTATTTCTGTACTGACACCAAAATATAGTTTTATATTTTTTCTTATCATCCACAATACACTGTAAATACAGCAAGTAATCAAAGGTGTCTCACGCTGTTTTTTTTTTTTTTACTTTTAAACGCGCAAAGAAATGACGCAATCTACTTAAATAGTTTTATTTCACTGCAAAAGGTCATTTATTAGGTACTTTGTTCCAAGTTTGTATTAGACTTACTGTACAGTTCTGAAATTAAATATGTATTTACAATATGATCTTAGAACTAATGAATAATGTCATGTTGTACCTACATCATCTCTAACATTCTAGTTCACAACATTTAAATCTAACAACGGAAAACTCATAAAGTAAGTACAACCTAGTAAACGGCTGTTCATACATACAATAGACCTTAAGAAGTCACGTTTTTTGCATAAATTAGAATGTAGTTTGAAGAAATGATATTCCTACCATTAAAATAAATACACAAATGGGTCAGTCTTAAATTTGGAAGAGTTTGATCTGAGTCGTCTACCAGACAGAAGTGACTTCTTAAGAGTGTCCCATGTATTAAAAAAAAAAACGTGCCACGCAAAAAAGTGTTAGAATTACAACCAATGTTGAATTAGCACCTTATCGCGACCTAATACTTTCGACAACATTAAGACAGCGTCACAATTTGTACAAAGTATTTATTTACAGGCCAAACCGCGGCAAGTATTGACTTAGAAATACTTAAACTCAACTGCGTTTTTGTTAAGTACAGCCAAACTGAAGATTAGTTGAAGCAAAATAGAAAGTAAAAATCGTTCTGGTGTTAGTGGAGGCACCACTATGATATGACAAAGGTGCCGAAAATCTAAACTAATGTCACCTTGTTTAATAAAGCTACGATCTATGAAAAACTATGTACAGTTTACCTAGAAAGTCAATAATTTTGAACACGCAAAATTATTGTATTGAACTATACAGACATTGAATATTTTCTGATGCAGAAAATATTTTCCAGAGTTTTAAAAACTTACGCTACTTGTTACACTGATTATATGTACACAAGATTCTTAAAATAATGAATGGAGGCTGAAAATGCTGTACAATAAACGTTCTAGTCATAGAATTAACAGCAACATTTTAACCTTAATGAAACAACTGTCTTTGGTCTAAATGGTTAAAATTTCGTGAAAGAGTACAACAGTTCATCAGTGGCAAACTAAATTATCGTGGAATGATAAATTGATCAAGTTTTAACGCTGAAATGTATACTCCTTCATGTGTAAACAATAAAATTCACAGATAAAATAAATAATTCAAACAAGTGAATATAAACAAAGTATAAAAATAGTATTACAACTAGTTTGAATGACGTTACTTCCGATGTGTAGATAGGAGTGTGGAAGATGATCAGTAACAAAGTGTGGGTGACAGACATCACAATTGTCTTCACAGATTGAGCACTACGAGTGTTTACCTGCATTTAATCATATCGTTATCGAGTGTCGCTCCCACAACAAAACAATCAACAAACAAACAAAAAAACAAACTAATATTAATGGCATGTGCGTGAAAATTTTAACGACCGCGTCAGAACGCCCTCAACACAAAGAACAAAAGACTTGTCTCAACGATTTATTTACTACTCTACAATTTCGTTAAATTCTACAAAAACGAAAGAACCACTGGTATGATTTCTCAATCACAAAGCAAAATCATTCAGTTGCACATTCTTTGCGGAATGCGCGACTTGAATTTTTTACTGTCTTTGGCTGACTCGAATTCTTGAACTTGTGTCACGATATTATCGATACAATTCTCGACTTGATCAACGATTTTATTAGGGGTTTCGGTTCGATGGATTTTAGTGAAACTGCTGTTAACGGGGATATCTGTTCTGTTAGGACGGCTGAAATTAAGATGCACTGAATATGGATGGAACTTGTGCGGACTCACCTGTTCTACCAAAGTCGATGCAGGTGGAGGTTCCGCGACAGGACGGAGCGCACGTCCGCCGTGAACCTGAGTGCGTCCAAGACCGGAAGCAGGTTGAGCAGCGCCACATCTGTGGGATCTGAGAACCACGATTTTATTGGGATTGCATTGTCTGCGAAAAAACCACATCTCTCAGTTCTGGGCTGGAAACTCTCCACAGTTATACCTCCCGAGCGACTGCTAGGGGAAGTACTACCAAGATTTATCAACAATATCTAACTTAAAATGCTACGTCTACGTAAAACCGATTACTTTCGAGATTTCGTAAAAATAAGCTTCAGAAGTGACAAGAAAAAAATAAAGATAGACGAAAAATTAATACAGAAAGAAACGGTTAGAATTAAACGAAAGCTACAAAACATTTTCTAGAATATGTCTTACCTGGATAAGCGCGATAAGCCCCGGGGCTGTTATCCAGGATGAAGACGCTGGAGAGATCATTGCAAATGGCGCCCAGATCCTTGGTGTACGAGCCGAGATCTGGAGTACAGTGCTGACGGTAGAACCGCCTCTGGAGGATGCCTCGTCCGGCATCCAACTTGTCTGCTACAGCAGCTCCGTAAATTTCCATACTGGCAGTAAACACTACCAATTCGTACCACTGAGAAACCTGAATTTTTTGTTAGTTGGTTGTTCGAAATCGACTAAGCGATGATACAGAGCGTCACAAAAGTCATATTTCAAGATTTCCATTTTAATAATTTTTCGAAACAGGGTGTGAGATTTAACTACTTAAAAACCAAATCATCAAATCAGAAGTCATCAAATCGTTAATGTGATGGTCTTCTGTGTCCCATAATCTAAGTAGAGAAGAGGATTGACAAGGATTTTTTTAAACTATTAAAAAAATATATGAAAAAAAGATTGTTTTAATTTAATAATAATTGCGAACACTTTTCATTGTTTTCGCTCCTCGCCACTAGATGGCTAATGGCTAAGAGTGCCTGTAAGATTCCCCCGCGTGGAAGAACGCAATTGGCTTTCCACCATGAAATTAACATTTTGACAACACCGCAGAAAATTGTACTTCTAAGTAAAAGGAAGGTTAGGTTATCATCCCAAACATAATGGAATATAAAATATACAACACCATTAATTAATAATTCTAAAAAACCGAATAATAACCGAAATATTATGTAGCATTTTTCTACGCACTTTTGTAACCTTCCTTCAAATTTATTTTTAAGCTTCTTGATTTTAGAGATGATTTTAGTGACTCACGCTGCATCATACGTCAACTGCAACATTTTTTTATCAGTAAGTGGAGTCAAATCGATCTCGTAGGACGCTATAAATTGATATGAGGTCAATTGTGTTTATAAAATTTAAGTTATATAGATTAGCTTTTGACCAAAGAAAACTGCACATGTATCTTTAATTGCGCATTTCAGAAAAAACTGATGATTTTGAGTGAAATGTTTGGATTGACTTTAAAAATTAAATATTAGAAATGACACACACTCTTGGCCCCGCCCACCCACCCTCTGTTTTCTTACAAGGTTTCTCATCTGCTAAAATCAGTTTTATCTTAGTAGGTACTAGCCCCGCCCACCCGCCCTCCCTTTTCTTAAAGGGTATCTCATTTGCCAAACTACTAAGATAAGACCGATTTTGGCAAATGACATGGAACACCCAGATTTTTTTGACATTTTCTGAAACAATAAAAAACTATTTTCAAAAATCTCAAGTTCATTTCTATTGATACAAAAAATAGAAAAAAAAATCACAAAACAAACTCGATTACAATACTTCCTTTGCTTACGCTCGGGAAGTAAAAATTGGAGAAACTGAGATGAGAATTCAAAAAATCGAAAAACTCGATAAATCGAAAAATCATGAAAATGGAAAAAAATCGCTAAATCGAAAAACGGAAAAATCGAAGAATCAAAAACTCGAAAAATCATTAAAAAAACAAAAAATTGGGAATTCGAAAAATCTAAAAATCATAATGAAAATTCGAAAAATCGAGATTTCGAGAAATTGCAAATAGAAAAATCTAAATTTGCAGAATCAAAAAATGGACAAATCGAGAAGTTCAGAATACGGAAAACAGAAAAATTAAAATATTGAAAATACGAAAAATCGAGAAATGAAAAAATTGATAATCGAAAAGTTGAGAAATCGGGAAAACTAGAGAGAATTCGAAAAATTGAAACTTCGAAAAATCGAATAATCAAAGAACGAAAAATTGAGAATTCAAAAAAACCAAAAAGCAAAAATTTGAAAAATCTAAAAATTGGCAAATTGAAATCGCGGAAGATTGAAAAACCAAAAAATTGAAAATTGGAAAAATAGACAAATTGAAAAATTATACAATTGTTAAAACCAAGAGAAAATAAATTGAAAAATCTAAATATCGAAAAACCAAAAAATGGAGAATCGAAAACTCGAAAAATCCAAAAATTAATAAAAAATAAACGAAAAATTGAGAATTCGAGGAATTGAAAATCGAAAAATCAAAAAATGCAGAATCAAAAAGTGGAGAAATGAGAAATCGAGAAAACTAAACTTCGGGAACCCGAAAAATCAAAAATTCAAATAAAGAAAAAACCAAAAATTTGAAAAATCTAAAAATCGGGAAATTAAGAACGCGGAAAATTGAAAATTTGATAAATCGACAAATCGAAAAATGTAAAAAAAACGTTAAATCGAAAAATTCACAATTGCGAACTCGAAAATCGAAATGTCGAAAATTCGAGGAACGAAAACTTGAAAAATCCAAAAATCGGAAATCGAAAAATCATGAAAAACCGTACAATCAGAAAAATGAAAATTCGAGAAATCGAGCAATTGAAAAGTGGAGAAATGAGAAATCGAGAAAACTAAACTTCGGGAACCCGAAAAATCAAAAATTCAAATAACGAAAAAAACAAAAATTTTAAAAATCTAAAAATCGGGAAATTAAGAACGCGGAAAATTGAAAATTTGATAAATCGACAAATCGAAAAATGTAAAAAAAACGTTAAATCGAAAAATCCACAATTGCGAACTCGAAAATCGAAATGTCGAAAATTCGAGGAACGAAAACTTGAAAAATCCAAAAATCGGAAATCGAAAAATCATGAAAAACCGTACAATCAGAAAAATGAAAATTCGAGAAATCGAGCAATTGAAAATCGAGGACTCGAGAAAATGAGACTTCGAAAAATTGAGAATTTGAAAAATCTAAAAATCAATGAAAATTCGAAAAATCGGGATCTCGAGAAATTGCAAATCGAAAAATGTAAATTTGCAGAATCAAAAAATGGAGAAATTGAGAAATCGAGAAATCAAGAAATTGATAATCGAAAAATTGAGAAATCGGGAAAACTAGAATTCGAAAAATTGAAACTTCGAAAAACCGAAAAATGGAATAATAAAAGAACGAAAAATTGAGAATCGAAAATTCAAAAAATCAAAAAGCAGAAACTTGAAAAATCTAAAAATCGGCAAACTGAGATCGCGGAACATTGAAAAATAAAAAAATGAAAATTGGAAAAAGCGACAAATCGAAAAATTATACAATTGTTAAAACCAAGAGAAAATAAATTGAAAAATCTAAACATTGCAAAACTAATCCAAAAATTTATAAAAAAAAAACAAAAATTGAGAATTCAAGGAATTTAAAATCGAAAAATCTAAAAATGCAGAATCAAAAAATGAAGAAATTGAGAAAACTATACTTGAAAAATCAAAAATTCAAATAATGCAAAAAGCAAAAATTTGAAAAATCTAAAAATCGGGAAATTGAGAACGCCGAAAATTGAAAAATCAAAAAATTGAAAATTTGAGAAATCGACAAATCGAAAAATTAAACAAATGTTAAAACGAAGTGAATTCGAAAAATCCACAATTGCGAACTCGAAAAATCGGAGATCGAAAAATCATGAAAAATCATACATCAGAAAAATGAAAATTCGAGAAATCGAGCAATTGAAAATCGAGGACCCGAGAAATGGAGAAATCTAGAATTTGATAACCTAGAAATCGAAGAATCGAAAATGCAGAACTAAAATTATGAGTTTTTGCGAAATCGAGAAATTGAGAACACGAAAATTTGAAAACTCAAAAAATTATAAAAACGAAAAATTGAGAATTCGGAAAATCTAAAGATCAATGAAAATTCGAAAAATCGAGATCTCGGGAAATTGCAAATCGAAAAATCTGAATTTGCAGAATAAAAAAATGGAGAAATTAAAAAATGAAGAAATTGAGAAAACTATACTTGAAAAATCAAAAATTCAAATAATGCAAAAAGCAAAAATTTGAAAAATTTAAAAATCGGGAAATTGAGAACGCCGAAAATTGAAAAATCAAAAAATTGAAAATTTGAGAAATCGACAAATCGAAAAATTAAACAAATGTTAAAACGAAGTAAATTCGAAAAATCCACGATTGCGAACTCGAAAAATCGAAGATCGAAATATCATGAAAAATCATACATCAGAAAAATGAAAATTCGAGAAATCGAGCAATTGAAAATCGAGGACCCGAGAAATCGTGAAAATGAGACTTCGAAAAGTCGAGAAATCTAGAATTTGATAACCTAGAAATCGAAGAATCGAAAATGCAGAACTAAAATTATGAGTTTTTGCGAAATCGAGAAATCGGGAAATTGAGAACACGAAAATTTGAAAACTCAAAAAATTATAAAAACGAAAAATTGAGAATTCGGAAAATCTAAAAATCAATGAAAATTCGAAAAATCGAGATCTCCAGAAATTGCAAATCGAAAAATCTGAATTTGCAGAATCAAAAAATGGAGAAATTAAAAAAATCGAGAAGCCAAGAAATCGAGAAATTGAGAATAAGAAAAACAGAAAAATTAAAATATTGAAAATTCGAAAAATCGAATAATCAAAAATTGAGAATCGAAAATTCAAAAAATCAAAAAGCAAAAACTTGAAAAATCTAAAAATCGGCAAATTGAGATCGCGGAAGATTGAAAAATCAAAAAATTGAAAATCGCAAAAATCGACAAATCGAAAAATACAATTGTTAAAACCAAGAGAAAATAAATTGAAAAATCTAAACATCGAAAAACCAAAAAATTGAAAATCGAAAAATATAAAGATGCAGAATCCAAAAATGGAGAGATTGAGAAATCGAGAAAACTGTACTCGAAAAATCAAAAATTCCAATAATGAAAAAAGTAAAAATTTGAAAAATCTAAAAATCGGGAAATTGAGACCGCGGAAAATTGAAAAATCAAAAAATTGAAAAATCGACAACTCGAAAAATCGAAAAATTAGACAAATGTTAAAGCAAAGTGAATTCGAAAAATGCAAAAAATCGTTAAATCGACAATTGAGAACTCGAAAAATCGAAATATCGAAACTTCGATGAACGAAAACTTGAAAAATCCAAAAATCGAAAATCGAAAAATCATACAATCGGAAAAATGAAAATTCGAGATGTCGAGAACTCGAGAAATCGAGACTTCGAAAAATCGAGAAATCCAGAATTTGATAATAGAAATCGAAGAATCGAAAAATGCAGAACTAAAATTATGAGTTTTTGCGAAATCGAAAAATCGGGAAATTTGAAAACTCAAAAAATTATAAAAATGAAAAATTGAGAATTCGAAAAAAATCACAATAAAAATTCGAAAAATCGAGAATTCAAGGTATTGCAAATCAAAAAATCTACAAATACAGAACCAAAAATTGAATAAATCGAGAAAACAAAACTTCAAGAACTCGAAAAATTGAAACATCAAAAAACAAAAAAATCGAATAATCGCAAAAACGAAAAACTGAGAAAAATATGAAACTCGAGAATTCGAGAAATTTAAAATCGAAAAATCTGAAAATTAAACAATTGTTAAAACGAAGACAATTCGAAAAATTAAAAAATCCGAAACATCGAAAAAATCGATAAGTCGAATATTCTAGATATCGGAAAATCATAAATCAGAGAAATGAAAAATGAAAATTCGAAAAACTGAGAATTCGAAAAATCAAATAACACCCGGTATATTATGTAAACAAGTTGTGGTTTTTCTTTCAAATTTTAATCAAACGTTTGTCTATGTGCAACAGTCTTCTCCACCAAGTTTCAACACTCTACGTCCACTCCTTCTAGGTGCTGCATTTTATTTGAAACGCAGTGTAAATAATGTGGTTAGAATAGCAGATAATTTTCGTTGTTTTCGTCGAATTAATACTTCGACATTGCCGCAGAAAATTGTGCTTCTAAATAGAATGAAGATTAGGTTAATCAGCCCGAGATATCTCTCGTAGAACATATTTCGGTTCTTCCCAAACATTATGAAATATAATATAAGATATTCAAAACCATTCATCATTTAGTAATTCTAAAAAACCCAATAATAACCAAAATATTATGCAGCATTTTTTACGAACTTTTGTAACCTTCCTTTAAATTTGTTTTTTGAAATAATTTTAGTGACTAACGCTGCATGCATCATGTCAACTGCAACATTTTTTTTATCAGTAAATGGAGTAGGAGTCAAATCGATCTCGTACGACGCTATAAATTGATAAGAGGTCTCCATGTCAATTGTGTATATAAAATTTAAATGATATAGATTAGATTTTGACCAAAGAAAACTGCACATTTATCTTTATTTGCGCAATAAAAATATATATATATATGTATATATTTTAGAAAAAAAAAATTTTTAGTAAACTATTTGATTTGACTTTTAAAATTAAATATTTTTCATTTGCTTTAAATACTGTTTGGCACCTAAATGACTCTAACACAATATTATACTACTGAAAGTAGCAGTATCAGCAGATAACAAATCTATAGACTAAACATTATTTTTAAACATTTCGTTGCTACATGATTAAATATTTGCAATCAGAAGTATGCAATTCTTTAGATCAGTATTTCGGCTAGATTTTTATCAGATGGAACGTTTGCCCACATTAACAATAAATCTTTCAACAATAGCAGTCACAATATTTAATCTAATAAAAATTGTTCATAAACATTGAAACAAATGCTTAAACGCAATCTTCAAATTTTTAAGACTATTATCATATCACACTTCAAAATATAGTCTCTTCCATGATTAAGTAGTTAACACTGACGTATTAGAACAAACACGTAAGATAAACATTCCGAAATTTTAATTTTTGCATTTTGCGTCTAAATTAACACACGTCGATAACAAGTACGTCTACAAACATTATTTCTGGATCAGAGTAAAGATAAGAAACTGAAATTACTCTTTATTAAAAAATATTTGTAATACTGATATACAGGGTGGTGTCTCCCTGATGAGATTAAATTACGCTATTTTGTCACTTTCTGTAATCTCACTTTGTGCATCAAAACAGTAAACATTATGTAAGTACACAAAACTGGTTTTCAAGGAAATATAATTTTTATAGCCACACTATCCTTAAATACTGTTTGTGGTAATGCATATTTTCCTATGAACGTTAATTTTATGTTACTAACGAGACAAAACAACTATGCAATATCCCGTCATAATAACAAAAAACAATACATTTCACACGAAAATATCCCGAATTTTTGTATTTTACGGATTATTAAAAATTTTGGCTCGTTTAAGCGCAGCCAGATGTTACTTTTTTAACTAAAATCGGGTTTTTTATGACTCTCTGTACCACTGTTGCCACGTTGAAGACGTCTCTACTTACTATATCTAGGAAGAAGTCCACATGTGGCCTTTTGTGGACGAAGAACCGTACAGGGTGTCTGTCTATCACTACTTTAAGTACAAAATCTGGAGGGGTCCCTGGCCTAACGGTTTGGCGTACGACCCCATCGTGATGTGAGTGAATCAAAGTCTCATCCAGATCGAGAACGAGAACCTTCCTTTTTACTATACCTAGACACAAAATAATAGAGCATTAGCTCATTACTGTAATTATTATGCAATGACAATAACAATTTCAACACGGATAACATGTTTGTATAAAGTAAACAAAAAAATAGATGAGTCAAATAGTTGCCAAAATGAATTAAATGAGCATACATTAGTGCCAAAAACCTTAATAATAGTATAATTCAAACAAACTTGGCACTCTTGTTAATTTATTTTTAGTGGGATTTTCGGTGATAAGGAGGTGTTTAAACCAAGCAAAGGGGTTTAAGTTAGTCATACTTACTAAGCCTATGTCTTGATAGCGGTGATAAAGGAAACAAATCGTATTTGACCGACTGGTGTTGAATAATCTGTAACGAAACACGGTAATTAAAAAAAACTGGAATTACGCCAAGTACACAAAAAGTAAATTTAACCTCGCTAGAGTGCCTTACGTGCATTTATAAACCACAATACAGGTGCTTATTTATTGTAGGCAATAAAAATTCTTTTCGATTCACGCTTATCTAAATGTCAAAACTGTCAAAACACGATTATTATTGTTCGAAACAACAATGAATTGTATCGACTAGGAAAACACGGATTTCAAGGCACGTAGCGAATGTAAATGTTTACTATTTTTAATACAACTTACAGCTCTAGTTTGCTTTTTTATCATAAAACACAAACATGTCCAAACTCTAGATGCTAGAAGCATGAATGCTCGTAGTCCCATTTGTAATTGCTTCAACATTGAAAATATTTTTTTCTACACTTCCTCACAATTTAGACACAAGAAGGATACAGCGGGTTTTGTTGATTCCTTGTTTCACTTTACTTATCACATTTTAACTTTTACCCGATTTGTTAACCGCCATTAAAATCGACCCAGAGAGCTTGACACTCTTGTGACAGATGCGCATGCTCTCATAACCTCAACATTTGAAGAGGCAACTGCCATGCCGGCTCGCTACACTAGCGCCACAAACACGCAACTACAAAATTCAAATCTATATTCAAAAAATAAGTTACAATTCGTTCAAAATCGCCCTTAACTTATCAATATAGACAAATTCAAACTGAAAATTGCGTTTCTCGAGATACGACAAAATTTCCTTAACCTCGTCTGGAGACACATTTTCGAAATCGTCCTGAAACGATTTTAAATCTCCTACAGCCATAAAATAGCAAAACAACTCTGCCACAACGTCCAAATTAGCACGGTCCTTATTATAAATAATAGCAAAAATTGCGTACACGTCCCTCGCTACTGCAGAAAGATAACCTACTTTTAAAACTCTATAAATATAAGTTAAACCTTCCATATAAAATCTAAATTCATCATCCATAGGTAACAAATTGTCTTCATTCACATAACAATGCAACAAAAGCGCGACTTCATTGGTAAATTCTGGTAACAACGGACTAACTTCTCCTGCAAGTTCATTTCTATTTAAAACATCCACATAACCACACAGATTGCACAAAAAAGAAATCAAATGTTTGACATTAGCATGTCTTTCTCGTACCTCAAACACCTCAAAATCCTCACAATCATCTCTTAAAGTCCTATATCCTGCAACCACAGCCCCCAACAACCCCCCTTTTAAAATATCCACCTTTATTTTCATCCCTTCAGTGATTGACACTAACGCCTTTAACGCTATCGCCAAAAGCTCCTTATTTGTAGAACTAGCCAATATAAAATCAAACCTATCTAAATGTTCCTCCTCAAAAAACTCCCACTTATCCACTAAAAAAGACGCAGCGTGAATAAACCGCATCACCTGAATTAAAATATACGGATCATTAGAACTCAATAAATTTAAAACAGTTTTAATTTCCTCCTCCGTCACGTTCTTCTCGCACTTGGAACATAGCAAGTTTGCGAAAATACCGACGACGATTTCGATGAAACGTGGTTCCGTGTAGTTATCGATAGCTGAACATGCCAACTTGGGGTACGATGCCTGAAATAAATACTTGCAAACGTCTGTGTCTTCAGTCATGTCCCATAAAAAACACAAATTATTTTCAACTTCTTCGCTCCATTTGAGGTCTGAAAATTGAATTAGGGTGTTTAGAACGAAGACTTCGCTATACATGGTGTTTCCTATTGCGTCTCCACGGAGTTTTTTGGCTGTTTCTTCGTCAATTTCGTCGGCAGTTATGTTGGTTGAGGGGTTGGTCGCTTCGAGGGAGGTGGTGTCGTCTGATTCCATTGTGTTTTATTTGGTATTATTTAATAATAACTCGATATCTTTATAGGTTATGTTTACAACAATCATGTCATTTGTCAATGTCAAGTGGTCAGTATAGTGTGAAACACAATGTACGATCGTGGGTACACTTAAGGTCAAAAATAATGTCGCTTTAATTTTGAAATTCAGTCTATGCCATTTCTATTGAAACACCACTTGTTAATCGTAAATTTGGCAACGTTCATATTCAGACAATTTTCTAACTAAAAGCCGTTGTCAATCAACCGAAAGCTGTCACCAATTGCTAAATTTTAAGCAAAATCAACAGGTGGTGTTTCAATAGAAATGGCAAAGACAATTGATATTTAAAACTGAAGACCTAAAATTTATATTGTAACTTATTTCTACCGGCAATTAAATTTGCAGATTATCAGTTTTCGTATATTATTTAAATCAGACATATTTCAACACATTTTAGAACTTATCTTTAAGTTTTAATACCAAATTTGTTGAGGTTTATCCGACGGAATTAGTGTTAAATATTTTATAGTACCCAATCATTAAATGACTTATTGACTTGTCGTTAACAAGATTAAATTCATTTTGATACCATCTAATCATAAATAAAAATGGATAAGCTGGTATAATTTTCCATATATAATTGCGTACCTATGCTTTGAAAAGATAGGAAAAATGAAGCTGTTACTCCTAACCCTTATATGCAGTTATTCAATAAACGGATCACCGTCTAGGGGTATGAATTTCCCCCTTTTTTTGTTTTAACTACATATTTTTGTAGGGTCGCGTATTATTGGTGGAAGTATAGCCAGAGCGGGTCAGTTTCCTTGGCAAGCGGCAATCCAATTGGACAACATATCCGGCAAGTATTTTTGCGGAGGAGCGCTCATTTCGGACCAGTGGATTTTAACAGCAGCTCATTGTGTCTACGGGTAAGTTATACTTGGAAACCAGCAACAAAAACAATTTAAAATTTAGGGGCAAATCCTTTGTAATTCATTTGGGTTCAAACACTCTATTGTCGCCCGATGCCAACCGAGTGCTGCTATCATCGTCAACGTATGTGACACATCCACAATACAACCAAAACACTCTAGAGAACGATGTTGGACTTATCATGCTTCATTTGCCCATTACATTCACCGGCAAGTTGTTATTTTAGCTACAACATTATACTTTTCTTCGAAACTTAACTTGTAGATTATATTCAAAAGATTGACATTTCAAGTATGGGACAAATTGTTGATGGGGACGTCGTAACGACAACTGGTTGGGGACAAATTAGCGACAGTACGACAAAAATATTTCTAGTAATTAATTATTTTGATTGATGCAAATATTTAAGGTGCTGCTGGTATAAGCAACAATTTGTACTACGTAGACTTGGTGATAATTTCAAATGCGGAATGCCAAATAACTTACGGTAGTCAGATTAAGGCCGGAATGGTTTGTGCGGTCGGTAATTACAATGAAGGGATTTGCACTGTGAGTTATTCATATTTTTGTAAACACATTTAAAAATTTTTTTAAGGGCGACACTGGAGGTCCTTTAATCACATATAACAGCGATGGAGACCCGGTTCATGTTGGTATCGCTAGTTTTATGAGTCAAAACGGATGTGAAAGTACAGACCCCACAGGATACACAAGAACTGATATTTATCACCCGTGGATATCAAATGTTACTAATATTTGAACTAAATAAAGAATTCAAACTGAAATATGTCGTTTTTGTTTACAAATAATTGCAACTATAATATTTTTGAAAACTTCTGTCCAGAATTTTTAACATCCAAATTTCTGAATTAAGCACTACAGTGGATTTATTTTTTATGAACGGAAATAACAGTAGTAGACGCAATTTAATAACCCAATTATGTGGTAAACGATAAATGGCATTAAGTAATATATTTATAAGCACTTTAGTAAAACTGCGGCAATCAATATTGTAAAGTTACCTAAAAAGAGGAAATTCTGCAATTAAGTTAAGCACATTGATTAAGATAAGTGGGTTTAAAAACAAAACTATATAATATGTATTATATGTGTAAGTAGCTTGTTCGTCAGTGATCCAAAGACTTCCTAAAAATGTACTATTTTGCTCTAATTTTGTGTTTATCTGTTGCACTTGTGCACTCCAAGCCTAATATAGGTATTTTCGACAACCACTATCTAAATCATAATTAATAAATTGATTCACTCAGGAAGTCGTATAGTTGGAGGACAACTGGCAAGATCTGGACAGTTTCCATGGCAAGTTGCAGTTTATGTTGACACCGCCGACGGGAAATTTTTCTGTGGAGGTTCACTGATCAGTGATCAATGGATTTTGAGCGCTGCTCACTGCTTATACAAGTAGGTAACAAAATTGTCGTTCCAAAATACAATCCCTTTTTATAATAGTGCAAGACTGTATACGGTTCACTTGGGTTCGACCACTCTGCAGTCAGCGGATAGCAATCGCGTAGTTCTTGCAACATCAACACACGAAATCTTTCCAAACTTTGATCCTATGAGTTTGGAACATGATATAGGGCTTATTAAGCTGCACATGCCTATTTCGTTCAACGACTATATTCAACCAATACAATTAGCTCGTTTGGGGCAAACTACTGAAGGTGCACTTGCTATAGCTTCAGGATGGGGACAAATCAGTGATGGTAAGTGGGTAAACTATGTCAAGTCTGTTATATACATAGTTTACTTTTCAGCTCAAACCGGGATAGTCAATAGTCTTAATTATGTCAATGTGGCCATCATATCAAATGCTGAGTGTCAAATAACTTATGGTAACCAAATAAAGTCAACTATGATTTGCACCGTGGGAAATTATAATGAAGGAATTTGTTTGGTAAATTTAGCACTTGAGTTAAATTTTTGGTCTGAAGTGTAATTTCAGGGCGATACTGGAGGTCCTTTGGTGATCACTAGAGATGGTGAATACATCCAAGTCGGGGTGTCTGGATTCTACAGTGAACAAGGTTGTGAACAATTACACCCTTCGGGATATGCTAGAATCGATGTATATACCGACTGGATTCTAAACATAACGCAATCATGATAAATTTTAGTACTGTTTCATGAAAATAAACTATTAATTGCTAATAATAAAAATCTCTGATTATTTTATTTTCATAATTGTTCAGTGTTGGTGAACTAAACACGTCTGTGATACTGCAGATTAAATTTTTCAAACCCTTTCACTTTGTCACAAGGTGTTGACGATCTTGATAAGATAGGCAAAACTGTATAAAGATGTCAGATGTTTGGGTATTATTGTGCTGATAATGATGATTTTCAAAAATAGACAACGTTCCCAACGTACCTAGTTACAGAACAGTTACATTTTTAGACCAAATTATCAGTTTCAATGACATTTTTTCGACCATCATTCAGACTTAAGTAGTCGTTAATGACTTAAATGTCTTATCTAAGATCCCATAAATGCCAACGTTATCCTTATAAGTATAAAAATGACGCAAAATATTTTCAAAAAGGCTGCGACAAGAACTTTCACTACTAACAGTAACAAAAATGAAGTTCCTCGTTCTGGTTTTACTGTGTACCACTTCCGTATGGACTAAATCTTATCTTCGGCGAATACCTGACGATAAACCTGGTAATTTCTTCCTTAACTACGATCTACTATAATCATGTGTGATTTTTAGCACCAAGAATAATCGGAGGAGATCTTGCCAGAGCCGGTCAGTACCCGTGGTTAGCAGCCATTTATAAATACACAGAAGATGGTCGATATTTTTGTTCAGGTTCTCTCTTCAACGAACAGTGGATTCTGACTGCTGGTCAATGTGTATATCTGTAAAAGAAATGTACCATATTTAACTGAGCACTAAACTTTTATATTCTTCTAGTGCTACAAGCTTCATTATACAGTTGGGCTCGAATCTCCTCCAAGGAGAAGACGAAAATCGACTAACTCTAGGCGCTTCAACATACTACTATGAACCACGATTTGATCCACAACTACTACTACACGACATTGGCTTGATCAAGTTGAATATTCCCATAACCTACACTGGTAACCCATCATAATTGGGCATCAACATGTTTAAGTTTATTTTTCTTAAAGATTATATTCACCCTGTGCGGATGTTGTCAAGCATGGGTCCTATCTACCAAGGTCGAGTTGTAGAAGCTGCGGGTTGGGGGCAAGTCAGTGGTACATAAAAATGAACAGTTACTCGTTGGGTTGATAGTCATTATTTTTTGTAGATGACAGTGCTTTAGTCAATGAACTTCGTTTTGTCGAAATGACTATTCTGGGTCAAACTGCATGTCAAACTTACTATGGAGAACAACTGTGGGGTAGTATGTGTTGTGCGGAAGGCAATTATAATGAGGGACCTTGTTACGTAAGTTTAAATTTATAGTAGTGAAATTCTATCAAAATGTTTAAACTTTAGGGAGATACTGGTAGTCCGTTGATGACGGCCGCTCTTGTTGGAAATCACACCATTCAAGTGGCCATTGCCAGTTTTATAAGTATCAATGGTTGTGAAAGTCTTGATCCAACTGGGTATACTAGAGTGGATGCTTATTATAACTGGATAGTCAATACTACAAGAGATATGTAATACCATTATCAGAAAAATAATAAAGCAATCTAATTATTTCCGAATTTCATAATTTTCAATGTATTTTAGACTTTCAGATTTTATCTTGTCTTCTTAGTTAAGTAGTCACATTTCTCACCGGATTATAGATAATAATACCTAATATAATTACTTTATTTTTATTACGTAGATTAAAAAAGTGTCACTTAAACCATTGCTAGAAATAATTTAAGTTCTGAGAAATGTTGTTATGTGAATACTATTACATTTTAATAGAAAAGTTAGACATTTTCCGCTATTACACTTATTATCCAGTACTTGTAAGAAGCTGTTCTTGTATAGGTTGACGGTTGTGATGTTAAGCACCCTCCAGCGCTAGACCAACTAGCAACACCAACATGAACTGCGTTTCCACTGGAATCTTTCATTATCAACGGATCGCCGCTGTCTCCCTGGTGGCACAATAGTGTAACAAAATATTTCTTTCGATGGTATCAACTTACAGAGCAAATTCCATTATTTCGATTACCCATAGCACATACCATCTGGTCGGGTACTAGTACGCCATAACTAAACTTACACTCATTGTTGGTAATGGTTTTTAAATCGACGTAATTTAACTTATTTTCTATTCCACCCGCTAAAAAACAAAGAACTATAAAGACAGTCGAAATAGTAGTACTATGTTTACAAGTGCCAAGAGCTCCCCATCCACTAGCTGTAACAGTTACGTCGCTTTCTAGATTGGTATTGGCAATTGGAATAATTTTAATTTTATCTACGAAACGAAATCTGTAAAATACTGCACCGAATACATATTAAAACACAAATACCACTTAAATTAATGCTGTCGTCTATGCGAATCAAACCAATGTCGTTTTCAAGAGTTTCTAAATTAAAATCAGGATGAGTTACTGAGTAGGTGGCTTCTCTTACTATTCCGCCGTTTTCTAACGAAATTGTACCAAAAAGGAGCTCAAAACTAGTCGCTCTGAAAATAACGCTATGAGTTACAAGACCAAAAGACTGAAAAATAGATTTTTTGTCGACAAGTTCCATACCCATAGACACAACGTCCCCCAGTCAAAACCCATTTTTGGTCAATTAAAGCACCACCACAGAAGAAAGACGAACTTTCAGACTCTACAAATATTGCTACATCCCAAGGAAACTGACCAGCTGTGGCTACATTACCACCTATTATACGTAAATCTAAAAAGGCATTGTTATTTTAACATAAAATTTGAAAAATTACTTTACCATTGTGATGTTTTCTGATTGCAAAATCACGTTTCTAAAGAAAAAAGGAAAATGTTAGTCGATTAAAATTATAGCAATATCAACTTACCTGAGCCAGAGGCACACCCCAAATGGAAATAATGCACAAACTTAGTACAATGACGAATTTCATGTTGTTGGACCGTGTAGACGTTCATTGATTCAGGTACGAAAGAACCACTACTTTATATTAAATTCAAACTGCGTCAATGAATGTTTTCTCGGTAATATATCTACACAGAAAAGTGGATAAAAAATTTGCAACAATTGACTTGCTTCAAGTGTCTTTAAGTTTCGATTGCATAATCTAAGAAAAGTTCTATGAACTGTTGACTTCCTGTTTACGCGAAACGATAAAGTAGATAAAAAGGTCTGTCATTAATAAAAATTCTGCTAAAAGTTATTAATTACTTATCGGAAACTAAGTCAAGTAAGTGTCAGGCTGGAAACTACAAAACAATCTTTACTAGTTCTTTCTTTAATTTGTGTCTAAATTGTGGAACACAAAATATAAACACTTAGTGGCTTGATCTTTAATTTTCGACCTGTTTAGTTTTGATTTAATTCACCTTTATGTGTCAATAGTATTATTAGTATTATCAGAATTTCAATTAAGTTCATCATATCTCTGAGAGCTACAAGAGTTTTACACTTTGTTTTTTAGATATTAATTCGTAATAAATATCTAAGTATTGCATTATTAAAAACCCAGGTAATGATTTATGTCACGTTCATATGTCAAGTGAACCGCTTATTAATAAATTTCCAAAGGACAGATGAACGACACAACGAAAATGGGAAACCCGTTGTGGTGACCAGATTTGAATTAATATTTCGCGCTGAAAAAAAAAAACAACGGCGCGATTTCATGAAATTCACTTAGTCAGGACTCATCTTTTGTTTATCAAATTATGAATAAGGTTTCTGGATGCTTATACTTAAGTGTTACATTATAACACTTCTTAATTCCTCACACAAGATCGCTAATAGTTCATTTACGGCAGTTAAATCAACCTAACGTTGTCCCACTTTGGGACAAGGACCGTCGAAAGTACAGAAATAATATCGTGGACTGAGGTACGGGAGGATTAAATTTTTCCCCTTGCGCAGTTATCATCGTTATTATCATTACATCATCGAGACGTATTTTTCTCGCGACGTTGGAAATTATATCACCGGGACGCATATTTCTCGCAACGCTGGATGCAATTTGTATTTATTTATCATGTGTTTGTTTGAGATAAGCTGGGGACAGTCCACGATATAAACTCTCGAAGCTAATTGTTTTAAAGTAACCAGTCACTTGGATCATGGCAGCATTTAACATAATGTAAATTCTTTGTTTGACTTGTTGGTAAAGTGTGGCATAATTGAACATCATGTCAATCCTTTGTTTGAATTGCTGATAAAGTGTGGCATAATTTAACATCAGGTAAATTCTTTGTTTGAATCGTTGATAAAGTGGCATGCTTGCCGATAGAATAAAATCATCGTCGTGGGGGGAGAACAACCACAACCAGGAGTCTCAAACTCCGCTCGTGCTACAACGCCTTCTCTGGTGCCGCGGTCAGTTACTTTAATTCAAATTTTTCTTTGTTGTATTAAATTTGTGATTTTCAAATATCTGCATTAATTCAGAATGTTTAATTTGATTTCATTCAAAGTTAGGCAAGTTTATTTTTGTAGCTGAGCATTAAGAGGCCATGAAATCAAACGGTAAATAGTTCTATTTCAAAATAGTGAAAAAAGTTTCAGTATAAAATGTAGTTTAAAATTCAATTAACAATACTGTCTCGATTTAATGTCAATAGAAAAATGTATATGAGAACAAAGACGTTTAAAATTAACCATTTACACATTTCAAGTGTAACTTTTCTAAAATCTGATAAAAAATTTCCAGAGATTTCTTCAATATAGCGACTTAATCATTATAATAAAATTTCCATTAAGTGGATATCAATAACAAAATTTTATCAGCAACGGATAAAAACAATATCTATAAGTATGATTTAAAAACACAAGTGGAAATGTTTCGTATTACGTCATAGCTTCCGCACGAAATAAAAGAGATTATGAGGACTCATCTTTGTAGAAATTGCAAATTTCACCGAAAAACGTTTGTATATTAAATTAGCAGCAAAACCAAGTAATAAAAACCCTTCAAGTGTTAAATTTTCAATATTATATTAAAACAACGTCACAATTTTTAGAATATCACACTTTGAATCCAGTCTATGTAACTGGCGGTTCTCGTGTACCCAGATGGATGATTGGTTTCACAGCCAACTGAGCTAGCCCAGCTTACGATACCAACATGGACGGCTCTACCGCTGTCATCATAGGTTACCAATGGGCCACCACTGTCTCCCTACAAAGTATCAAATCAGTCACTACCCTTACAAATTGTACAATACCTTACATTGCAAGTTCCTTCGTTACCTGGTCCAACTGCACAAACCATACCATCAGTAATAGTGGCTTCACCATAAATTGCCTTACAGTCAGCATTAGAAATACTTGACAGTTCAACGTAGTTAAGATCATTGAGAACACCATCCCCTTCGAAATTAAATTATTAAACCCAACGATATAAAAAGCAAAAATATCTTACAATCACCAGAAGCCCCCCATCCACTGACAGTTACAGAAACATCGGCGCCAAGGTCGGAACCAGCAAGAGGAATTACCGCGATATGATCTATCAAATAATAATAATAATAATAATACACAATGGCTTTAGTCGAATTCGTTACCATTCATAGTATAGTTTGTGTCAATTCTGATAAGACCGATATCATTTTCCAAAGTGTCCAGGTCGTAATCTGGATGTGATACGGAATAGCTTGCTCCTAGAGTCACCCTGTTGTCATCATCATCTACCAGCGAGTTTGCCCCCAAGTGAAGGGTAAACACTGTAGCACTAAACAACAGATATCAATACAAAAACTAATTTGCTGAGATTCTTACTGATAAGTGCAATGTCCAGACGTCAATACCCAATTTGGTGCAATCAAAGCACCACCGCAGAAGTAAGTTCCTTCACTGGTATCGAAATAAACGGCTACTTGATATGGGAATTGTCCTTCTGCAGCCTCCTTTCCGCCGACTATACGTCCGCCGGGATGTTTCTGGACGGACACTGGCTTCGGCTGCAAAATTATTTTACTGACTGGGTTTATAGACATTAATTTTTACCTTAGGGGAAGGCAGAGCCCAAAGCGAGCTAATGCACAAACAAATCACAATAATCGACTTCATTTTGACTGATTTTGTGGTTGTTTTCTTTATATTTATAGTTATTTTATATCTTAAGTATATCTTTGATTGTTATTGTTTGAAGTGAATGATAAAATTGCGACAGAAATCAATTTTATCTCTTCTGGTTCAACGAAACCTCTTGAGCCCAATTTTTAAGTGTTGACAAGGATCTCTACTCTCAATTTATCTTTTTTTCCATCATCAGGATTGTGCTATAAATATTCGTAAATCAATTCCCCCCTCATTTTTTACTTGTTGTTAATGGACTTGACACCTTTTTGCCCAATTTTTTCTCTCTAAAATTTCCTCTGGCTAAAAAAATTAAAACTTCCGTATGACAACAATTACCGTATGCGCATCAGAAATTATTTTTGTTCAAAAATGTTGACTGCCTTCTGAGTGGAATGAGTGGCTATGAAAAATAAAAAATACCCTTTTAATACATTTCAAAAAAAATAGTCTGAAATGAACTAATTTTCACTACGTGAAAAAGAAATAAAAGAACTTTAGTCAGTGATTCACACCATACATATCAGGAGATTTTGTGTAACCGAAAAAGTGACAAGTGTTTTCCAGATTGTTTAAAGTCATCGAGCTGTTTATTTCATTGTTAAAATTATAGATTTACGCTAACATGAATCCTGACATCATATTGGTGTACTAATCTAAAAATGAACGACAAACAATACAAGATAAAATTTATGTAAGTATAAAGTATATTCTAGAAAACGTCTGCACTTAACTTAGACCAGAAACAAATATACTAACAGTTGAACACATTTTTATTAACCATTAATGACACTTTGAATCCAGTCAAGATAATAACTCGTTCTGGTGAAACCTGACGGATGATCGGTTTCGCAACCACTGGCACTCGCCCAGCTGACGATACCAGCATGGACCGTAACACCATTGGTATCTGTTACGACTAACGGTCCTCCGCTATCACCCTATTCAAATCTTATTAATAGTAAAATTTAAACACGAAAATTAGTAACTTACACTACATGTTCCTTCATTGGTATTACCAACTGCACATAACATGCCTTCGGTAACAGCAGGTCCGTAAATTTCTCGACATTCGGCAAGAGTAAGAGAGCGCAGAGTTACATAATTCAAATGATTAACAGCCCCATCCCCTAGACAATTCTACTAATTAACGAAAAAAAATTAAATTGTACTCACAGTCGCCTGTGGAACCCCACCCACTTACTGTAAGTGGAACGCTTCCACCAACTGGAGTGGAAGCTAAAGGAATAATTTGAATGAAATCTGTAACGAACGAAAATAATATGTAGACGAAAATTATCATTGTTAAAATTTAAGCTACCGGTAGTTTCTACGCCAGAATCAATCTTTATGAGGCCGATATCGTTCTCAAGATTACCAGGGTTAAAATCAGGATGCGCAACTGAGTGCGTAACTGTGAATTCTACCCTGTTTGGATCTGCATCTACCAAAGAATTCGTTCCCAGTCGTAGTGTAAATATTTTTGCTCTAGACAACAAACACATCTCACACAAAGATTATTTTCATTTTATAATTGGTACCCATATACGCAATGACCCGCTGTTAGAACCCACTGAGGATCAATCAGAGCTCCACTACAAAAATAGGTACCATCGTCTGTGTCCAAATAAACTGCAACTTGCCAAGGGAACTGACCAGGCGAGGCTTCATCCCCTCCTACTATACGTCCATTTAATTCTAAAACAAAATACTTAATTTTGCCAAAAAATTGACACTACAGACTGACTTAAGTATGTTTTTAGTAACGATTTTTGTTGCTGGTTTGGCAAACAGCACACACAAACTAGGCACAGTGAAGCTACAATAATCAATTTCATGTTGATCAACAAAACAACTCAATTTTTTCGCCGATTTTTCGTATTTATTGGCAGGCTTTACGTCAGATTTTTAAAAACGGATGAATCTCTTGCAGATAAATCGATAAAGGTCTTACAAGTCAATCACACATCAATCTTACGTTGGCGCCAGTGACTCAATTTCAGGGTTTTATTTTGAAAATTATCAAAGTAGAGTGTTTATGTACCTTCACAGAGTAAAATGCATAAAATTTTGGTACAGAATAACTGGCGGACAAATATTTCAAAAATACCAAATATGTTTAATTAATCAGTAGATAATCACCACCTCAATCTAAAGAGTTTCATCCGGTCATTCTTCCGTCAAATAAAAATTACCATACAAACGTCAATGAAATCGAGAACATGCATCTGATAAATTGATAACTAAAAATTATAATATAAAAATTATCTTTTGATAGAAATATATTTGAGTGTTTTGCATCCGCTATTTCAACATAACACGTTACTAATAAATGGAAAATCTGATAAGCTGTATTATCTGAGAATTGTTTGCTAAAGGCATCCTCTTTAATCTAAATAAGTGAAAATAATCCATTTCAAAATAACTCTTGACATACTTAAGTAGCTTAATTTTGTTATTTTACCTTGGTTAAGTGTGTTTTATTATTTTTATTGTGGAGTTTAATCTGTCTTAACCCGGCGCATCCACCATTCACACGTTTTCGATACTTATTTTTTAAATATTCTTAAAGATTGTCAACGCCAAGGTGTATTTTAAAAATTTTGTTAATTTTCAAAACAAAAAAGATTCGTCAAAATTTTTGTTGTAAATTTACAGAGTCTAACACATTTAATCAATAGCACCTTTTCAGTTTTACTTTTACCTTTAGCCACATAAGTTCAAAATCGGACCTAATTTTCATTTGTTTAAACCTCATTTTCAAAATTTTGATAATTTTGAAAATAAAAGATACTCCTCATTTTTTTATAAATTTACAGAATCATATTCTTGAAACTAAGATTGTTTTTCAGTTTTTACTTTTATCTAACCTTATAAATCGTCAAAATCGGATCCAATTTTCAGTTTCAAAATGTTGTCAATTTTGAAGATAAAAATTCTCCTCAAATATTTTTTTAGTACATTTAGAGAATCTAATACTTCAAACGAACACCATATTTTCAATTTTTAATTTGACCTTTTACCTTGGAAGTTGTTAAAATCACATGTAATTTTCGTTTTCAAAATTTTGTTAATTTTCAAAATAAAAAAAATCCAATTTTTTTAATATATGCAAAGAATCCAAAATTTGGAACGAACACCACTTTTTCAGTTATATCTTTTACCTTTAACCTCATAAGTCGTCAGAATCGGATTCAATTTACATTTGATGAAACTCGACTTTATCAATTTCAAGATAAAAAAGACTTCTCAATTTTTTTTTTAGTATATTGAGAAAATCTAACACTTGAAAAGAACATCACTGTTTCAGTTTTTACTTTTAACCTGATAAGTCGTCAGAATAGGATGTAAGCATTCATTTCAAAAGTTTGTTAATTTTAAAATAAAAAGATAAATATTTTTTTGTAAATTTACAAAATCTAACACATTTAACTAACAACATTATTTCAGTTTTACTTTTACTTTTAGCCACATAAGTTCAAACTCGGATCTAATTTTCATTTGTTGAGACCACATTTTCAAAATTTTGATAATTTTCAAAATAAAAGATACTCCTCATTTTTTTTGTAAATTTACAGAATCTTTTACATGAAACTAACGCTGTTTTTTCAGTGTTTATTTTTATCCAATTTTCAGTTTCAAAGTTGTGTTAATTTTCAAAGTAAAAAAAACTATTCAAATTTTTTTTAGTATATTTAGAAAATCTGACACATGAAACTAAGACCGCTCTTTCACTTTTTAATTTACCTTTAACCTCATAAGGTCATAAGTCTTCAAAATCGGATCTAATCTTTTTTCAAAATTTTGTCAATTTTGAAGATAAAAAAGTCTCCTCAAATATTTTTTTAGTAAATTTAGAGAATCTAGCACTTTAAACGAACACCACATTTTCAGTTTTTAATTTTGCCTTTAACCTCTGAAGTCGTCAAAATCAGATATAATTTTCATTTTCAAAATTTTGTTAATTTTCAAAATAAAAAAAATATATTTTAAGAATCCAACATTTGAAACGAACACCACTTTTTCAGTTTTTTATTACCTTTCACGTCATAAGTCGTCAAAATCGGATTCAATCTACATTTGGTGAAACGATTTTCAAAATTTAGTCAATTTCAAGACAAAAACGACTCCTCAATTTTTTTTAGTAAATTTAGGGAATCTAACACTTGAAATGAACACCAAATTTTCAGTTTTTATTTTTACTTTTAATCTTATAAGTTATCAAAATCGGATCCAATCTTCATTTGCTGAAATCCGATTTTCAAAATTTTGTCAATTTTTTAACATCATAAACTTCTCAATTTATTTTTAATAAATTAAGAGAATCTAAGACATGAAACTAACGCCGGTTTTTTAGTTTTTACTTTTACCATTGACCCAATAAATCGTCAAAATCGGATTTAATTTTCATCGGCTGAAACCTCATTTTCAAAATTTTATTAATTTAAAAAAATAATAAAAATGCCCTAATTTTTTTTTACAAGTTTACAGAATCTAACACTTCAAACAAACACCAAATTTTCAGTTTTCACTTTTCCCTTTAACCTTATAAGTCGTCAAAATCGGATCCAATTTCTATTTGCTGAAAACTGACTTTCAAAATGTTAACTTTCAAAATAGAAAAGACTCTTCGAGTATTTATTTGGTAAATGTTTGAGAATTTAGCATATGAAACTAACGCTGCTTTTTCAAATTTCACTTTTACCTTTAGCCTCATAAGTCGTCAAAACCAGATGAACTTCATTTTAAAAATTTTATTAATTTTCAAAATAAAAAAAATACAAATCTTTTTTAGTAAATTTAAAGAATCTAAGATTTGAAACGAACATCACTTTTTCAGTTTTACTTTTACCTTTAACCTCATAAGTTGTCAAAATCGGATCCTATCTTCATTTGCTGAAATCCGATTTTCAAAATTTTGTCAATTTTCAAGATAAAAAAACTCCATTTTTTTTGTAATAAATTTAGAGAATCTAATACATTAAACTAACGCCGCTTTTTCAGTTTTTACTTTTACCATTAACCCAATAAATCGTCAAAATCGGATTCAGTTTTCATTGGCTGAAACCTCAAAATTTTGTTAATTTTGAAAATAATAAAAATTCCCTAAATTTTTTTACAAGTTTACGGAATCTAACACTTCAAACAAACACCAAATTGTTCAATTGCTCATTTAAATTTTTATATGGCTCCGAATAAAAACAAAAATACGCATTATTGTTTACTTAGGTGTGCATATATATAGATAATGATAGGTAAAAGTCTATAATTTATTACATAGATAAGTGAAATGACCATGCTTATAATCTTTCAAACTGATGTTATCTTTTAAAGTACATTTATTCGGTACACATGATTATTTATTATCACTTAAACAATTATCAAGAAGTAAAAATTAGAATGAACAGAGAAATTAAAAAGTTGCTACAAAAAACGAGTGACAATATAATTTACAACAACTTGAAGTCATCTTCAAGAGTCTAGTTGTGTGTATAATTGGTTGCATATGTATCTTAAAATTGTTATTTTTTTTCATTACAATCATGAATTTAAAGAACACTCAGCTTTTCCATATACAGGGAAAATTAATTTTTAATTCTGAATACAGCGTGGTGCGCATGAGTATGCGCAGCAAAACACAACTTGCAAGCATCAATGACCTCTAACCTAACCTCAAAATTACAAACCTTCCAAACTAGACAATTTTCTTATTAAAAGTTAAAACTAAAACATGCTAAACTTATTCTCTAATGCAAAACAATTCCAAAAGCCAGTTTGTCACATCACATTATGCTACAAAAACAACAAAATTAAACTACTCCGAAAACTTCATAGTTTCTCCCCTGATAAGAAGTACAATGTGGTTGTAGTGGGTGGTGGTCATGCGGGTAGTGAAGCATGTGCAGCAGCAGCTCGAATGGGGGCCCAAACTCTCTTAATAACCCACAAAAAAGAAACAGTAGGTAAGAAAGCGTTGGTAGAAGTAACTCTAATGCCCCTACTTAAACAAACATATCTAGGTGAAATGTCATGCAATCCGTCTTTTGGGGGAATAGGCAAAGGACACCTCATGCGAGAAGTTGATGCCTTGGATGGAATTTGTGGACGCATGTGCGACTTATCTGGCATCCAATACAAGGTCAGTCATTTCATTTCACAAAACTTATTCTTAAAACTTTTATATAGGTCCTGAATAAAAGAAAGGGTCCCGCTGTTTGGGGTTATCGCGCCCAGATTGACAGAGATCTGTATAAAAAACACATCCAAGAGGAGTTATTTGAAAGAACGCCTAACTTAGACGTTTTAGTGGCTTCTGTAGAAGATTTAATAATAAAGAATCCGAGTTCCAATAGTAGTGGTCAACCTGTTGTTGATTGTTGTGGGATTGTTTTAAATGACGGCACACAAATTAATTCAGATTGTGTGGTCATAACTACTGGAACTTTCCTAAATGGACAGATCAATATAGGGACCAAAGTGTACCCAGCCGGTCGAATAGGCGATAAACCATCAATTGGCTTAGCCCAGACTTTAGCGTCTTTAAATTTAAGAATGGGGCGTTTAAAAACGGGGACGCCGCCTAGACTTAGGGCCAACACAATCAATTACAGCGTCTGTGATTTTCAAAAGGGTGATGATCCACCTTTACCGTTTTCTTTCGTTAACGACGCAGTGTGGATTAAGGTACTGCGATTCTATGTTTTGTATTCTTTAAACACACTAAAAGTCGTGTTATAGCCTGAGGACCAATTACTCTGTTATCTCACCAGAACATCTTTATCTATAGAGTCAATTATCAAAAACAATCTCCACGTCAATAGACACGTGAGGGAAGAAGTAACGGGTCCTAGATATTGTCCTAGCATAGAATCCAAAGTTTTGAGGTTCGGGGGACGGCAACATCAGGTCTGGTTAGAACCAGAGGGTCTTAACAGCGACATAATCTACCCAAACGGGTTATCTTGCACACTTCCGGAAGAACTCCAAGTCCAACTAATCCATTCCATTCCCGGTCTAGAGAAAGCGGAAGTCGTCAGACCTGGTTTGATTCTCAAAGCGACGCGTTCCATTTAAAACCAGTTCATTGTAGGCTACGGCGTTGAATACGACTTCGTCGATCCCCGAGAACTGCAGCCAACCCTACAACTAAAAAGAATAAAGAATTTATTTCTTGCAGGCCAGATTAATGGAACAACCGGATATGAAGAAGCCGCAGCTCAAGGGATCATCGCTGGGATTAACGCAGCCGCTTTTGTATTACTTACTTTGTTTTAATTTTAATGAGTTGGTAGCAGTGTAATTTTAGGGTTTACACAAACCCGCGATTACTATCAGTCGTACTGAAGGCTATATAGGTGTCCTGATTGACGATTTGACCACTTTAGGCACAAATGAACCATACAGGATGTTTACAAGTCGAGCCGAGTTTAGACTGACGTTAAGACCCGATAATGCCGACCAGAGACTGACAGGGAAGGGTTTTGAAATCGGTTGTGTGAGTAAACAAAGATATGACAAAATGGTGGATATGAAAGAGAAGCTAGAAGACGGTATAGCGCTTTTAAAGAGTGTGAGCAAACCTGTCACTCACTGGAGGAAACTAATGAATATTACGCCATCCAAAAACGCTATGCAAAAGCGGTAAGTTTTCGTTTTTATTTTCAATTATATTTGAGTGACCATTTCAGAGCTTTCAATGTGATAGACATTTATAATGAAGGTATAACGATAACTATGTTGGCGAAAGTCGCCCCTGAATTATTACCTTTAAGCTACGATAAATCGTTAGAAAATCGGCTTCATATTGAAGCAATGTATGAAGCTGCCGCTGCCGAACAAGCAGAAGAAGTTAAAGAATTAAGAAAAGAAGAATCTCTGGTTATACCGAGAGATATTGATTATAACGCGGATAACCTTAACCTCAATTCCGAAGAGCGGGAAAAATTGTTGACGGTCCAACCACAAACGGTAGAATTAAAAATTAAAGTAAATGCAAGTAAAGATGACTTTGTTGTTTCAGATAGCGGCCGCCAGTAGAATTCCAGGTATAAGTCCATCCTCGGTTTTTAGGCTCCTAAGATTTGTAAAAAAAGTCCCGCAAATCGAATCAGCGTTGTAATTAAGTATTATGTATAGAAAATAAACGAATAAAATGGAATTATTTTTATTTTTTGTGTTCTTTAATTTCCTGTTACCCTTGAAACACAATTGTTACGTTAGCAACACTCCAACCAATCAGAACCATCTAAAGTCAAAACTGTGGCGGCCGAGATCAGTCTCCTTGGTCTCCATGGTCTCCATGACGATATCAATAAAACTTTGCCACATATCTTATTAAACATTTATTTTAATATACAGCACGAAATATTTTATACATAGTAGTTTTTATCTAATTTATCATGACTACCCCATCACCTCTCGACGTCGACGAAGAAGAAGAAAAAGATTCCCTCTTCTCGGACGAATCAGAAGGTATTTTTCCGATTTTCCTCATGTCGTGACTAACCATTTCCCACGCAGACAAAGCGGTTAAAATACAAACCCCTGAAGCCGAAGAGAGCGAGCAGCCAAAGATTTCTTACACCGAAGAAGAACTCGATAAATTCGTAGAGTACATCAAAAATCTAACAACACTGTACGATCTACGTGCAGAAGACTGGAGTGAAGAGAATCACGATGTTATCAAACTGTGGTTTTTAACACCCACCGAACCACTCATGACGATATATTTTTATAAAGATGTGTTAACATGTACTATCGGAATTCCAACGAACCCTTGCATGGATCTGACTTATTTCCTGCGACAACCACTGGAGACTTTCAATGTTGCTACTTTTTACGACACCATCAATTTTGGAACTATGGACGATAACATAGAAGGGAGCATTTTGGACATTGTTGAAAATGTTTACGCACCGGTTTTTTTCAAGTCGGACCATTGGCCTGAAAGTAGTTTCCTAAAATAGTTTGTTCGAATCAACTAAATTGTTTTGTCTAGGTGTTAAGAACGATTTCTCGCACAACCTTCACATGTTTTTGGCTAAATTCACCGACATTCATAGTAAATTGTCTGGTCTGACGGTACTTTATATTCCTCGGGAGGCTCTTGACATCCCTGCTAATATCGCCAGTCAGGACAAAGAACTAGTGAAACGATTAGAAGCTATAGTGGTTTACTGGACCAAGCAAATCCGGGTTGGTCTTCAAGACCAAGACCAAAACACCCCCGATGATTTACTTCGTCCCATTGATGAGTACGAATTCTGGGTCTACAGATGTAAGTACGAATTATGTGTAAATTTGACACAATTTGCGTTCTTCAGATGAAAACTTGTCGGGTTTAAACTATCAATTAACTAACGAAAGTTTGAAACACATCTGCAACATTTTGAGAGCCGTTCAGTCCACTTACGTGCACCAGTTTCTAATTCTGGCGGACGAAATCGAAAGGAATCTCAAAGAATCCAAATCAAACATCGAATACCTTGGAGTTTTGAAAGAACCATGTGCAGAGTTAGCCAAAATTGAGAATCCGAACGAAATGCGTTCAAAGTTAGTGCACATTTTGCACATAATTAGATACATTTGGATGAACAGTCCCTATTACAACACTATAGAGAAACTTACGAACTTGTGCCGCGCTCTTAGTAATCAGGTTATCCTCCAGTGTACGAAATACATAAAACTGAACTTGGTTTTCGTCGACAAAAAAAGTAGAGAGGGAATTAGGATGTTCGAAACTTGTATAGAATGCCTTACTGACTACATTCAAGCTTACATACTGGTATGTACACGTTTTAATACTTCACAAGTTGTACTATTTTTATATTAGATATCTGAAAGTCACTCAATGTATGGTCCCGAAATCTGGTCTCTAGACAGAGCCCCAATTTTCAACCACGTCGACTCTTTCATCCAGCGATGTAAAGATATGATCGAAATTTGTGAAGCCATGATAAGTTTCGGACGACACGACGAGACCGAAGAGATTCCCAAACCGAACTTCGGTGGTTCCAGGCATATGGAATTCATCAACTGGTGCTCGAAAGTGGAGGAGATGTTTGCCGAAAGTTTGAAAGCCATCGAAGACGTATTATTAACACAAGTGTCCCTACTCTAAATAACCGAACATTTTTAAGGTGAAACACACAATTCTGGACGTACAAGAATCAAGCTGGTACGACCAGATGCTCCAGTTCAAGAACAGAATCAAAGACATTGAGGTAGTTATCGAAAATCTGACCAACGCCGTCTTCGAAGACGTAGCAAACGTTGAAGAAGGAATCGAGAGTTTGGCGGCTTTATACAACTACTCGAAACGCGAAAGTCTGAAGCCTCTGTTCACCTCAAAGACTCAGTTCGTTTACGAGATGTTTAAAGACGAAATTCATGAAGTTAAGCGGGATTTGGGTAACACGGAGTTGTATCCGGCACGATTACCCTTCTACTCTGGGAGAGCTATGATTGCCAACATGAAGAAAAACCGGCTTAACCTTATCAGACAAGTAAGACCAATTTGTAAGTTGGCTAGACTATAAATGTGTTTCTAGTTGTTCGAGGACGCTAAGTGGATGATGCCTTGCAGTCTCGGACCCGAGATTTTCTCTCAGTACGAAAAACTCGTCACTTCGATTGATGAAAGGATCCTTCATTTCTATCGAAAGTGGGTTGACAAATTGGGAGACGACGTCGCTAAACGTTTGAATAGACCCCTGATGTGCAAAAGTGTGACAAAGCCTGGGTTAATCGAATGTAACATTGATCGATCCTTGCTGGACATTTTCCAAGAAGCTAAGTACTGGGAATCTCTCCGGTACGAAGTACCACCTCACGTTAAAAGTGTTGTTGATAAAGCTAATCACGTTAAGTTTGTGTATGAAAGTGTGTTGGCTGTAGTTCTTGATTATAACAAGATCGTTGCGTCGTTGAGTGATGATGAGAGATTGTTGTTCAAACCCTTGATTACTATAGTAGAAAAGAAAATAGCTCCTGGCTTGTCTAGACTCACCTGGGCTTCTGAAGTGTCGGACGAATATATTGACGAGTGTTCACACAATACAGCTGAGGTTTGACTGAATTTAAGTTTCAATTCATTAACAAAGTCGTTCAGTTGCAGCAATTTCTCGATGATTACAAAAGTTGCAACTTGCAGATCGTTGCAATTTGTGAAAAAGTCTGCGACACTTTCATGTTTAAAATCACACCTAATTATGTCTTCCAAATCGACGAACTAATTCACGAGATATCGACGCATCTGGAGCGAACCATGGAAGTTCTTATTAAGCACTGGCACAACATAATCCAGTTTCTTATTTTGGTTTTTGAAGGATTTGAGAATTATATGACCGTCGTATGTATTTTACTGCCGCTCACTATTTTTGTATTAGATTTTTATTAGTATACAGAAATAGTGTGCGAAAAATACTCTCAAATTAAACTCGTAGATGGCCAACCAATGGATCACTTATATCAACAATTTTGACACTCTAGTGGAAGAAGCGCTTAAGATTTGTTGTAGAAATACACTGCACCACTTGTATGAGTTTCTTCACGGTGATGAAACCATTGGGCCAAACCCGGTTTTAGAACTCGTAGCCAGTTTAAAAGACAACCGGGTAAACACTTTTGGTTAAAATTCGCCCCACTAAAGGAAACTTTCAGATTAACTTTCAACCAACTCTTGGTGAAGTCGCCAGAGTGATTCACAACGTCTTACCCAACATAGTTGAAGCTCTGACATCACTCCCGCGCCTAAACGATAAGTTCCATGTAGCTGAAACCGATTTTACACCATACTATGGTATCATCGAAGGAGATTCAGAATGTAAGAAACTTCAAAAGATGCTCAATGAAGGTACTGTACCATTTTTTGTGTATCGTGTGGTGTGATACAACTATTTGGTTAGAGGTAAGCCACAACGTCAAATTAATCCAAGAATACATGACAACGTGGGAACCTTTCCGTGACCTTTGGGAAATCGACAAAGACCTTTTCATGGATAAGTACGAAGGCGAATATCCAACAGCAGACCAGTTTGACGCCAACATCGGGAGATACACGGAAGTAGCAAACAACGTCCAAATTCAAGAAGGCGTCACAGTTGTCCATTTCATACGTATAAACTGTTCGGAATTGAAGAGAGCCATCATCGAGCATTGCGTCCAGTGGCAGATGAAGCTCTGTCAGCTTTTGTACAAGTTGACGGTGAGGAACATCAACGACGTCTATGCCTACATTAAAACCAACACGGAAGCGTAAGTCCCTCAATTTTAGAAAACAGACACTAAAAAGAGCTTTAGCGTTTTGAAGGAACCGAAAAACCTGGTCGAAATGGAAGAAGCTATAGCGCTTTACGATCGACTGGTGGAAGAAGTCGAAGAAAAAGAGAAAATATTCCCTTCGATAACAGACGAAATGCTGGTGTTGGAAAAGTACAACGTGTTTGTTTCTAACGAGATTCGAAGTCAAGAAAGAGCGATCCCTACTGAGTGGGGTCGGTATTTGGAAGTGTTGCAAGAGGCGGAGAAGATGCTTGGGTATTCGAAGGTATTAGTTAAAGGCCATAAGATGAAATCTTAACCCTTTTTCCATTCCTTAAATTTCCCTTTTCCTGTACCCATATTTCCTAGGACACCTTCAAAACCAAACTCCTCGAAGACGCAGAAGTGTTGAAGAAAGATGGTAAAGCTATCTTGGAAGAGTTTCTCACCAATGGACCGTTTTCGTCAGACTGGAGTGCCGAAGACGCGCTTAAGTATATTGCTGATATTAAGGCAAAGCTTGCGATGTTGCGCGAACATGAGGCTAGTCTAAGAGGCGATTTGGGAATATTCGGGCTCAGTTTACCCGACACTGTAGAACTGACGAAACTGGAACGAGTACACTGGATACTCTACCAAAGTACCTTATTTCACCTATATTATATTCGTAGGAAATTGCCGCCATAGAACTCGTCTGGCAGTTAACCGACGAATGGAACAAAGCTTGGGAAAAATACAAATCGGGCGAATTTTGGACCATCGAAACCGAAGAAATGGAATTAACCGCTCAGACTCTCTTCAGAAAACTGACACGACTATCCCGCGAACTCAAAGACAAAAAGTATAAAAAACTAACACTTTAGTTCACCCCTCACTAAATTTTATTAGTTGGGAAATCGTGGACAATACAAGAGAACGCGTGGATGCTTTCCGACGAACTCTACCACTGATAGGCGATTTGAAAAATCCTTCTATGCGTCCGAGACATTGGGATCGCGTACGCAAAGTCATCGGAAGAGAATTCGACGAAAATTCACCCGATTTTAACTTGGAAGCCATATATGCTATGGAAATGCACAAGTTTGCTGAAGAAATTAACGACATTTCGAATGCCGCTACCATGGAGTTGCAGATCGAAAAAGGTATCGCGAACATTGCAGCCGTCTGGAAGGACATGAAAATTGAAATCATACCACACAAAGACAAGGGTATCTACAGGTAATGTCGCCAAAGTCGTAAGAACGTTTTTAATTCCGGTTCTAGAATTAAAAGCGTCGACGAATGCTTTCAAACCCTTGACGATCACATGCTGCAATTATCGACAATGAAGAGCACACGTTTCGTCGAACCTTTCACCAAAGAAGTAGATTATTGGGAAAGGACTCTTTCTTACATTCTAGAAACGTTAGAGGCGGCTCTACACGTACAAAGACAGTGGTTGTACCTTGAAGTATCCCCAGCAACTCTCAACGTGACCATTTTCACCCACTTTCTTTAATTATAGAATATCTTCTTCGGCGAAGACATCCGCAAGCAGTTACCACGAGAATCCGAAGGCTTCGATCGTCTAAGCGAAGAATGGAAAACCATCACCCTACGCATGTTCTTAGGAAAAACAGCAATGAAAGCCACTCATTTCGAACCGCCTCCTTACCTTTACAACAAACTAAATCGCATGAACGACAAACTAGAACTGATACAAAGAGCCCTAGAAAAGTACTTGGAGACGAAACGCCACGTGTTCCCACGGTTCTATTTTATTTCAAACGACGACATGCTGGAAATCTTGGGCAACTCCAAGAAACCTGAAGCGGTGCAACCCCACTTGAAAAAGCTCTTCGATAATTTGGTAAAATTGAAGATGCAGAAGAATCTAGTTACGAATAAGTTGGAAGCCTTGGGTATGTTTTCCGAAGATGGGGAGTACATGGAGTTTCCGAAAGGGATAATACTGGATGGACCCGTGGAGACGTGGCTTTTGGAAGTGGAGGCACAGATGAAAGCTTCGCTGAGGAAGGAGTTTAAGCCGTGTCGAAGCGCGCTGAAGAAAATGTTAAGTAAGAGGGACAAGTGGTTGTTGACTTATTGCGGACAGTTGTGTAATGCGTGCAGTCAGGTAATTACGATCTAGAGTGAAAATAAATAGATTGACGGTCGGTTTAGATACAATGGACGACTGACTGCACCAAAGCTTTAGTGCATGCCAAAATAACTGAAAGTAAAAAACCGTTGAAGAAACTGAGGAGAAAGCAGAATCAGGTTTTGAGCAAACTATCGGAGCTGAGTAGGAGAGAGTTGACTAAGCTGCAACGACTTAAAGCAAACGCTTTGATTACCATTGAAATCCACTGTCGCGATGTCATTGACAGAATGTACAAAGCGAGTAAGTACTAATAATTTCTTTGTACTAAGACAAAACAATCAAAAATGTGTACAGACTGCAGAGACACGAACGCGTTCGAATGGTTCTCACAACTGCGCTTCTACTGGGATCGCGATTTAGATGACTGCATTATCAAACAAACAAACACTTCTTTCATGTACGGTTACGAATACAATGGGAACTCAGGTCGGCTCGTCATCACTCCGCTAACCGACAGGTAGTTACCATTTGTTAAAATTTGCAACGTCATCGGGTTTTATAGATGCTACATTACTTTAACGACGGCTCTTCACTTGTACCGTGGAGGAAGTCCCAAAGGACCGGCCGGTACCGGCAAAACTGAGACCGTTAAAGACTTAGGCAAAGCCATGGGTATGTGGGTCATAGTTACTAATTGTTCCGAAGGTCTGGATTACAAAAGTATGGGTAAATGTTTCTCTGGACTGGCCCAAACAGGTGCGTGGGGTTGCTTCGACGAGTTTAACCGAATCAATATCGAAGTACTTTCGGTTGTTGCGCAACAGATACTCAGCATTCTATCGGCGATAGCACGAAAGCTTACGAAATTTGTTTTTGAAGGTAAATTGCAAGCACGTTTTGTCTGTCGTAAAGTGTGATTATTCAGGTTCGGAAATTAAGCTGAAACCGACTTGTGGTATTTTTATTACTATGAATCCGGGTTATGCCGGTAGGACTGAACTCCCGGATAATTTGAAATCGATGTTTCGGCCAATCGCTATGATGGTTCCGGACAGCGCGATTATAGCTGAGAATATCCTGTTTAGTGACGGCTTTCAAAATACTAAACTTTTAGCAAAGAAAGTGTACACTTTGTATCAGCTTGCGATGCAACAATTAAGTCAGCAACATCACTACGATTTTGGTTTGCGTTCAATGGTGGCTCTTCTACGATACGGGGGAAGGAAGAGGAGACAGTTGCCCCTTTTTCCAGAAGACGAAATCATATATCTTGCCATGCGGGACATGAACATAGCCAGACTGACGTCAGACGACTTACCCCTTTTCACTGGAATAATGTCTGATATTTTTCCTGGAGTGACCATACCAACTGTGGATTACGTAGACATGATTAATGCCATCGTGGAACATATGAAAGAAAATGGATTGCAGGTAAATCCTAAAACATAAAATTAAAAATTAAATTTGATAATTCGTTTCTCGAAAAAAGCCTATAAAAAACGCTATAACCAAAGTCATCGAACTATTCGAGACGAAATCCTCGCGACATTCCGTTATGATTTTGGGAAGAACCGGGTCTGCAAAATCAGCAACCTGGAAGACGTTAAAAGGTGCAATGAAGAAACTGACTAAACTTGGAAAAGAAGGTTTTAATCAAGTCCACGTATACCCCATAAACCCGAAAGCGCTGAATTTGGGCGAACTGTATGGAGAGTATAATTTAAGTACCAACGAATGGTTGGATGGCGTGATTAGTGCTATCATGAGGACAGTGTGTGCTGGTAAAACCAACAAAAATGTTTCTTTGATCTCGTTCAACAGTTTTTCAACAGAGGAATCACCTGATCAGAAGTGGATCTTATTCGACGGTCCCGTGGATGCCGTGTGGATAGAAAATATGAACAGCGTCATGGATGACAATAAAATCTTGACTTTAATAAACAGCGACAGGATTACCATGCCTGAACAAGTTTCTTTGCTGTTTGAAGTTGGTGACTTGTCAGTAGCTTCACCGGCTACTGTCAGTAGATGCGGAATGGTGTACAACGATTACAAAGACTGGGGATGGATGCCTTACGTCACTTCATGGGTACAAAAGCAGAGTAAACGTGGAACAGAGTATCAAGAAACTGTAAGTAAAAGCCCGTACAAACCACAGTTCAGTACTCAGTCCTATTGCAGATAATGGGTTTTTTCACTACTTACGTACAAAAAATATTAGACTTCAAAAGACTAAACTGTGAAGAAGCAGCAGGTTGTGTCGAAATTAACCTAATTATGTCTTTGTGCAAACTCTTAGAAATCTTCGCGACAGTCGAAAACGGTGTGAATCCTCACGACGAAGACAATTTTGCAGATATGGCTAAGAACTGGTTCCTATTTTGGTACTAAACTCATTTCGTTACTGGCAAACTAATCACTTTCTCTTAGTATGATTTGGTCTATTTGTTCTACAACAAACGAAGAGGGTAGAAGAAAAATAGACACTTTTATCCGAGAAAAAGAAGGTGCGTTCCCTATCAAAGATACCATTTACGAATATTTTGTGGACGTTCCAAACAAATGTTACCAACTGTGGGAGGCTAAGTTACCCTACGACTGGAAATACGACCCGGGGTATTACACACTTAACTATGCTTCACGTGATTTACTTATTTATCAACAGGTGCGCGTTTTTTGAAATTATCGTTCCGACTGTAGACACCGTTCGCTACGAATTCATAACAAACAACCTTTTATCTCACGGTGATCCAGTTTTACTCACTGGTCCCGTTGGTACCAGCAAAACTTCAACGGCTTTGTCAGTTTTAGACGAATTAAATTCCGAAAAATACACAGTTCTTAACGTGAACATGTCTGCTCAAACATCATCTATAAACTTACAAGATGCTATTGAAAGCCGTCTGGAAAAAAGAACCAAAGGAGTATTCGCACCCGTTGGGGGTAAATTATTAGTGGTGTTTTTAGACGATTTTAACATGCCTGCGAAAGAGACATACGGCTCCCAGCCGCCTTTAGAACTGCTGCGACAATGGTTGGGTTATGGATTTTGGTACGATAGACAAAAGCAAACCAGAAAATTTGTCATGGTAAGTGAGAAAACCACAATGTTTGGTGGTTTCAATTTATTTTCAGAATATGCACGTACTCGCTGCTATGGGACCACCTGGAGGTGGTCGCAATGTGATTTCTGAACGTCTTTTGAGCAAATTCAACGTAATTAACATCACGTTTCCCGACGAAACCAATATTTTGAGGATTTACGGAACGATGTTGGGGCAACATTTGGCCGAGTTCAACGAAATAGTGAAGATAACAGGACGCGAAATTACGGAAACCACGATCGATCTATACAATAACGTGTCGATGAAGATGCTGCCCACGCCGACGAAGATTCACTACCTTTTTAACTTGAGAGACATTTCGAAGATATTTCAGGGATTACTAAGAGCTCATAAAGATTTTCATGACAATAGAACGGCACTTCTGAGATTGTGGATCCACGAGTGTTTTAGAGTCTTTTACGACAGGCTGATTGATGACAGGTATGTTTATCAAAGAACAGGATGCATCTTAAAAAAAAAACACTGTTCGACAGAGACCGAGAATGGTTTATTACTCACATGGGTGAGCAGCTGGGTAAACACTTCGAAGCAACCTTCCACAGTATTTGCCCCAAAAGCAAGATTCCCATTTTTGCGGATTTCGTCAACCCCTACCGAATCTACGAAGATTTGCAAGACATGTCAGTCTTGCGCAAATATTTAGAAGGGCAAATGGAAGAATACAACCATTCTCCTGGAGTTGTCAAAATGGATTTGGTTCTTTTTGAGGATGCTATAGAACATATATGTAGAATCGAAAGGGTTATATCGCAACCACGAGGCAATATTCTTCTCGTGGGAATAGGTATGAAAGTAAATTTGATTTCAATTTTGCTACTTAGACAATTTCAGGGGGTAGTGGTAGACAATCGCTATCTCGTGTCGGGGCTTACATTTGCGAATACGGCACTTATCAAATCTCGGTTACGAGAAGCTACAAGGTTCCAGAATTTCGTGAAGATTTAAAAATTTTATACGCTGTGACTGGTGTTGACAACAGGGAGACGGCGTTCATTTTTAACGACACCCAAATCACAGACGAGAGTTTTCTGGAGATTCTCAACAACATGCTAAGTGTTGGAGAAGTAGCTAACTTGTACAAACCAGACGAATTTGAAGACGTGAGTACTAGGTTTAACCAAGAACAGGAATTATAGTTGGATTTCCTACAGATAAAAACAAGACTGATGAACGCTGCGGCTAAAGCCGGTGTAATTCAAACAAATGAAGCGATATACAACTTCTTGATTAAAAGAGTTCGTGCCAATTTACACATGGCAATTTGTATGAGCCCTATAGGAGACGCATTTAGAAACAGGTTGCGCCAATATCCAGCGTTAGTCAGTTGTACAACAATCGACTGGTTCAGCGAATGGCCAAAAGTGGCTTTATTGGAAGTAGCAAACAAATATATAAGTGATGTTAACTTTGTGCAAACCATCACCGGAGAAGCGGGGGTATTTACAATAATAAAGTTCTCTAGTTTTTTTTAACCGCTGGTATTAAGGTAGCACGACGGGAGTCTCTCGTCCGGACGACTCAAGACAAACTAAGAGAAGCTACAGCTTCGACTTTTGCCACGATTCACGACTCCGTAGCAAAATGTGCAAAACGAATGGCAGTCGAAATGAAACGTCATAGCTACGTTACCCCCACAAATTATCTAGAACTAGTCGCAGGATATAAGAGGTTAGTCGTTATTTTCCCAGAAATAAGCAAAATAATTGTCTTTTAGTATGCTTCAGAAGAAACGAGATGAAGTCGCTGCAGACGCCAACAAACTGAGAAACGGTCTATGGAAAATCGACGATTGCCGCAGCAAAGTCCAAACAATGTCCGTGGAACTAGAAGAAGCTCAAGTCAAAGTAGCAGAATTTCAACAACAATGCGACGAATACCTAGTTATAATAGTAGCTCAAAAGAAACAAGCGGACGAGCAACAGGTTCGAAGTTTTCATTTTCGCATCCAGACAAAATCACCTCTTTGTAGAGAGAAGTCACCGTAAAAAGCATCAAGATTCGAGAAGACGAAGTCGAATGCCAGAAGTTGGCAGACGTGGCTCAAGCCGATTTAGACGAAGTCATGCCAATTCTAGACGAAGCTATGAGAGCGCTGGACGCTTTAAGCAAAAAAGACATCTCTGAAATGAAATCATACAGCAAACCCCCCACCAAAGTCGAAATGGTGCTTGAAGCGGTCATGATTCTAAAACAACTCGATCCCACTTGGACCGAAGCGAAGCGACAGCTAGGCGAAATGAACTTTTTGAAAGATTTGGTGGAATTCGACAAGAACCATATTTCAGACCGAACACTAAAAAAAATAACCAACTATACACAAAACCCGGAATTCGTACCGGAAAAAGTCGGGACGGTGTCTTTCGCGGCGAAAAGCTTGTGTCAGTGGGTGATCGCCATCGAGCAATACGCGAGAGTTTGGAGGTAGCTTTGATCACCCGTTGTACATTCTCTCATCATTTTTTTCCAGAATCGTCGAACCCAAGCAAATGAAATTTGATTCGGCTATGGAGTCCTTGCGTGAAAAGCAACGCATGTTAGCGGAAGCTCAAGCCAAACTGGCGGAGCTTAACGCCATGTTGGCGCGTCTACAGAAAGAATACGAAGAGAAGCTTCAGCAGAAGGAAGAGTTGAACAAAAAAGCCGAACTTTTGAAAATTAAATTAGAACGGGCTTACATTTTGGTGGAATGTTTGGCTGGGGAGCGAGTTCGGTGGCAAGAAACGGTCAAGCGTCTCGACGCATCGTATGAAGCTTTACCCGGAGACTGCTTACTAGCGACTGCTTTTCTTTCGTATTTGGGGCCTTTTGTTTCAAGCTATCGTGAAGAATTGACAGAACTGTGGAAGCAAGAAGTACTGGAGCGCCAGATTCCTTTCACTCCAACGTTCGATATTATTACGTTTTTGAGCGACCCTACAACCATTCGAGAATGGAATTTGCAAGGTCTTCCAGCGGACGGTTTTAGTACCGAAAATGGGATAATAGTGACTAGGGGTACTCGATGGCCTCTGGTTATCGACCCGCAGTGCCAGGCACAAAAATGGATCAAAAACATGGAAGTTCAAAATCAGCTGAAGGTAATCGACTTCGGGATGCAAAATTATATGAACATTTTAGAAGAAGCAGTGAAAAACGGTAAACCAGTTTTACTACAAAATATTCTCGAAACGATGGATCCTTCACTCAACAACATACTAGGCAAAGCTGTGGTAAAACAAGGAGGGTTAAGTCTCATCAAAATCGACGACAAATTTGTGTCTTATAACCACGATTTTCGCTTTTTCATCACAACGAAATTGACAAATCCGCATTATCCGCCTGAAATATCGACGAAGACCACGCTCGTGAATTTCGCTGTGAAAGAACAAGGTTTGGAGGCGCAGCTTTTGGGAATTGTAGTTAGAAAAGAGAAACCTCAGTTGGAAGAGCAGAAAGACAAACTTGTGATGGCCATAGCTAAAGGAAAAAGACAACTTATAGATCTCGAGAATGAGCTTCTGAGGCTTTTGAACGAGACTCGCGGGTCACTTTTAGAAGACGCGGAATTATTCAGTACGTTGCAAACGTCAAAAGCCACTTCTATAGCGGTCCAGGAGAGTTTGGAAACTGCGGAAACTACTGAAGTACAAATAGATGCTGCCAGAGAGGTACGACTACGAAAATCTAGTACGTATCCAGTTGTGTTTTGATTCCAGGGTTATCGAGCATGTGCTGAACGAGCCTCTATTTTATTCTTCGTTTTGAACGACATGGGAAGAATTGACCCGATGTACCAATTCGCGCTGGATTCGTACATATTTTTGTTTGAAAAATCGATAGCTAATAGTACTAAAAAGGACACTTTAGTAGACCGCATTTTGGACTTGAATGAATATCACACATATGCCGTTTACAGGTAACGCAAGTGAGATAGTTTGAAACTGACTTACCAATATTCTACTTTACAGAAACACCAGCAGGACTCTTTTTGAACATCACAAACTTTTGTTTTCGTTCCACATGTGCATGAAAATTTTAGACAACGCCGGCAAAGTGGTAAAAAGCGAATACAACTTCTTATTACGAGGAGGGGTTGTTCTGGATAAAGAAAACCAAATGGATAATCCTTGTGCAGCTTGGTTGGGCGAAGAAGCGTGGGATAACATCACCGAACTGGATAAGCTTGCAGGATTCCACGGGGTTATGGACACGTTTGAGCAATACCCGAAAGACTGGTTGGCTTGGTACACTCACACCGAACCAGAAACTTTACCCCTGATAGGTAGATATCGTAAAAATGGTCAATGTCCAGATGAATATCAAAATTTTAGCCGAATGGAACGACATTTGCAACAGTTTTCAAAAAATGCTCTTCGTTCGTTCCTTACGGCGGGACAGAATGTCGTTCTGTATCTCGAACTTCATCGTGAACCAGCTAGGAAGCAAATTTGTCGAACCCCCGGTTTTGGATATTAGATCAGTCCTGGAAGAATCCGTCGCGCAAACTCCTTTAATTTTCGTTCTTTCGCCAGGTGTGGACCCTGCACCTGCCCTTATGCAGTTGGCTGAAAGCGCGGAAATGGCAGACAACTTTCATTCTTTGAGTTTAGGGCAAGGGCAATCACCAGTAGCTACAAGGTGATGAAATGTACCTAGTGGACTGTACCAATGTGTAAAAATTACAGGCTGATCCAGCGTGGTGCCAGAGAGGGACAATGGGTGTTTTTGGCCAACTGTCACCTTTCGCTGAGCTGGATGCCGCAGCTAGATAAAATCGTGGAAACTCTACAAACGGGAAAGATTCACCCGAAATTTAGACTGTGGCTAAGTTCTAGCCCCAATCCTGAATTTCCTATATCTATTTTACAGGCGGGGATCAAAATGACGACGGAACCTCCAAAGGTGCTTTGTGTTACATTTAATAAGTGTAATTTTTACTAAAACCTCTCAGGGTTTAAAAGCCAATCTGCAGCGACTATATCAACTGATAACCGACGAGCAGTTCAGTATGTGTCAAAGCCAAGAAAAATACAAGAAGTTGTTGTTCAATTTGTGTTTCTTCCACGCCATTCTTCTAGAACGGAAAAAATTCCAGCAATTGGGTTGGAACGTAGTTTACAGTTTCAATGATTCAGATTTTGAGGTTTCGGAAAACTTGTTGACTATTTATTTGGACGAGTACGAATCCACACCATGGGATGCTTTAAAATACTTGATCGCTGGAGTTAATTACGGAGGTCACGTAACTGACGACTGGGATAGAAGACTTCTGCTTACTTACATAAACCAGTATTTTTGTGACGACGCTTTGACGCAGCCGTACTACCGGTAACACAATTCAATAACCACCTTTTTACTAAACTAATAATAACGTAGTTTATCTTCTTTACCAACATATTACGTACCTCGAGATGGGTCACTTCAATCTTACCAAGACTACGTGCGTTTGTTACCAAACGTGGACAGACCCGAGGCTTTCGGTCAACACCCGAACGCCGACATCACTTCACTCATCACAGAAAGTAGAATGTTCTGCGAAACTCTCATGTCTTTAGAAATCCAAAGTTCAGCCGCGCAGTCCGAATCAAAGGAAGAAAAAGTTGCCGCATTGGCAGCCGAAGTGATGGCTAAGATTCCTAGTCCAATTGATTACGAAAACACCGAGAAACTAATAGGACACGATAAGAAACCGCTCGATGTAGTACTCCTCCAAGAAATTTGGAGATACAACAATTTATTACAAACTATCCTCACGTCACTGGATGAGTTAGAAAAGGGTATTAAAGGTCTGGTCGTGATGTCTTCCGAGCTGGAAGAAATCTTCACTTGCATTTTTGAAGGAAGAGTGCCTTCAAACTGGCTTACAGGTACAACTAGGTACTACGTTTTTCCCGCGAGATTGTATTTTAATTTTTAGTGTACGCTTCATTAAAACTCCTGGGTTCATGGACGAGGGATTTAATCGCCAGAGTAGAACATTTCACAGTATGGGCAGAAACAACTCACCCTCCGATTTTATTCTGGCTCTCAGCTTATACCTTCCCCACTGGTTTTCTGACCGCCGTATTGCAGACGGCCGCCAGAGCCACCGAAGTCCCGATAGACACTCTTAGTTGGGACTTTACCGTGATGACCGTCGACGAACACCAACTGATCGAGGCTCCGGAAAACGGCGTCTACGTCAAGGGGACGTTTCTAGAGGGCGCAGGCTGGGATAAGAAGAACGCGTGTTTGATAGAGCCGCAGCCCATGCAACTGGTGTGCCCGATGCCCATCATCCACTTCAAACCCTTGGAAGTACTGAAAAAGAGAACTAGAGGTTAACTGCGACTGTTTGTTGTCGTGTTCACTTTAAATTGTGTTTGTGTAGGTCTGTACTCTTGTCCTTGCTACTATTTCCCGATCAGGACAGGGGCTCCAAACAGGCCTGCTTACGTTGTCGCCGTTGATTTGAAGAGCGGGGCACAAACTTCGGATTTTTGGATCAAGCGAGGGACGGCTTTGCTTCTTAGCTTGTCAAATTGAGTTGTGGTGGTTTGTTTCTACAATAAAAGTGTTACTGAAAAAATGGGGTGTGGCGTTTTTTAATGTTAACTGTCAAAATAAAAACCAGCCTGCTATGCTTTTTTTTCATGGAACTGTTGTGTATAAAAATCGTGTTCGAATTAACAATCTTTTTAATACCCAAAAGACTAAAAGAAAACAATTCTATTTTACATTTTTACATCATCTAGGTTATGGAGGTCCTCTAAAATGGCTCCCTCTGTTTCTGCCACCTTCGTTAAACAGTCTTTTAACATTTCAAAAATTTCATTACGAATGTTCTAAAAACAGAAAATGTGTTTGCATTCAGGAAAAAATATAACAAACTTACATTCATGTCTTGCAAATTGCCGACTATAATGTCGTGCAAATTCCTAAAAAATTCTAACGCTCTTTGTTTTTTTGTCTCCAAATCGTTTGATTTCTTGTTGTGTCTGTAAGTTAAAGTTTAACATTATTCTCACTATAACTACATACCACATACATTTCAGTCAGCTCTGTCAATTCCTGCTTATTCTTCTCCAGAGATGTTTCAGTCTCCTTCAAACTTGCGATTTTTCGTAAAAAGTTCTTTCGACTGTCTTCTCTGTGTTTACTCAACTAAGAAACGCGACTTTAGAAAATATTTATATACATAATAGAATCGAATTACCATTTCCATTTCTTTATCAAGCATTTCAATTTTTTTTGCGACCGCGGTACTAGTTTCACCCAAATTTTCGATGGTTTCTTGTAAAGTTTCTTTTTGTTGCTTGATTTGTGTAGCTTGAGTATTCATACTGGAAAGAGAAGAACTGATTTTACAGATTTCTGAAGCAAACGTATTTTTGAATGTGTCATAATTCTTTGAGAGTTCTTCCACATCCTAAAAGCTGTTCTTGGAATAAATAGACACAACGACGAAACAACTCACGCTTTGAAATTCGTTAGACCAAAAATCTTTTTCTTTCAAGTAGAGTTGTTTAAGTACGGGCTCAATTGACGCTAATTTCATTACACGATTGTTAAAATGGTAGATTTGAGTTAGCAACTAAAACCAACTGTATTTTATAATAAATAAAACAAACGTACAATAAAGTACCTCCTTCTTCGCCTCAGCCAATTTAATGTTTGATTCATCTTTTAAAGTTTTTTTCACCCTAATGGATTCTTTCTTTAGACTTATTGTATGTTGCAGTTCATCTATATGTTGAACAATTCTTTTTTTGTCTGCAGTTGTGTACAGTTGTTTGTTAACTACTGCCGTAAGTTGCGCCACTTTTTCTCTTTTCGTTAGAAATATTGCTTCTAAAATTGTTTCAATTTTAACAAGTTCTTAATTTATAGTAGAAAAATTACGCAGTCTTTCGCGTCGGTCCTTCAGTGCCTCAATGGCGTACTTCGTATCATCTTCTTTTTCCTTTTTATTTTCGTAGTAAGTGTCGATTTCATCTTGCATTTTGTTTATTTTTCGTTGAAGATTCTGTAAAAATCATTGTCAAAAAACAACTATAAAAGCTCGTTACATACTTCATTCTTGGCTTGTTTATTTTCTAATTTCGTTAACTTTTTTTGCTCGTTTTTTCTGAGTTCGGAGACCCTTAATTTTAGGTCATTTATTTCATATTGGTCTAGTTTTAAGATTCTTGCTGAAAACGAGATTGTAGTACTAGTGACGAACTATGTCTCTAGCATACCAAATTTTTCCCCAAACTCTCGATCTATCTCTTCTCGGTTACCCGTGCCGTTGTACGATAAGTACCTCATAGTAAGAAAATCTGTGATACACTAAAATTGTATTTATTTTAATCAAGGCATTGTCGATGTAATTGTCAACTTGAAATGATACCTCAATTTTCTTACGCTTGAGATCATCGTCTTCAGATGGTTGTACAGGCACTGAATTTATTGTACTTACAAGATCAACTAACCAAGAAAACATAGAAATTACATCGTGCCAAGCATGTTTCGTGTTAACTACAATTAAAAATCAGTTAAACGTATCACGACAGGTGAAAATTACCTGTCTGTAGTAAGGAATTTTTTATATTTCCTGGATAATGAAGCATTTTAAGGGTGTTCACAACGACAGTCTTGTAATTGACATTCTGCACATTTATAGCAGGATTAATTTCTTTAAAGAGAATATTAATAACAAACACAAACGTTTCTATTGTAATTGGGGGTTTTAGTATCTGTTTAATGGAATCAGGGCAGTTGTGACGATTTTGTAGGAAATTAAGAACCTGAAATTATTTACACTATTTTCGTGATTGTATTTTGTCTAAAAAAGTCACTTTACTTTTGCCAGCTGCTCATTCATCCAGTCCTTATGTTGCTCTGATCCTGTCTTATATGGTGACCTGTTTCGAGACATATATAAACATGAAGATGGTGTTACGTTCTACAATACACAAGAATGAAGAAATGCGCAAATGAAAATATTTTAAGATATATACCGACGTAAATAAGGCAGAACTCTAAAATGAAAAAATATATAATATAACATTTCAACAAAACTAAAGTAAAGATATACCAAAGGTGTCCACAGACTTGTCTTCTTGATAGCGCCCCCTTTAGTAGACTAAAAAAATCGTTTCAATTTTTACTTTTGACAACATCACAAACCTTACTAGAATTGGTGTTGCATGTTTGCTTGCACTAGATTTTTTGCTGCTACTCGCCATAGTCATCTAAAATAAATAAATAAAAAAAAAAACATTTCAACTAAACTAAAAACTAAAGTTGTACCAAAGGTGTCCGCAGACTGGTTTTCTTGATAGCTTCCCCTTGACTAGACTAAAAAAATCGTTTGAGTTTTTACTTTTGAAAACATTACAAACCTTACTAGAATCGGTGTTTCATATTTGTCTGTACTAAATTTTTTGCTGCTACTCGCCGTAGACGTCTAAAATGAATTAAAAACATTACCTATTGGAAAAATATTAAAGTTTAATAGTACCAGCACTGGAGTTGCTGCCACAGATGATTTCGCCTCCCTCAAACTAAAAAATAAATTTCGTAGAATACTTCAAAATTGGCTGTAATTCTCAACTCAGTTATATCTTATAGTCCAGTCATTTTAGCATAAAAAAGGGGTCAACCTCAGAATGAGAGATAATAAGCTGAATTTTTGTATATGTTACAGCTAATATCCGAAATACGTTATTATGCATAATAACTAGATATTTTAGGAATTATGCGTAATAACTAAACTTGTCAGTTATTATGCATAATAACCGGAAATATTAGGAATTATGCGTAATAACTGAATTTTTCAGTTATTATGCACAATAACGGAAACGTTTAGATAATATTGATAATAACTAACAGAGGAACAGGAATTATGCATAACACCTGAAACATTAGTCATTAAGCATATTGCCTATTAGGTCAGGGCCGATAATTTTTGAGAACAAAAAAATTTAGAACAGGATGATACCCATTGGAAAAGGAAGAAAATATAACAAAAATAAAGGGAAAAATAATTTACGGGCGATCTGAGGTCCGGAAGGGGAAGAGGGTGAGCTTTTAAGGGTAGAAAACGGTTTATCACGATTTCCGGCAAAACTACAAGTCATATCGCAAAAAGTTAAATAGCAAAGTTGTAGGTAATAAAAAGATCTACAACTTTTGTATTTACATTTTCTTTACATAACCTCCAAATTTATGCGAAAAATGCAATTAACCGAGTTTTTGGTTTTTTATTTTTATCTCCCAAAAAAAAAAAATTTAACGAAATTTAGTGAAAACTTACCTATTTATGTTCCAAACTCACTGTAATTTTTTTTATTCAAAAGATTTATTTTTCCCCCTTATTTTGAATTAATATCGAAAAACCACCCTAATTTTCAATCGAAAATTCTCACATCAAAATGTTTGCTTTTTAAAAAAAATCGGTGTTCTTTTTGTTCATTGAAATCTCTACTTTCCAATGGTGTAAAAAAAAGTATACATTACTATGGCAAATTTTCACAGGAAATCCAAAAAAACGAAAAATTCGAATTCGAAATTTTTTTTAATCATGTAAAATTTTGAGCTATTTATTAAAATTTACACTTTAATTACTCGAAAAAAGTAAGATTCCATGTTACACTGATAAACTCAAAAATTTAAAATCCATGAAACAAACGCCTTCTGTTGGTGGGAGATTGGTCAATATGAAAGATGATTCTAATTTTTTTTTCACTTTTTACCATTTTCAAAGACTTCGGCACTGGCCTGTAACATATCCAACTGATTTCAAAAAAACGGGACAAGATGAACAATTCAGGTTCTCATAGATCAATGAAAACCAATGGGAATGTGACGTTTGTATAACTGTAATTTGTCCTTTTTTTTTAGATCAACTGTACATGTGATATATAGGGGAAAGCGAGGCAGGGTGGGTAGCTTTTTGGAAAATATTATGCATAATTCCTGTTCCTCTGTTAGTTATTATCGATATTACCTAAACGTTTCCGTTATTATGCATAATAACTCAAAATTTCAGTTATTACGCATAATTCCTAATGTTTCCGGTTATTATGCATAATAACTGATAAGTTTAGTTATTACGCATAATTCCTAAAATGTCTAGTTATTATGCATAATAACGGATTTCGGATATTAGCTGTAACATATACACCTCAATTTTGGCGTTCTAAAAGTTGTCTCAAAAGTCTCATAAAATCTCGTGTCTGCGTCATAAGTTATTCAAGGTCAAAGGTCAAGAAAAACAGTTTTTTGCGATTATCTCAGTTTCTATTGCTCCAATGATGTTAACATTTATTATCATAATTGTAGAGCACAAAATTTGGGACAAATTTTATTTGAAATATTTTTTCATGCGCTCAATCGTTTTTGATGTTGTTTAATGAAATTTTTAGTCTATATCTCAATTTATTTATATCTTTAAAATGTGTAAGTTTTTAAATACTTATTTTTCTATCATGATTATAACTGGAAGGTCTGGAAACAACGATTCAAGGCACCGAAGATGATGACGATGAAACAGAAATTCCCGAACGTCCAGAAGATGACGGTGAAGAAGAAGAAAATTAATACTTTTGTTCTTTAAATTATTAAAGATTTATAGATTTTCACTGCAATTCAATTTCAATCGTAAGAAATAAAGAATAAAGATAAAATTAAAATATATTAACTCGTTTTACTTCCTTAAGATTTACTTTGAAAAAATTAATATAACTTTAAGATATCTAATAATACACACCTCAAAAAAATTGGTCTAAAGAGTTTAGACAGTACTTCCCTCGCTGTCGGAAACTTGACGACTGCATGCCTATTGTGTTTTTTTCTCATTACATTTTTGTAGTTGGAATTTAAAAAAAATTGCGATGACGTCATCAACATTTTTGCAAGGACACGTATATCAGTTGGGATAGATGTAGTGTAATACTAAGAATAAAATTATTGTATTCCCAAATTTTCGGGAAAATGAATTGGGTCGTTTTGAATATTGATTTTTTATAATCAATAAAATAACGAAACAATTTACTCACGTATACGGCAACTGAAAATCGTTTATGTATAAACATTCTTAATTTAAGATGACAAGCGTAACAGCATACGTGAGAGTCAAACAGAGAAACTGTAAACAAAACGACCATCGGTTTTATTGCTTCGACTTCCGCTTATTATATAAAACATTGGGTTTTATTTTAATTCTTGACGGTGAAATTCACAATTGGTTGATTATAAACATGTCTATTTCACATTCGCGGAAACAAGTGAGTGCATAAAACAAATGCAGGTCTGTAATGTTAAAGTCGATGTAAATAAGCGTGCTACCCTTATGTTTCAACCGAGTTTTTCCTTTAACAAATTTTGTGTCTACCAAATTGGGTTGGTTGGGGTGTAATACTAATAATAAGTGTTGCCTTTAATTTAATCAATAAAATAAATTGACTTCATTAATTTTTTTGAACCACCTCTTAAGAAAATCTAAAAAATATGAATGGAATGATAAATCACAAGTACAAACTCATCATATTTTTTGCATTTTAGATAGGATTTATTCAGCAAAATTTAAGGGTGACGTCATCAATTTTTTTAGGAGGGATGAACAAATACATTTTGAACAAAAGTTTACCATGCTTATAATAACTTTAAAATATTCCCAAGATTTCAAAGCATTCGGTTTTGTAATTCCTGATTAAATCGATAAAATAAATTCACGCCTTCATTAATTTTTTTGAGTCACCCTGCATATGCAAATCCAAAAATATGAATGGAATGATAAATCACAAGTACAGACTCATCATATTTTGTACATTTTAGATACGATTTATTCGGCAAACTTTTGAGCTGACGTCATCAGTTTTTTGTAGAAGATAACCAAATATATTTTGACTAAAATTTTATTATGCTCTTTATAACCTTAAAACATCTGCAAGATTTCAAAGCATTCGGTTTTGTAGTTCCTGATTAAATCAATAAAATAAATTTACGCATTCATTAATTTTTTTGAGTCACCCTGTATATGCAAATCGAAAAAATTTGAATGGAATGATAAATCACAAGAAGAGACTCACCATATTTTGTACATTTTAGATAGGATTTATTCAGCAAAATTTTGTGGTGACGTCATAAATTTTTTAGGGGGGACGACCAAATACATTTTGATCAAAAATTACCCATGCTTATGATAATTTTAAAATATCTTCAAGATTTCGAAGCATTCGGTTTTGTAGTTCCTGAGTAAATCAGTAAAATAAATTTACGCTTGCATTTATTTTCTTGAATCACCCTGTACATGCAAATCCAAAAAATATGAATGGAGTGATAGATCACAAGTACAGACTGATCATATTTTGTACATTTTAGATATGATTTATTCGGCAAATTTTCGAGCTGACGTCATCAAGTTTTTGGAGGGGATAAGCAAATATATTTTGACTAAACATTTATTATGCTCTTTATAACCTTAAAACATCTGCAAGATGTCAGAGCATTCCATTTTGTAGTTCCTGATTAAATCAATAAAATATATTTACGCATTCATTAATTTTTTTGAGTCACTCTGTATATGCAAATCCAAAAAATATGAATGGAGTGATAAATGACAAGTACAGACTCATCATATTTTGTAAATTTTAGATATGATTTATTCGGCAAACTTTCGAGCTGACGTCATCAAGTTTTTGGAGGGGATAAGCAAATATATTTTGACTAAACATTTATTATGCTCTTTATGACCTTAAAACATCTGCAAGATTTCAGAGCATTCGGTTTTGTAGTTCCTGATTAAATCAATAAAATATATTTACGCATTCATTAATTTTTTTGAGTCACCTTGTATATGCAAATCCAAAAAATATGAATGGAGTGATAGATCACAAGTACAGACTCATCATATTTTGTACATTTTAGATATGATTTATTCCACAAATTTTTGAGCTGACGTCATCAAGTTTTTGGAGGGGATAAGCAAATATTTTTTGACTCAAGATTTATGATGCTCTTTATAGCCTTAAAACATCTGCAACATTTCAAAGCATTCTGATTAGCAGATTAAAAATTAAATTTCAAAATGTTGTTTTATAATTTTGATTTTTTTTCCAAAAATCTGGACGTTTCGGGTGAAAAGTCGATTCAGAGTTGTAAACTACATGTGTAGGACTATGTTATTTTATACAATTGAAAACCCATTTACTATGTAGAATTTTGAAGTGACGTCATCGCATTAGTGGTGGAGATGATTAGACAAATTTTGGTTAGCGTTTTACCATCTACATGATATTCTTAATATAAGTACAAAATTTCACAACAATCGGTCGAGTACTTTCGGAGATTATCTGTCTAATAAAAATCCGGGACGGCAGACGGACAGACGAACGGACAGACGGACGGACAGACGGACGGACAGACGGACAGACGGACAGACGGACAGACGGACAGACAGACGGAAATGGGAGACCTGTTTCTTCGTCTTCTAGGGGTCATGAAAGATCGAGAAAACGTAAAAGTAGAGAGTCGGCCGACGGACTCGATTACAATACTTCCTTTACTTACGCTCGGGAAGTAAAAATTAACGCAACACGTTGATTTTGCGAATTTACTATAAGAGATGTTCCCGTAGGCGACTTTAGCGTTTATAGTGAAGTGAAGTAAAATAAAGACAAAACGAGCAAAAACAAAATTTACTACCAGAAGTTGGTCTTTTATCTTAGCCATTAAATGTTAATAACAACTCAACACAAACAAAAGTCAAATTAATAGGAAGTATTTCCATCTCTAGCTCTAATAACATCCTGTATTAGTCGAGGCATACTTTCGATTAAACCCCAAATGTACTCTTACGGAAGATATTCCCATTCTTGCACGATGGCATTCTACATGGCATTAAGATCTCCAAGAACCTATCTGCGCTCCTTTATCCTCAGTTTCACATAGTCCCATACATGTTCAATGGGATTCATGTCGGGAGTCCGGGCTGGCCATGATAAAAGCGGAATTTCAACCTCTTCTAAATATCGTTGCACAATGTGGGCTGTATGAGGCCGCGCATTATCGTGCATATATGTAAAATTTAGCCCTATGTAGGCTCCATAGGGCATAACATGAGGTTCCAAAACATAGGGAGTATACCGTGTAGCTGTTAAACGAGCTCCCGGTAGCGCCACCAATTCAATATGTCCGCTGTAGAAAATGCCACCCCAAAACATTATAGAGGTTCCTCCAAAATTCACTTGTGGAAGAATATTGATAGGCAAATATCGCTTGCCAGGTCGTCTGACATCGCCATACGGCAATCTGAGGAATACAGGCAAAAATGAGATTCGTCTGCAAACAGCATATTGCTCCAATCCTCGACATTCCAATACTGATGATTTAGCGCAAAGTTTAAACGCGCTACCTTGTGTGCCCTGGTGAGCAAGGGTGCTTTGGCAGGTACTTTTGGACGCATACCAACTTCTCGCAAACGATTTCGTACCGTTTGAGTACTCAGCACCACATCGCGGGCAGCTAAAATCTCTTTTTGGAGCATTTTTGCTGTGCAGTGTCGCGACCTGAGTACTGTTAAGCGCAAAAATCGGTCGTCTCGTTGTGATATTTTCCGTTTACGACCTTGTCCTAGTCTTATATTCATGCTTCCAGTAGTATGGTACTTTTACATTAGTTTAGAAATAGTCGAACGATCAACGCCCAGCAGATTGGCCAGATGGCGTTGGGTCTGGCCATCTTCAACCAAAACTACAGCCCGGATGGCCGCTTCTTCGATAAGTTACGCGTAATACGACTAGGAACATTCATTATAAGCGAAAATTAAGTTTTCACCTCAAACATTTCACAAACATGTGATTTAGTATTGGATATAAAGGTACCAGGGGCGGCTGGTCAGGGGCGGCAGGGTCGGCCACGCCGTACCAGTCATTTTAAAATACTTAGTAAGCGTTGAAATTAGAAAATAAAAAAAGAAATAAAGTTTGAATGTACGTTAGGATAGATCATATATATTAAAAATATATTTTATTATATTGTAGGTACAAAATAAAGCATTTGTTGCTAATTTTAAATGCTGATAAACACGGTTTGCCGGCGAGATTTCGGCACGCCGTATCCAGGAATGCATTATGCTCGATGTTTCGACTTCGTAGCAGCTTACGATTTCATCGTTCTCTTTGTCTAGTACACTGTAGTAGACAAAGACCTGGCGGAACGTATGTTGTGCCAGGTCCGGCGAAATCCTCCTTCGCCGTACCCAGCAACGCGAATTTAGTTTTTAAAACGCTTAATATTTAAGATAGCTAACCAAATTACAAAACAATAACGGCTTCGATGTTCTTCAGTGCATACTATTTTTTTTTTAATAATAATTGTCGATTTAATACATTTTCCTGTGTATGAATAATAAACGAAAAAAATTACATTAAATTATCTAAAATTTTATTTTTCGTACATAACTTAGCTACAACATAAATGCGCTTTTTCTGTATTTTTAGCATCTAAGCGTTTTCAGATATTTCAGAAACGAATTTAAAGCTTTAAATCATTTTAATTTTTCAATTATTTAATTAATTTATTTGACAATTTGTCATATACCTACATTAAAAAAAAATAAATGTAAATGAAGATAGTTAAGAGTTGGTACTTTTATTATTACTTTTTTTTATATTTTTTAACTGCATGTCATTATTTAATTATTATTATTATTTAATTGTGGAGGTCCGGGGTCGGCAAGCCGTATAGCCGCCGGTCGACGCGGAACTCAGTAAAAATAATGTTTTCGGTGGTTCTCAATTAATGATAAAGCAGAACAAGTAGAATTAAGGATTAATAGTATTTGGAATCAAACTGACATTGTCAATTTCCTATAAAAAATTATTTTAACAGGTCGAAACATTTGAGATGTTTTGTACATCCTGGCACGTAAAATGTCAGTGGTTAATGAGTAGCAGCCATACATTACGAAAATATATAACACCAAGGTGTAGACTCAAAATATTTGGCCGACCCGAAATTTTGACCCACCAGCCGCCACTGAAAGGTACCATGATAAGATACTTTCTTTTTTTTAATAGATCCACCAGTTACAAATGATAAGGAACATTTTTTTTGCGTAGATGAAACAAAATTCGTTCTAACTAATCATAAGGCATGTTTTTTAGGATCTTTTTTTAATTTTTTCAGTTGTTATTAACAAATTTGAAATGTTGCGTTAATTTTTTTGAGGTGTGTATAACAAGTATAATATATTATGTAATATCTAAAAACTTACACATTTGAAAGATAAAGTACTTAATTATTTTTCTACTTACAATCTACTTTCAATAAATTAAGATATAGGTACAATAAATATTTCATTTAAAGAGTTTTTAATTTTTTTAATTACACAAAGTAGGTATACTATCCTCAAACATATTTGGCGTTTATGACTTCACACCAATTTGACTCCCATTATAATTCAATAGGCCGTCACAACCGGATGTCTTAAACCCGCTCACCGATACCTACCTGAAAAGACCTTTTCTGGTAAAAGCACAGGGCAGGACTGAGTTTTGCATTTACCGACAACTGCGCCTTTCGAGTTTTTTATTTTAAGTAAAAACAAAGTAACTTTGTACTCAATCATTTTTTATTACAGCACAACTATTTACTTATTAACTACTACTGCTTATTTATTGATCGAAATAGTCACTGTCATCATCACTCGACTCTTCTAAATTAATAATTAACGGTGTTATCAACCGTGCCCTGTACTGGTCTTCTTCTTTTGTGGAATGTCGTACACAATTGGCCCACATTTCGGCAGTTATTTTGGAAGCTTCTTCCCTAATTATGTCAATTGTTGCACTACTAAATTTTGGTGCCGTATTATTCCTTCTTATATTATTTTTCATTTGCGACCAGAGTAGTTCGATGGGGTTAAATATACAATGGTACGGCGGAAGTCTAATCACCCTAGATCCACGATCTCGCGCCATAGCATCTATTTTATATTGTTTCTCAAATTTTCGAGTGTGTAACACTTCTAATAATTGTGTCTTTGTGTAATTTTCTTCAAAGTATAAATCATGTTCTGTAAGGAAATTTTGAAATTTGAAAATTTTAACAAACAAAATAACTCTGAGTCCGGTCCTTCGCGTCTCGACCGTCCCTGGCACGTCGAAAAGGTCTTTTCAGGTAGGTATCGGTGAGCGGGTTTAAGACATCCGGTTGTGACGGCCTATTGAATTATAATGGGAGTCAAATTGGTGTGAAGTCATAAACGCCAAATATGTTTGAGGATAGTATAAGTATCATTAAATGAATGTATTGAAAATATGTAAATGTTATTAAATGCAATCTATTAACTAATAAATAATCCAAAATTTTCAAAATTCAAGGTAATATTCACAGATATTCACGGTTGATTGCATTACAGTACGTATGGATGAGCGCTGCGCGCCCACTGCCCTCTATCTCAAAAACGATTGAGTGTATCAAAAAATGTTTCAAATAAAATTTGTCCCAAATTTTGTGCTCTACAATTATGATACTAGATGTTAACATTATTGGAGCAATAGAAACCGAGATAATCGCAAAAAACTGTTTTTCTTGACCTTTGACCTTGAATAACTTACGAAGCAGACACGAGATTTTATGAGCCTTTTGAGACAACTTTTAGAACGCTAAAATGAAGGTATATACGAAAACTCAGCTTATTATCTTTCATTCCGAGGTTGATCGCTAATTTGACTGGACTATTACCGAAATTTCGAAGTTAATCGCAGCAAATTGTAAAATTTGCTACTTCATAAAAAAATTTCACTCTATACGAAATAAGTTTTTTTATAAATATATTCAAACTCTACCTTACCTAACTACAGACTTTGATCTTCGTCTCGCGCCAGTCTTTGGCACTGGTAGATGTGAACTGCTGCTGGTTTTTCGAATCATTTTCTCAAAAACGAACACGTTTTTACAATGATTGTTTTAAAATTACTTTGTGGTCAAATGTCACTTACACCACCATTGTCAACCAATAGAAACTTGCTGATTTGCGTCGGCGCACTATGACTGATTGTCATTAATGGTTCGATGTATACAGGATGTTTTTGAAATAGACTACCCAAAAAAGCAGGTAATTGGTGATGATAAATAGAACAAATTGACAAAAAATACTTCATATAAAAGTTTTTTCGTTTTCGAGATAAAATTAATGGAATATTCGGTTAAAATTTCCAGTACGCCACTGTATTAAAGGTAATTCAAAATGCAATGTAAATTGTTTGTAAATTCACAGTTCATGTTAGGATTTTAATCGTTAACTGGTGTTAACACAATTTAACAGACATTTACTAGGAGATTTCACAAAATTCACTTAGTCAGGATAACACTCTTTGTTTACAAAGTTATGAATGAGGTTTCTGGATGCATGCACTTCCCTTAGGCAGTTATCATCGTCAGTGGCGTAACTACCGGTGTTCCACGTGTTCGGCGGAACACGGGCCCGCTGCTTCAAGGGGCCCGGTCCGGTCACACGAACATTTTTTTATTAGATTTTTTTTATATTATTGCTCAAATTACATCCTGAAATAAAAAATTCGAAAATGTGCTGTAATCCCAGGATCGATGGTTGATTGCTATTTACGAATTTTTTGCTGCAAAGGGCGGCATCTCAATATCATAGACTCAATAAACTCGGGTTTTAGCCACCGGCACCGGCGGTCGAAAATGCACCAGCATCTGTTTGTAATAAACCTGTCGCAGTGTCACAATCCCATTGTAGCAAATCTAACACCCCATGTAGTAAATTACCAATCTTTATCCGACAAAAGTATGACTAGGTAATTTATAATGCAAGACAACAAAATACTTAAATTTTGTCCTCAGTTCTACAGTGAAACTTCATCCTGTAATAAAACGTGAAAAAAAAATCAGTTTCAGTTGTGTTTTATGAAAATTTTCGTATTTTCAAAACTATTTTAATTTTGTATTTGTGGTGCTTTTTTGGAATAATAAAATATATCTGACGTATGTTACAACTAATTTTTTAAGTAGAAAAAAACTGGACTGGGAAATTATTACAGAATTACCTACCTGTACTAGTGTCACTGAAATTATCACAGCATGTTTCACTTTTCTTACAATACCTCTTTCGGTGGTTTCAGCGGAAAGATCTTTTTCGAAATTAAAAATGACTAAGAATTTTTTAAGAAACAATTAGCCAATGCAGATTATCTTCATTGAATCTCTCAAATGGAAATCAAATTGCTAGAAGCTTGGATGTGTCAAATTTTGTATCAACTTGTGCCCATTGAAAAGCAAGAAGAAAACAATTTTGAGATTAAAAAAAAATTGGCATTTTATTTATACTTCTACACTTACTTATATTATAAAGTTGAAGAGTTTGTTTGGTTGAACGCGCCAATCTCAGAAACTACCGGTTTGAATTCAAAAAATCTTTTTGTGTTGGAAAGTTCGTTTATCGAGGAAGGTTATACGCTATATAACATCACCCTATGATTAATAGGAGCGGAGCAGCAATGAAAAATATCGGAAAAACGGGAAAATTATTCGTCCTTTGATAGCTTCCGTTGCTTACGCTGCTTATTAAACGGTTAAAGTTACATAAAAATCATGTATGATGGAATTGTTCCCTTCTAAAAGTCTAAAAAAAAGTCCGCGACAGCATACGTCAATCTTTTAAGGTCGACTCAGTATAACCTTTTTTATGGTAATGAATTTTTTTCTAAAATAATCTAATATAAAATTCTGGTGTCACAGTGTTTGTAACCAAACTCCTCCGAAACGCCTTGACCGATTTTTACGAAATTTTTTGTGTATATTCGGTAGGTCTAGTAAACTATTTTTTAAACCCCTAAGTGATAAGGGTGACCCACCAAACTTTTTTTATTTTGTAGACATTTTTTATTTTTATTTTTTTAAGATTTGGCATCAAAAAATACATATAACCCTAAATTTTGACCCTTCCACCACCAACCCCCATTTTTTAATAACGATATGAGTATCTTTGCTTTCATCCACAGATGCGCAATAGGGTTGCAAGATGGCCATTGAATATAATCATTGTCGTACGATAAATTTTTATGTATTTATTCTAATTTAATTTTTTATTTAACTATGTACCAAAATATTCACTAGAAATACCAAAACAACGTTTGGCGGGTCGGCTAGTTTCTAATATTGTATATATTTTAATTATATGTCTTCAGGTAATTATTGTATTTTATTTTTTTAATTCAATGTTTCAGGTAGAATGATTTTAATAAAACGTTAGCGCTAATTGCAATCTACTCATTTTTTACTCATTATACTCGTATTTTTAAATATTTTTATTTCGCTGTTCATTAGGGGCCCCACAGTGTTGTAGAACACAGGCCCGCAGTTTGATTGTTACGCCACTGATCATCGTTATCATCACATCACCGAGGCATTTCCTCGCAACGTTAAAGATTGAGTACATCACCGAGACCTATTCTCTCGCAACGTGGAAAATTACATGACCGACCAGTTCCTCGCAACGTTAAAGATTACATCACCGAGGTATTTCTTCGCAACGTTAAAAATTACATCATCGAGACCATTGTCTCGCAACGCTAAAATTTACATCACCGGGACGCTTATTCCTCGCAACGCTGGATATCTTTGCGTTTATTTATCATGTGTTCTGTTTGGGGTAAACAGTTAACTATATAAATTCTCAAAATAAATTGTTTTAACTAACCAATCACTTGGATCAAGGCAGCATTTAACGCAATATAAATTCTTGATTTGAATCGTTGATAACGTGTTGTAAATATTATTTTATTTATTTTCATGTAAATTTGTTAGCTTTGTAATTTTTCACCTCATACAATATTTTTAACCTCAGTTATTTTCTTGGTTGTATAATTTTAATTGAACGTAAATTTCCTCACCTAATATTTTTATTTGCACAAATTTATTTCACACTAGATCTTTTGTTTTCATAAATCTTTGCTAGTTTTTTCTGTATGTAAATATTTTGTTGATGAATGTTTCTATCATATAAATTGTCTGATCTCCAATTTTTAATCTCAGATAAGAATTATTTGTTGTTTAAAATTCCACAAGATTGTATGGCGAATTTAAATGTTGTTTATTGCTCTTTTTAAACTTTAACACTTGTTCAATTGTCGTTTAACATCACAGTCATAAGAATTGAACATATAAATGAATTGAGGTTAAATAACACAGAAACACGTGGCGGAAACGGAGTGCGCGGTTCCTAGTCGAGCTGGCGAGATTTATCGCGCCATCTGCACAAAAGATGCAGGTTAGAATAGAATTCAGGAATTGCTTGCGATAGATTGAATCACTATCGTGGGGGAGAACAGTCCCGATCGGTAGCCCCAAACTCCGCCCCCTATGAATATTTTTGTTGTACTCTAGAACGAAATTAACATAGTCGATTGCCACACTCTTATAGTGTTCTGATGCCGCTACCGCTGCATAGTTTTTTTATTAAAATTTTGTGCTCTTGTTGACTGCTATAATTTTAAATTTGCCGCCACACGTCTGTAATAACTTGTGTATTTGCATCAAGTTACTTTACTTCAAATTTTGCTTTGTTTTTATTAAATTTGTGATTTTCAAATAGTTGCATTGATTCAGAACGTTTAATTTGATTTCATTTAAATTTCATCCAAAGTTCGATAAGTTTTTTTTTTGGAACTGAAAAGCGATTGCGCACGCATCTTTTTTTTTTTTCTTTTTTTGTTAATGGAGGAATAAATGATTTTGTGTCCTCCATAAATTTTGTGTTTTATTTAGCGGTACTTTTCCAACCTTGGGATCCACCATTTGCATCTGAACGCATCCCGCCATTTTTCAAAAACACAACGTAGGGCTCCATTTTGTCAACACCCAAGGTCAAATTTTGAATTATTGAATTTTTCGCGGGCTTTCAATTTTAAATTTGTTGCTAGGTTTTTATGCTGTGGTGTTCCAAGCAGGTGGTTAGAGGTGATTCTTTTTATCGTTAAAAAAATGAGACTTTCTCAATCCGATTCCTTAAGGATGCCAAAGACCTTCATTAACTTTTGGTAACGTATTTCAAAACATCCTGTATTTATAAAATATAACTATAAAAAATTTTAGAAAATTCGTTGATCAGTTGTTACCACCTGATAAATGGCAAAATTATTTAAAGCATGACCGGAATAAAATGCCAAATGACACCCGTTTTTAATGCAAATTAATAAAACTATTAATTGTTGTAATAATTTAGAACGTAATATTCTAATAGGAAAATGTACGTCTGAAAAAAAACAACTGTTTTTATCTTGTGCTACTGCAAATACCATCTACCTGGCTGTTGATCCTTCGAAAAAAAATTAACCCGCCCCTGTCTAGACGCAACAAAACACCTGTTAATCGTCCCGAACTTTCCCGAAGTATTGATCGGGACAGAAAATGGTGAAAATTTACACGAGGGTTGTCATGTATGTCCTTGAAAAAAGTAATTCTGCAAAAATTATGGATTTACAAAGAAAAACACAATTTTCTCGTGCAGTGAATACGAAAATATCGCTAAAATGAAACTTATTGATAAATCAATCGATAAGGAGAGGCAAGGGTGAGTACATCCCAAAAAACTCAACAATTCTCGTATTTGAGGTTATGTCAAACATATTGCAAAAAATGCTTGAAATGAACCCTTTTTTGTGGTATTTCAGGTATGTGACCCTTGTCCCTGAAGAACCTGAGGACATGTGGCACGCGTACAATCTCATATCGGAAGGAGATGCTGTACGCAGTACCACAGTCCGAAAAGTTCAAACTGAATCTTCAACAGGATCATCCACTTCAAGCCGAGTTCGAACCATGCTGACGATTGCAGTTGAAGCCATAGATTTTGATACTCAAGCATGCATGCTAAGACTCAAGGGGAAGAACATTGAGGAAAACCAATATGTGAAGGTTGGTTTCATTTTCACTCATCCTTTTTTTTTTAATAATGTTTCAAATAGATGGGGGCTTACCACACTCTAGATTTAGAATTGAACCGCAAATTCCGACTAAGCAAACACGAATGGGACTCAGTATCACTCGACAGAGTCGAAATGGCCTGCGATCCCACTAAAAGTGCGGATGTAGCGGCTGTGATCATGCAAGACGGGCTGGCCCAAATTTGCTTAATCACATCTAGCATGACACTTGTGAGAGCAAAAATTGAAGCATCCATACCAAGAAAGAGGAAAAATTTCATCCAACAACATGAGAAAGCTTTAGCAAAGTTCTATGACAATATTATACAAGGAATTTTGAGACATATTGATTTTGATATTGTTAAATGTGTTCTGATAGCGTCACCAGGCTTCGTTCGTGACCAATTTTATGAATACATGTTTCAAATGGCTGTTAAAACAGACAACAAAATTTTGCTCGAGAACAAGTCCAAGTTTATGCTTATTCACTCATCAACTGGGTTCAAGCATTCTTTGAAAGAGATTTTACAAGATCCCGCTGTAGTAAGCAAGATTTCGGATACTAAAGCTGCTAGTGAGGTAAAAGCGCTGGAAAATTTTTATACCACTTTGCAGTGTGAACCGGATAAGGCTTTCTATGGAAAAAAGCATGTGGAAAAAGCGAATGAAGCGCAGGCGATTGAGACTCTTCTGATTTCTGACAATTTATTCAGGTATTGTTAATAACTGTCTGTACAATTTTTATAATTTGGAATTTTAGATGTAAAGATGTGAATCTGCGTAAGGAATACGTGAATCTGGTTGACTCAGTGAAAGAATTCGGTGGTGATGTGAAAATTTTCTCAAGTTTGCATATATCAGGGGAACGTAAGTTTAAATATTTTTGTTGAATAGTGAGTGATTTTGTGTTTTAGAATTAGAACAATTGACGGGCGTAGCAGCAATTCTCCGTTTTCCGATGCCAGAACTTGATGAAGATGATGATGAAAGCGATGGAGATTAAAACAGCCAAAATAAAGTTAACGCCATTTAATTATATCACAAATAAAAAGTTCTACTTTAGATGTTAACGTGTTTTAAATTATTTTGTTATTATGAAATAGGGAATTTGTTGTATATTTTAATTGTTATATGTGAATATGCGTCAGGTTCTAGTAAATGCAGTCTTCATTCGTATGTATTATAAAGTGTATATTTTAAAACAACCATATTCCTATTTATTGTATAACTTAAAACCATAAAATTATTTTATGTACTTTATAAAAAAATTTCGTTGCAACACATCAAGTGGTTTGTTTTTCCACCTTCTTTTTCTTTTTCCGTTCTTCCTTTTGTTTCTCTTCGTGTAGTCGCCGTTTTTTCCTCAGCAGCCAAATTTCCTTTGCTCTTTGTTGGCGTCCAGCCATCATACTCTTGTACAGTTTTCTATGTTTGTTCTTAACTAGTTTCTCTCTGAGTTTGTACTCTTGTCTTTCTTGTTTGCTCTTCTCCCACGGGACTTCTTTGTAAACTTCGCCAGGTGTTACTTTCAGTTTTTTCTTTTTAGTACTTTCACCTTCCTCCTCCTCCTCTTCATCTTCTGTGTCTTCTTCATCCTCATCTACTTTCTCAGAATCTTCCGCTTCTAATTTCTCGTCTTCCTGCTCTTCTTCCTCAGATTCATCATCCGTTTCCTGTTTCTTATGCAACTCTTCCAGTGCTTCCGGATCATACAACGCTTTTTCTTCTGGAGGAATATACTGCTGATCCCTACTTTTATCAATAAATGGTGATAAATGCGGCGGCAAAACCTCCCCCATGAAATATTTATTAACAGGAAGGAGCTGACGGGCATTCACGCTATCAAAAACCCACTGAGGTTGAATATAATATCTTGAAATAAACTGTTTGTCCATAGACGGTCTATCAGCAATTTGATGCGTAACGGATTCGTCATTTTCATCAAACGACGCCCCCACAAAAAGTAACTTATCCCACGAAACTTCGCCCCCAAAGCAACGTATAATAAAAACCAAAGGCTCCCTTGGAACTTCACGATTTATAAAGAACTTCAACCCCTTGAACAAACCTTTCAAATTTTTAATTTTTTCCGCTTCAATTTTAGCTTCTTCGATTTTCTCTGGTGTGTCTTCCGTACTAAAAGTGTCAATTTCAACTTCTTCTTCCTCTTCGCCACTACTCGTTTTTGAAACTGGGAAATTTAAAGCCGCCACGCGTTCCGAGACAAAAACCTCTTCATCAACAATTGATTTCTCGTCATCGTTTTGACTAACAACGGAAAACTTCGGCGGATAAAATAAATTCAAAGAGTGATAAAGTCGAAAATTGATGAATCCTAACATCACTGTGTAAAATTCAACAAAAGTCGACATTAGTTTAAAATCAACTTCAGCTCGACTTTGCGGCTCGAATGAGAAATGATGTGGAACGATCCACGTGATGGTCTCACCTTTAATCTCCGCTTGATAATAGTAGCCTTTGATTGAAACAAAGACTTTGCGTAACGCTTTAGCTTCAATCACTGCGTGTAAAAATTCAATAGTTAGTCTTCGACACAGAGCGCTTTGATCTCGGGGGACGTGCGCAATCGAAGGGAACGTACTGAACAGAAAACAGAGTGTTAAACAGTCGTCCAAGTCGCGTAAAGCGTCCAAAAATGTCGGGTATCGCTCCTTCACTATATGATCCAACTTCAACGTCGGATGATTATTTAGATATTTTTTCAAAGATTCGAAGTCTTTAACAGCGCGAGCTCGGCCTACTTTCTTGTTGAAAATTTTGTAGTCGCGGAGTCTCCAAATGATGGGCTCGTGCATGAGGAATTGGATGTCTTTGACGTGGTAGAGGGTTTTGATTCCGGCTTGGCCTTTTTGCGCCCTTTTTCTGTTACGAGGCTCGCGGGGGTAGATTCCCTTCAGGATACATAGTCTTCGGAAGTCGTTAAGGGAGAGTTGGAGTTTCTTAAGGGCGGCTTTTCTGGTCATGAAGTGGGCGCCTTCGCCTGACGCATACTAAAAATAATCGTTTTTAAGCTGTGATGTGTACAACAATTATTGGGGGTTGATTTACCTTCTTTTTCCTTTTTGCAACCATTTTTCGTAGCTTATTCAATCGCAAAAATAGGAACACGTGAACTTGAGGTTAAATTACCTCGGTTAAAAACGTCAACGTGCTCCACTACCAACTTAACTGAAAAGGACCAATCACAAAACAGCTCAAGAGTGCTAACATTGCTGCCAACCCAAAATCATGTCGATTTTTATGAAAATCAATTAATATTTGGAATTAAATACCCGCATTCCACTAAAATTTTAAAGAAAAATTGCACGTTTTTCAAAAATCAGTGTTTGATGTTTATATATATGTATGTAAAAAACTAATTTTTTAATTTTCGGTATAGGCAACTAATAATACTCCTGTGTCTCAATAGGTTATTCGGTTAACATAATTATTTAAGTGGGATTTATAAACTTGCTGTTGACGTTGAAGTTCCCATTGCAGTTGCTGTTCCCGATGGTTTAAGTTTCTTCTCGAAATAAGTCTACACATATATTAAAAAAAAAAGGCAAAATGTATATATTGTGAAGATCATTGTTTATTCGTCGTGAGCCAAGAAGGCGGAGCTTAACTGCAAAATTCTTATTTATCTACGCGAAAAAACATGTTTTTGAGTGTTGTGTTGTTCAAAAAATACTACGTATGTTAAGAAAAAAATAAAGCCAAAGATTAGGCCTCACTCATACCCACCCCGATCTAAATAGTAATGAAGTTTTCATTCGTTGGCAGACCTGCAAAATCCTTATTTTTTTATAAAAATTTACCATTTCAAACGTGTTTTAAGTTTTTAAGAATAAAACAATCATCACAATTGAGATGGGGTGGGTGGGCGGGGTTTATATTTTGCCCTTTTTTCTTAATATATAAATATTCTTTGAACAAGACGATACTCAAAAACATGTTTTTATTTTCTTGTGAATAAATAAGTATTTTGCAATTAAGCTCCGCCCCCTTGATTTATGGCGAATAAAAAAAATCATCAAAATTGTGGTTTGGCGGGTGGGCGGGCTTACATTTTGCCTTTTTGTTTAAATTTGTGTAGACTTCTTTTCACAACATGAAACTCAAAACTTATTTAAAATGGAAAATTTGTATTTATAAGGAAATTTCGCTCCGCTCCATAATTGCAAAATCCATTCCATTTCCTTACAAAAATGAACCATTTTAACCATGTTCGAAGTTTCTTGTAGTGAAAAGATGGCTATGTATCTTAAGAAAAAAAAATGACAAAACATAAGCCCCACCCACCCGCCCTATCTCAATTGTGATGATTTTTTTTTATTCGTCGTAAACCGAGGGACGAAGCTAAATTGTAAAATCGTTATTTTTCTACGAGAAATTGCCATGGGAAATATGTTCGTAAATAATCGTATTATACAAAGAATACTGAATGTATGTATTACTTAAAAAAGAAAACCAAAAGAGAAGCCCCACCCATCCGTCTCAATTTCAATCGTGATGAATTTTTCATTCGTTATCAGACCGAGGGGCGGAGCGTAATTGCACAATCCATATTCCCCTACGCAAATTTACCATTTTAAACATGTTTTAAGTTTCTTGTTGTGAAAAGATGACTTCACTTATTAAGAAAAACAAGGCTCGCCCACCCGCCCTATCTCAATTGTGATGATTTTTTTATTCGTCGTGAGCCAAGGGGGCGGAGCTTAATTACAAAATCCTTATTTATTTTTATCAGCGTCATCTGTCATAGTTCATCAAAATGCATCATAATCCGTTATCATCCCTCACAGTAAATACACTAAGTATTTCGTCATTATCGTCATCATTATTGGTCATAGTCCGTCATAATAAATAATAATAAGTAATGATATTCCGTTATCATCAGCATTCGTTATAGTGCGTCATCATCAGTCATAATAAATAATAATATTAATAAATAACAATAAATAAATAGGAAATAATCCGTCATCATCATTACCCGTCATAGTTCCCCATCATCCGTCATTTTTATCATTTTCGTCCATCATAATCCATCCCAATCTCAGTTTCTTGTTGTCGAAATAAGTCTACACATATTAAGAAAAAAAAGGCAAAATGTAGCCCCGCCCACCCGCCCTATCTCAATTGTGATGTTTTTTTTTATTCGTCATGATCCAAAAAGGCGGAGCTTAACTGCAAAATCCTTATTTCATTACGAGAAATTAAAAACATGTTTTTGAGTATCGTATCGTTCAAAGAATGCTATGTATGTATAGGTATTAAGAAAAAAAACAAAGCCAAACATTAGGCCCGACCCATATCCTCCTCGACCTCAATTCTCAGTAATGATGAATTTTTCATTCGTTGTCGGATCGAGGGGCGGGGCTTAATACAAGATCCATATTTGGCTACAAAAATTTACCTTTTTAAACATAGTAAAGTTTCTTTGTTATGTATATTAAGAAAAAATGCAAAATATAAGCCCCGCCCTCTCTCAATTGTGCTGGTTTTTTTTATCGTCGACAGCCAAAAGAGCAGAATTTAATGGCAAAATCCTTATTATTTGTCTACAAGAAATTACCATGTGAGACATGTTTTTGAGTATCGTGTTCTTCAAAGAATACTATGTATATTAAGAAAAAATTAGAGCCAAAGATTAGGTCCCACCCATACCTGCCTAAATAGTAATGAAGTTTTCATTCGCTGGCAGACCTAGGAGCGGAGCCTAATGCAAAATCCCCATTTCCTTACCAAAATTTACCATTTTCAACGTGTTTTAAGTTTTTAAGAATAAAAAAAATCATCACAATTGAGATGGGGTGGGTGGGTGGGCGGTGTATATATTTTGCCTTTTTTTCTTAATATACATAATATTCTTTAACAACACGATTCTCAAAAACATGTTATTAATTTCTTGTAAAGAAAGAAGTATTTTGCAGTTAAGTTGAATCCTGTTGATTCAGGGCGAATGAAAAAAATCATCACAATTGAGATAGGGCGGGTGGGAGGGTTTACATTTGGCCTTTTTCTTTTAATATGTGTAGACTTCTTTTCACAACATGAAACTTAGAGCTTATTTGAAAGCAGAAGTACACAGCAATAAAAGAGCGCAGATACCAGTATTTGAAACACCATTCAGTGCGCATGCGCACTACTTTCACAGAATCAGCGGCGTCGAGAACGAACTTCCTTTACTCTTTGGACCTGTTTTGTACGTTCTTATACTAACGCGTGCAACGTGTAGACCCCAATAACAAAACTAATGGTCCGCCACTGAGTCGTCCATACTCTTCGCCCATTTTCGCGCTTCGCGCATTCATCCCTCCCGCTCGATGTACTTCTGGTTTCAAATAAGCTCTAAAACATGTTTAAAATGGAAAATTTGTATAAAGAAATATCAATGAGGCTCCGCCCCATAATTGCAAAATCCATATTTCCTTGCAAAAATGTATCATTTTAACCCTGTTTTATGTTTCTTGTTATGAAAAAATGGCTATGTATATTAAGAAAAAAAGGGAAGCTATAAGCCCCGCCCACCCGCCCTATGAATTCTGATGATTTTTTTATTTGTCGTAAACCAAGGGGCGGAGCTTAATTGTAAAATCCTTATTTTTCTACGAGAAATTGCCATGTGAAATCTGTTCTTAAGTAATCGTGTTATACAAAGAAAACTAAATGTACTACTTAAAAAAGAAAACCAAAAGAGAAGCCCCACCCATATCCATCCCAAGCTCAATTGTAATGAAATTATCATTCGTTGTGAGACCGAAGGGCGGAGCCTAATTGCAAAATGGAAACTTTTCTACAAAAATTTATCATTTTAAACATGTTTAACCTTTCTTGTTGTGAAAAGAAGACTCCACGTATTAAGAAAAAAGGGCAAAATGTAAGCCCTTGTAGTTATATAAAAAAATGATGGCAGCTATGTAAAATATGAGTTTAGGTGATTAAACGGCTTAATATTAGTGGACATCATTATCTCTATCAAAATTTGATTTTCGTGGAATTAGTGTTGTCAACCAGAAAAATATCTACCTTACTTCAGGGGATTTTCCTTCAGCACTGCACACCCAAGCCAATTTGATTGGTTGAAAACCCTACGTCAACGGCAACGTGATCGGATGATATAAACAACGCATACCTATCTTGCAACGGCAACGGCAGCGGCAAGTTTATAAATCGACCTTTACCTTTAAGTTATTGTTTTGTGCTTTTAAGCTTACGCTTAACGTCAGAATTTATCCCAGAAAACTACTGAACTGATTGCTCTGAAATTTGCGCACGTTTTAGGGTTATTATGATTGTGGTAAACCGCTGTGGTAAACCGCAAGTTTTTTTGCATTGGAAAATAGTGGACGCCTTTAATAAAAAAAAAAACACAATCAAACGTAAAAAGACATTTCATTAAAAAGAAGTATCGTAGTCTAACCTAAAAATGACTATTAATTACGTACGAAGTACATATTGGTCCTTATCAATTATATTTACATGAACATATAAACAGAAACTTTGGTCTTCTCCAGCTATCACAAAACATCGAAAACAACAAACTAAACAAATTTTGAATTTTACAACCTTCCTGAGAAACCTAACTATGACCGAAATAATGAACATTTTCCTCACGCAAAATATTCAATATTCTTATGTACAGATTTCTAGCAAATACATCCAAACAAGTGTACAAAATGAAGTAAACCAAAAACTCTTGTATTCCTCAATGTACAGTCTTCGCTTGATTTATACAAAACTTTACATTATTTACAAAATGAGATCAAGATCCGAAAAGTTCTCTCCTTTTCAAACTGCCACAATCTTACTAGGATCAACTTTAACCCTAATAAACATTGTGTCGTCTTTCATGAAGTGCCGCTTCTTCAGCATCTCATGCGACACGAACTTCGGGAACCCAAAACCCAACGAATCCGGTTCCTTGCTCGGCCTCTGGAAATTCTTCCAAGTCGGGTCCGGGATGAAGCTCTCCACGATATTGCACGCCTTCTCGGGACACGAGGACTGGTCGAAGAGGGTGAAGGAGACGGAATGGGCAAACGGCCACCGCAAGAGGGCGTCGTATTCACCCGGAAGAATTTTTATATAGACTGAAATGTGGGAATCTTCTCCGGCGCCGTTTCCGTTGGGGAAAAGCGAAGCCTGATCGAAAATAGATTTAATACCACAATCAAATCTAAAAATGCGTTTTATTACCTGGAGTTTGTATCCGTATTGACTAGTGTAGAAGGGCGGTGACACCAGCTCCATTCCCTCTTTGTTCTTCGCCTCGTTCATCTTGTCCGAGAAGTCGCTGATTTTCCAGATGAGAGTCCCTGAGTAGTTCAGGGACAGTCTGGAAAGCGCGCTTTTCAGGGACGTGATCTGGTGCTGCTGCTTGGTCACGACGGTGCAAACTAACGCGAGGTGCTGCTGACTACTTTCTTCCAAGTGCTTCTCCATTAAATGCCGAGGACCCTGAAAGAGCTTCTTTCTAAATATCTACTAACTAAAGAAAGTGACAATATTTACCTTGAACCTGCAGCCCGCATCCTTGTACGTGCAGTTGAGCACCGAAACCGTGCACTCTTCCTTCAAGTGCGTCTCCAGATCCTCCTTGGCGAGCACGTTGACGTCACAACGATTCGGGCAAGCCACCGGCACCCTCCCACACTTCAAGTGGTGCGCGGAAAGCGTGTCGGCGACGAACTCCTTAGCGCAAAATCTGCACGGAAGCAGGCGTTTGGAGCACTCGCTCACTTTGTGGTGGCTCAAGTGTCGGCGCGGCACCTTGACGCCGCACTTGTTTTCGCAGTATAGGGGTTCGTAGCCGCAGTTGCCCACATGGTTCTGCTGGAAATAAAATTGCAATGAAGGAGATAAGGCGAAGTTGGCGGGCGGAAATTACCTCGAACACGTGGCCGGTGAACTCCTTGTTGCAGAACTGACACCTGGCTCTGCGCTGGGGACACGTGGTTTTTAGGTGCTCTTCCATGATGACTCGGGGTATTTGAGCACCGCACTTTCCTATACAGGGGATGGCGTCGTGTTTGCACGAGTTTAAGTGGGCCTGGAAGAATTTGTTAATTGGGTTTATTAATAGCACGTGGAATATGGGTGCGAAGGCGGAGGTTCGTTGACATTTTTGGGAATGGTAATTGTCAAAGGTGGAAGTTGGGCGGATTTATGGGGTTTTGGCTTGCTTTTGTAATTAGAAAAGTGTAGCTATAATGAATGGATCACAAAAAAATCTAGAAGACTTAAAAGACGATAAATTACTATGTTCGACAATGCTTTCCTACCGTTCCTGTTGGTTAGAAAACTACAGCTACACTTCGTTAGAGCAGACTGTTCATACTATTTTCGGGCGATCACTCCATCTGGGCGATTTTAGTATATGAACGTTGACTCTGCATGAAGTAAATTTTTACATATGTGTGGGACCCGACACAGTAATAAAAAAGTAATAATATAAATTTCGAAAAAAAGTTTTTAAATATTTATCACACTAAACCCGTTTCAGAATATTATAATTTAAGGTTAATTAACGTTTGTACATACTTATTTAGTTCATATTACTACAATACCATGCATAATGTTATTAAAATGCCAAACTAAATTGTGGCAAAAATGATCTTTGTCTCAAGTGTTTATTACAATGGGAAAACCTGCTCCGACATTTGCAAAACCAAAATCTCCCATAAACATCCCACAGCGGTGAGTGAACTTTGCTTTTTTGCGGATATCTCAGCCTTAATGTTGACAATTATCTCTACCACGAACCAACTTTCTTCTAAATTGTTTTATATGGTCTATACATACCTTCAGTTTCCTCAGCTCATCCGACCATTTGCATCCTTCTTTATGGTGAATGCAGTAAACGACAGAGCTCATAATAGCCTTCTCCGACTCCGGATCAGGATATATCTGGAACAATAAAAACTCTTATAAACAGATGAATCAATATTTAGACGTTTGTATAAACGTAAATAAGCATATTCCACATCCGAAGATTTATGACCATCTTTTAGCGAAATATTGGCTCGGTGATTACAGAAATGACCTCATCTGGTGATAACGGTATCTTGGTCCACTACAATTTCGCACTTCTGTGACATCGCTTTCATTCATCACCCAGTGACATCATCACGCTGGTACATGTCTTAATACGAGCATTAAATGCATGTTACGACCTACACCTTCGGATTCACACTCTAGAATAGTCATAAATCTACCGAGAAGATGCTTTTGTCATGGATTTGTAGAACAAACACGAAACCCATAAATTTTGCTTGTTGAAACTAAACTATACACTCAACAACCACCCAGAATTACCACCCGCATCACACTATACACCAGTAGCCAGAAATAATTTTTCTGTCACTAATTAAGAATAAGTTTTCTAGGAAAAAAAGGGTGGAGGTGTTTTAGAATTTATGAGTACCATATTAAATGACTTCATTCAGCCCGAGCAGCTGTCTGGTTCTTAATTAGAAAGCAAAAAATGTGAAAAATTTAAGCAGTTCTGATATCTCCTTTTACAAAAGGGGTCTGCTGTCCCATCTGGACGCCTACAAATCGAATATTTCAGTGGGTGTAGTTGCAAAATCCATATTTTGAATGAGGCACACCTGTTCGGTGTAAGTAGACCAATTTTCGTCACACACATCTTGGATAAAATCGTTTGCTTCACAGAAAGCGCTTGATAAAAAATCGGAGGTTTCCACGTCATAATTATGTTTTGTGGTTTCAAATTCAGAGATGATTTACAGATCAAGACGTAATTAAAAAAGTCACCTACTTAGTGTGCAGATTGCACCTGTTTTAGCCAGCTGAACTGAAATAAATCAGCTGGTTGTCAGAACTTACTATAATTACATAATAAGTAAGTAATGAGTAATTAGCATACTGTGTATGAGGACGGATTTTCCACTTTCCCTAAAGAATTTGGTATGGAAATTTATATTAAATCTCGACTCGGTAAATTCTCGTACACGGTACTTACGAGATTTTTTTAAACACTTAAAAAATAAACCGATATTTACTTCCAGAGTAAGTTAAGTTCATAGTTCGAGTTCTCGCTTCAAGAAAATGAAAAAGTATGTCTACCATTTCCGTTGGTCTGTCGCCTCTTAATTAACGCTTTACTACACATAATTTCTGACTGCTGGAAAATTTTAATGTACTTTAAGACTTGACACTGAGTATTAAAACAGAGTCCTTGTTTCGGCAAACAAATCGCCTCTGCTCTACATTTCAATTCGCCTCGCATCTAACACGCGCGTTTTCTCCCAAACCAGCCGAAATCGGCAAAAACGAAAACGGAGACAGCACTCTCAAGTAAAAGTAGTGCAAAATAATCGTGTTCTTTTGACATAATTGCCGCGCGTTCTCGCTTAACGGATCTAAGAATAAGAGGTCGAGCTACCAGCAGGTTGATTTGTAGCCTTCATCATAAACGACATTCGCCGTATATATTTATTTATCAGCAATGATCATCAAGTAGGCGTTGCTACAGGTACTGGCACGTCCTGCAAGTCCGGACATGAGGCGCCTTGTCGCAATTACCCGCGTCAATTACAATTCAATCCTGACCTGAATGAAGAGAAACCTCGCAATTGAGGAACTGAGAAAAGGCAGTTTTCCTAATGATATTGCGATATGCTCTCTTAATTCATTAACGTGGATAATGATATAATGGGCGTGATTATGAAATGGAAGAATAGAACGCACCCACGAGGACTGTCGTAAGTGATACGGTGGAGTGGTTCTGAGGAAGTAACGGACTTGAGGGTTCTTCGAAGATAACGAAAACATATAAATAAACAGTGGGAGAACTGAATGAAATGTGTGCTTTGATGGATCACGTACTGGTATCATAACCGACAAATAAAGAAGCGGAATTGATAGATCCTTTCAGTGGGATTTCTTCACGGAGTGCGTTTACTGAGAAAACGTTTAGCAAACAAAAGCCACATTTATCGACGTGGTGTAATATCAGACGTGTCACCGAAAGAACCGCATAATCGCAAAATTGACAGGAAATGTGGGTGCATCTGAAACGCATAGTAGTGCAATATTCCTTTATGTCACATGAGAACAGTCAAATTTACTTTGAAAAATGTAAAAAATTTACTGCGATACTATACATGGGATCCGCAAAGTAGAACACATAAAATATAACGACTTTGCTGAAGTCAGGTAATACAATTATGCTGCATTCATATCACATGTGATAATAATCACGCAGACCAATATTAGTTATTTACATTATAGGTGCGGCTAAAGTAATATTAACACACGAGTGTGATGTTTGCATTAGCCCAATGTACTTACAAAAATTTATCTATTTGTAACTCTTAAAAACGATTTTAAATCAGATTAAAAATATAAGTGTGGTAATTGTTTTTCCCGCACAGAAAGTCTATGTGGCAACAGAAAAGCCACAATATAAGATTTAAATTAGGGTCATTATCAAATGGTTTCACAGGAAGTGAAGACCTTCGATTTTTAAACGGAACTACCCTCTCTTTAACTTTTGTACGAACACGGTTGTTTGTATGACTGTAGATATCTTGAAAAATAAAAGTTGTTTTCATTTCCGGTGACACTGAGCAAAAAGAATGGAGTAAAAATGATTTTGAGAAGAACACTTTCCGTAAATATGTAACAATGATCGGTTTGCTCACTTCACTGAACAACTTGCCAAAAAAGTGGAATAAGTCCGCCCCTGCAGCCACACATTTTGCAGCCATTATGCAAATGACCCTTCAGAAAGACAACCCAGATAAAGTATCCTCTTCCTGTAAATTCCAATCTCCTAACTAGTCCAAGAAAATAGAGAAAATTCGTTACATAGCTAATTGAAGGCTGTGTGCAACGCACGAAAAGAACAACAACCGGCAGCTGCAGGTTGAAACCTGTTCATTCTTGCAGAAATCCTGTTTGTCAATGCGTAAGGACGTTGAAAAGTTATTGTTTAGGGAAATGTGCAATCTGTGTAACTGGGTTAATTATCGTCATTAAACACGAAAACTCCACATCCCGAAAATTCGGCACTTACTTGGTTGACTTCATTCAACGAGCTATTCTTCATGTTATTAATTTCGTTTTTGCACGGCGGCGACAAGGACATGTTGCTGGGGGTCGGCGTGATGGTAGGACTGCCAGGACTACTCAGGACACTCTCCTTCGAACTCTTATTCGGCGAAATCCTGGCCGGAAAGCTCAAAGTTTTTGTCCACTGGACTAAACTGCGGACCATTTTCGGAACACTCGTATCACAAACTGTCGCGACTTCACCGTGCGCATCGACGAGCCGAACTGTTTTGAGTTCTGTTTCTTCTTGTACTCAATCGGCCTTTCGATGGCCTTTCTCCCACTCTTTCTCTTTGAAAAACAGCTGTTGCTTGTAATTGTGCACGAGGTGGGAGTTCCTAACGTACTTTTCGAGATTTTTAGGGACGAATGTTGCTGATAAATGAGCGAGATGAATGTTAATTTGACCGTTGGCGACCGTTACGATTTCGATTTTATAGACGACTCCTTTTTGTGCCTCCGACTGGATGGTGGAGGGTTTATTTATGCGTTTTGGCGACTGAGGTGATGGATGTTTTGGAAATATTTTTATGCAGGACTTTGTTTAAGTAGAACAATTTGTGACTAAGCTGCAGTTTTTAGATTCGTGCTTTTTATCAAGGCTGAAGTGGACATGGTTGCGGTTTTAGTTAATACACGAGTTCATATTTCGCTCTAGTTAAGGATCGGTTTTTAATGTACGCATTATGTAAAAAATTACTGTGATGCACTAGTTAGCTTGACTGTTTATGTAATGCTTTATTGTAAGTTTACTGACGTGTGCTTAGTAATTATTAGTTTACTTTGTCTAGAGAATTTAAATTTGGCAAATATCGGGCTTGCACGCGACTAAGATTCACTTTATGCACAAATACATAAATGGAAGACCTATTATTTCATACTCAAACGTTTAAATTTAATTTAAACTAATATTTTAAAACTCATCCAGGAAATACTAACTCATTTCTATAAACGCAATTTCCTAAAAAGCTCTTTTGATGACACTAAAACCATGCCTTACTCGATATTTGAGCAAATGGAATCCCAATTTCGAAATCATTACATTAAATCATATAAAAAAACTTTCAACGATCAAGTAAAATACATGTTTATTAGTGTTGCTTATCTAATCAAATTTAAAAAATGATAATATTTGATTTTAAACATTTTTCTCCAAAAATAGTTGTCAGCTTGTTGAAAAATTGTAAACATAAAAAGCAAACAACTAATTGGCCTACATGTACTAACACAATAATTTTCAGGAAAACCTACACGGTACACGGAAGTTTGTTTATTTCTTTATTATTCCGTATAGGTATTGCCTCAGTGATAATTGACCCAAAATTTGGGTTCAAAAATCTGATATCTGAACAATCATCTCCAGGTTTATTGTCTCTATATCCATATCTTGAAATTAGTCGAGAGTTGGACACATTTATAGCATCAAGTATCAAAAATCCTCATCAATATGCAATGAGCACGATTTCACCCCCATATTTAAGATCCCCTGGGTACAATGAGTCACAAACTCCCTCTAAAAATCAATAAGTTTCTACAACTCATTTAAAGCAAGAAGCACAAAAGGATGTTCAGCTTAGATTATAATAACGCGTCAGAACCTCTGGTTCCTGTTAAAACCTGCCAATACCCAAGAAAGTGACCTTGCCTTTGGCTTTTCTTTGCTCTCAACGGTTGATTAACCCACAGACCTAAAAGCATTGTAAAACGGGTAATTATTGTGATCAGTACGAAGTAGCATTACAGGTAGGAAAATGTCTCTTTGTTAGAAAAATCAACAAGACACGTCCATAAATTACTATTTATTACCCTTTGTTGAAAAAATCTAGACTTTAATGGGTGTCCGACGACAGGTAAAGCGGACAATGACAATACTGTGGTGAAATTCATTTATTTTTTGTAAATATTTGTAACGGGGAGACGCTTATTCATTAAGGAATGAAGACTTAATGTCACCATAAAGCGTGTGTGAACCTGGATGTCACAAAGAGTAACTGTAGTGATTTCGCAAGAACATTCTTGAACATGAGTCGGAAGATGATTATTATCGACGCTAAGACAAAAGGCGGAACAGGACGGTACTTGGCCCACATGCAAAACTGTGACTTTGTTCCAAATATGTATTAAGAAAATTGTGTTTTCAGAATTTCACCAATTTCAAAATTTCACTATTAGAAAATCGTTATATTGTTTTTAATATAAGTTAGGTACAAACTTTATTTTTTACAGTATTGTTTATACACAAGGCCAAAAAAAGGTGAATTAATAAATCAAAGATAAAAGAGTAGACATTTTGAGTGAGATTTACTTAACAAATATTTGACTTGAGACGACGTCACAAGTTTTCTGGAAGAGATAAATGCGCAAACTAATTAACGTTTTATTACTTTCATAATAATCTTAATATACACACAATCGAACTGGAAGTTGGCGAGTTTTGAAGATTTCAGTAAATTTCAAACAGACGAGAAACTTACGCATTTTATACACTTTCATGTTTTCTCGACGTTTCATGACTCCTGTACTACGAAAAAAGTGATCTCCGGTTTCCGTCTGTCTGTCTGTCGTCTGCGTCGATTTTTATTAGACACGTAATCTGTGGAAACTAATTAGATACGCCTGCATTTATGGTGTCTTGATTTTTTATTTTTGACATCCAGATTTTTTCAAAATTGTATAACAACATATTGCAAAGTAACTTTGAAACTGCAAAACCGACTAGTCTGAAATCTTGTAAACATTTTAAGTTTATCGTAATCATGGTAAATCGTTACTCAAAATTTATTCGTTTATACCGTCTGAAAAAATTGATGACGTCATCTCAAAATTTTGTCTAAATTATCCACATCTTAGAAAATTCTTTAAAAGATGTATTAAAAGGCCTCCATTTTTTGACATTTCTGAATCTTCTGAATTTTTGAAAATTACAGAAGCTTTGTCATTTTAAAAATTCTGTAAAATTATTGAAGACTCTGGACTGCCAAAAATTTATAATTCTAAAAGTTTAAAAATAAATTTTTACTGAAATGAGGTACAATAAGAAGAACAATATTTGGATGTACCTCAAGCATATACAATAATACAGAAATTTCGATAAAACGTCATGATATAAAATTTATTAAAAACCTACAAGTCATAAAAAGACCACAATCCAATTAACAAAAAATTCTACAAGAATGTTTAATTTTGTTATTAAAAATATTTCAATCTTTTCCAAAGACCTGAGAATCTAAAAATGTTGATTCCTTGAATACTGAAATAAACTGAAATCGTTATTTTTGAAAACCTGAAACTTCGATAAAAATATTCATTTATAAATTAGATATTATACTAAGAATAATCAAATCCGTATACCGGGTGTTTGTAAAATGGCGGATTAACCCTTCGGTACGTTATGTAGGGAGGTTTCAGGAGTCCCAAAAAATTATAAAAAAAATTCTATGATGTAGATTAGAAAAAAAACCTAATTTTATAAAAACAAAATTGACAACACTGCCCGCACCTAATGGGTCTGAAATCCACCTTTTATTTATTTAGGACAATAACCATAACAACCAGTAGTCATGTCAAACTGTTATTTTTCATTAATAAATAAACCAAAAAAAAAATTTCATCAGACATTTATAAATTACAAACAAAAACAAAATAAATAAAAGAAAAATCCATCAAAGCACAACAAACTAAATACTAGAGAAAATGTTCAAAATTCCTGCCTTATGCATATAACTAAGCTCGTAATGTTTACAAAATTTTGAACATTTTTTTGTAAAAGTTAGTAATCAGTACTTGCTAAGTTAAAACTGATTTTGACAAATAACATACCCTCTAAAAAAAGGGAGGGTGGGTGGGCGGGGCTAGTAGCTGTCAAGATAAGACTGATTTTGGCAAATGACGTACCCTCTAAGAAAAGAGGGTGGGTGAGCGGGGCTAGTGCTTGCTAAAATCAGTCCTATGTCAGCAGCTACTAGCCCCGCCCACCCTCCCCCTATTTTCTTAGAAGGTATCTCATTAGCCAAAATCAGTCTTATCTTAGCAGGAACTAACCCCGCCCACCCACCCTCTCTTTTCTTAGAGGGCATGTGATTTGCCAAAATCAGTCTTATCTTGGCAGCTACTAGCCCCGCCCACCTACCCTCTCTTTCCTTAGAGGGCATGTGATTTGCCAAAATCAGTCTTATCTTATCACGAGGTAACCCCGCCCACCCACCCCCTCTTTTCTTAGAGGGTATGTGTTTTGCCAAAATCACTCTTATCTTGGTAGGCAATAGCCCCCCTCACCCACGTTCTCTGTTCTTAGAGGGTATGTCATTTGCCAAAATCGGTCTTATCTTAGCAGGTACTAGCCCCGAGCCCCGCCCACCCACCCTCTTTTTTCTTAGAGGGTATATAATTTGCCAAAATTAGTTTTATCGTAGTAGCTACTAGCTAGGATAAGACTGATATTGGCAAATTACTTACCCTCTAAAAAAAGAGGGTGGGTGGGCGGGGCTAGTACCTGCTAAGATAAGAGTAATTTTGGCAAATGAGATACCCTTTAAGAAAAGAGAGGGCGGGTGGGCGGGACTAGTACCTGCTAAGATAAAACTGATTTTGGCAAATGAAATATCTATGAAAAAAGAGGGCGGGTGGGTGGGACAAGTACATGTTAACATAAGACTGATTTTAACAAATGACGTATCCTCTAAGAAATTTAATTAAATTATTATAAGAAAAGACACTAGAAGCTCCAAAGCACTTTCAAAAGAACCTTAAAATTGTTTTAAATTTTCCAAAAAAAAAACGGGGTCCCAAAATTAACTCAAAAATAGATCAGTCAGGTCAGTACAGAACACCAAAGTCCCCCAAAATTGTTTTAAATACTTTGCAAAAAATCTCCATGGGCTCCCAAAAGAATGCACGATGGGTATCCGAGAGTCTCCCGAATTAAAAAAAAGTTATTGTGATAATAAATGTGTTTAATTGTAAAACGTAGCAAAAGAATCAATTTTAAAATCGTTACAATTCCACCAAAATGTGAGAACGATTTTTTTTTTACTATTTTTCCCAGATTCGCCAGTTGATTGTTAAAAGCGTAGCGGAGAGTTATCCGCAATTTTCAGACACCAGGTATATCATCAAAAACTTACATTATTAAAATATTCAACACTGTGGAAAAATTAAGAAATACAGGTAAGTTCTTAATTATACTCAGTTTTTTATTATTATACCACATCTTAGAAAATTCTTTAAAATATTTGTTCGTTTTCTAACATCTCCGAATTCAAATT